CAGATACATAGTATACAATACAGAAGAGTGGTTGAGGCACAAAACAGGCTGATAGAGGATTTAAGCTCTACACAGGCGGCGCTGCATGAGGCCTTAGCTAAACGCGATGAGGTGCTGCTTCAGATGAATAGTTTCCAGCGTGTTATGCCACTCAACGTCGTGTCTAGTGAGGAAGGGCCGGCACCCATGAAAGGATAGAACCAAAATAGATACGGCACCGAGATTGCAACTACTAAAAATAACAATTTGGGTGGCGCATTACAGCGGGAAGTAAACCCTGTTGGCTTTATCAGAAGATAAACTTCGGAATTTCCCTAAGTTATTGAAAGCTCGCCAGGATAGACAATCATAGATTCACAGACAGTCTCTACTTAAATGCGAAAGATTCCCTTCAAGAGACACTCTAATATCAACCCAGTTTAACCAAGCATTATCTTACTTCAATCAGATCAATTTCTTTCATAAGAATAAAACGTCAATATAAAGCAGGCCAAGGCTAGCAGGAAGCGCTCAAATGCTATCGTTAAGCAAACCGAAATAGCCCCTCGGCCATTGCCTCAACTCAGCGTGCAGACGGCACCTATGAGAGAGGTTATCATAAGTACACAGATATCCTTCAGGTTCTTGGCTAATATCACTAGCCCACCATACCCGCACATGTTGCCCATCAGCAAAGCTTCTCCAACCAGCTGGATTATCAGTTGTAGAACATAGGCCAGATCATCAACATCTGCCGCGCTGAGCGGAACACACGCTTCCAAGATCTAAGCCGAGAACGAGAAGCCCATTCCAGCCTAGAACAGACCATATCTCAGTTGCATAAAGAGCTTTCATCTACAACTTCAAAGCATTTAGGCCTTCATAACCAATACTACCTGCTTAGCAAGAAATACAACAAACTTCAGTCGTCATCTAGTCTTATTAACGCCAAACTTCACCGGGAGCTTTCTGCAGCAAAAGATCTCTTGGAGAGGCAGAGAGAACGCATCCATACATACGAGATAGATCTACATCAGTTTCAGCACAAGGTTAATGACCAGGCTCAGTTAGTGAAGACACAAGAGGACATCATCAAGGATCTCTATGCTCGCAACCAAGGCCGCACCCCACCTTTCCGAGACCTTGTCACTTTACCTAAGGCCAACTTTTTCAGCGTCTCACCCAAGATAGAGGACAAACATGGTCAGACCAGAGAGGGAAATGGGGATTCTCAGCATGTCGCCAAGCGACAAAGATCACAGTGATCTGGTCTATTCAGAAAGTTTGGTACTTAGTCATGTCATTATTATTATTAGTCTGAATATCACGTGCGCACTAGTTCATGCAGCCTGAAGGTGGATGCAACGCTAGTGAGTAAGATCCTGCCCTACCCTTGGACTCGTGCCACATAGAATGGGTCGCTATATCCCGCCACCCACCTTACCTCGGAATTTGAAGTATTCCTGAATTTCTTGTCGCATAGTACATCTCGAACAGGTTCGTAAAGGGTTGGCAAGGGGATCCGCAGACAGGGACACGATTCATAGTAGGGCCGAAAGGTTGGCGATTTCAAATGATCTCTACAGCACTCAGCTTGCCATAATGTAACTGTGACTGACTTCACCCATGGGCCAAGGAGGGGTGGCGCGGGGAAGCTCCCGCACTAGGGCGACTTCGGTTTCAGAGGTTGGCCAATCCTCTGCTCTTTCTAGCCGTCGAAGGGCGTTTACTTAACCAACTGCTAATCAGTGACACAACGTAGCGAGTAGCTCCTAGCCGCCGTTTTCGACGCTTTCGACATCTTCCCAGATTTATTACCGCGCAATTACGCCTGATTCACTCAGGCACCAGCTTACTCAGTGCAAGTCAAACATGTCGCTACCCTCGGAACTAACCGCTGCTGTCCAATGCCTCGGTCGACATTTGGATACAGTTCGACAGCGCGCTTATAATAGAGAACTTTTAGTGAGAGCCACATTAGATTCTGAGAGAACTGCACTTCAGCACAAAATTGCAGATAATCAGAATCAAAAAAAAGAGGTGGAAGCATTACTTGAGATTTGGGAACTTAAAAATGCCGATGCTTTCCAAAAGCTCACGCATCTCAAAGCAAGCTACCATAATTCACTTCAGAGGTCGCAATCACTGGAAGCTGTCCCGGATTACCAACATCTAGTGAGTGCTGCTTCTATACTTTCGTTGCCTTCAGCTAATCCTAGAGATGCAGGTCGGTTTCATATTTGGCAGCACTTCTGTTCCAGCTAGAACCTCCATGTCTCTGTCGTATATACATACCCAGAACGCTGCAATGACGGACGAGATACAAAACGAGCCCAAAGACAGTAAGCCAGCAAATCCTAATACAGTCATACAGCAAAACATTAAGCTCTCAGAATCCGCAGTTGCTTCTCTACAGCGTCAAGTAGCAAAGAGAGTAGCCCAAAATCGGTTCAGCAAAGACCACACAAACAACACAGGCCAAAGCTCAACCAAAGTACAAAAGTCAATCGATTTCAAAGAACTCTATAAAAGTGGAAAAGCCAAGTACAAACACAGAATTCTATATTTTAAAGGGCAGTAGTATATACTCAAGTATGATAAGCATAGGATACACTTTCCATACCGATCTGCCTCTGCAGCAGGTTCTCATCTAAGAAGCCATTAGCACAGAGGTTCAGCCTCGAATTTCGCAGCCGTTGTCAAAGCCTTCGGTGTTAGAGTGGAGAACTACAATAGTGAGAGGGCCGACCAAAACAACAAGGAATTCCTATCTACCTTAGCCGGTGGATATTGCGTATACAAGGGCACACGCGAGACTCACAAGAGGCAGAGTACTAGTAAGATCTGTTTTGAAAGCACTTACATGAGCAAACTTAGTTCATAGACGACGATTCGGTTGCAGAAGAAATCATTATTGCGTGCGATCCTCACTTAACCCGGGATTACGGGGACCATTTGAGCCAGCCCTCTGGTCCTTTAGCGAGAGAGTGCGACAATTCTCAGCCGCCCGCATCTGGTCAAGATCTAACCCCTCCAGGTCATAATGAAATGATGGGACTCCGGGAAGACCTAAAGGACAGTCAAGAACAGGGAGGATTGCAGGAGCCGACGAATTATAGTCAATGGTGGCACGTTGTGAATGACAATAGCTAAAGCGGGAACGGTCAATAGTACCAATGTTTAAAGTAAGCTACGAACGAGAGACTATAACAATAAAACCCAAAAATTTCTATAGAGCCGGCTCTATCTCGTGAGAAGCCTTTCCATAATCTTCCTATTCTACGCTCTCTCCTCTTATCTCTCCTTCCTATCCTCGATCGTCATTTCCAGCAGCTTTTATATAGAGAGGGCTACCTGCTGCTCCAGGTTATAAGCTGTGCCACTTCTAAGTAGACGACTTAGGGATTGGATTGCACGTGGATACGCAAGCGTCAAATAATTCCGGTCATACGACGGATATGTCAACTGTCCGTACGTCGGCGCCCAGCTTGGCCTCACTCCCGTTTTCACGAGGAATTCGTCAATCTTCTTATCAGCGAGCTTGTGGCCAATCCAGACTCGAAGTGCCGTTCGGGACAAGATGTGGGCTTTCTGCGGGTTGGGGTCGTCTTATCGGTCGACCCAAACGTAGCAAATGCTGCTGGTTCCTAGCCTGTAGGAAGCAACGCCACGTATACCCACGAAAAGGTTAGGTCTAACGTCTTTATATACTTTCTCCATACCGCGAATATCGTTCTTCTGCTCTTCTGGAAGTTCGTGATAGAGGCGGACTGCCTCGTACCCGAGCTCGCTGCCCTGGACCAGCTTAATGGGATTGGCCTCGGGGACCTCAACGACGAATCGCCACCCCATAGGTGATTTCTACCCCATGACCTTACATTTGCGTTCGAGAACCCAGTAGCCCAGGATTATGTCCCCTAATAGTATTCTGCCTACTTGCTGCAGTTGCGTCTCTCTTGGGGGTTGTATTTCCTGTTCCATTTCCTCCTAGTCCATGTCGTAGTCAACATCTTCGTCGGGGCCGTCGGGAGAGACATACTCTTCGTCTACGTCCATGGCTTATCCCATGCCTACACCATGCCCGAGTACAGAAGCGGAATCACCAGGAGCATCTTTCATATTGACTTCTTGATCCACGCGGCTGCTATTTTTATTGCCCTGCTCGCCTTTACGTTTGCTAGCGTCTTCCTTGGGCTCGCTAGGGTTGTATGTAGTCAGCGCAACCAGCCGTTGGTCGGCAACTTTACCGAAAGCATCTAACCATGTCTGAGGCCATTGGTTATATTCATTCAAGCATTGCTGGTGGAAAGTAGTCTTAGCGTTTTCAGCGTTCCATTTAGCCTCTTCGGGCGTCGTTTTGTTTTAGATAGAGTTCAACGCATTTCTCATAGAGGTTGCAATGCCCTCGCTCATCTAGTAAAGTTCCCCTCATCTTCCCTTCTTCTCGTTAGCCTTCTTGATTCTTTTATTCATTTTCTTAATATCCTTAGTATCAGCTCCATTTAAAAGGTACGCCATAATACCATCTGCGTATTTGCTGTGAATTTCCTCAATTTCTTGGTCTTTTTTGGGTATCTCGTCTTCATCGTCGTCAAGATCTTCGTCAGAACTCGGGTTATCATCCCCGTTCTTGCCGAAGGCGCTATCATCAAACTCTTCGTTAACCTCAACTATGTCAGTTAGAATCTTGCTCTGTTGGCTAGATCCCCTGAGCTGGCGGTCATATTCTGCTTTCTTTTATAGATCTGTGAGCAAAGCCTTCACTTCATTCACTTCTACAGATAGTTTATTAGACTCTATACAGCCGCCGTATATCGATTGTACTTACTTTACATACAGAGGTTTGCCATTTTATCTTCGTTTTGGTCGGTATGCACAAGCCTCGCCATCTTTCTCGCAGCGGTCTTGATCTGATTGTCGCTAGCAGTGCAAGGGATCTCAAGAATATCATAGTGAGTAGCGTTATTATTTATCAGCTGCAACATCTTCGTGACGGCAGCCCATCGGTTTCAGTCGTTAAGCTAGGACGCATTGGATCTAGACGTCTCTTCCTCTTTAAGGCAATTCACAGCAGCATTAAAGATGACGTTGAAGAGGTCCTCTTTTTTGTCCAAAATGAACAAATCAATGTCTGTGGCGCGGCCATCCAGCTCGGAAACAGCCTCAGACTTTTTAACTTTTGTAGCCAGTTCACGCGCAAAGTTAAGCTCATAGTTCTTTGCCATTGCATCCTTCTTGGCTGTATAATCATCGCCTTTCATATCGGCAAGGCGCTTCTTCAGGAAGTTGACAAAATTCACAGCCTCTGCATCAAGGACTTTCCTGATGGACGGATCTGTGAATTCAACCGTGATCGCTGACCGACTGGACTTGACTTGGCGCTCGGGCTCATCGGGTTCTTCCTCAGGAGGCAGGTACTGGTCTCTGGAAGTAGCCGTTGGTGGAGCAGCGGGGACCTCTACATGGCTTGAGGTAACGGCTTGGGCCTTTGGCTCCGTTGAAGATGGCTCTATGTTGGAATGGGCCTGACCGGTAGATACAGCGATTGTTTGATTGGCTGGTTCTGGGAGAGGCTTTTTAGCCCGACGGGTGGGATTGTCCGAATCATCCTCCGACTCTACAGAGGGGCCGGGTGGGGGGAGACTTGGAAGCTTGGGATTATCGACGGACATTGTGTTTTTTTTTCTGATGAAGTGATAGTGAGTTCATGAGCTCCGTCAGCTGTTATATAGTGCGCTTGGATTATTATTAGAAGGAATCCTGAAAAGGCCGTCATGTCAAAATCGGCCGGCCCACTTCTGGACCATCACGTGACCATCGCCTCGATGTCACCGTTTGACCTTTGTTCTGTCCTTCGTGGCCATTGATGAGGAACACAAATTGCCAACTACTTCCAACGCTCCATTGCCTTTGATTCGAGTTGCGTTCAGGAAAGGCTACATAGCAAGGATGCGCAGAAGCTGAACGGTTACGAGCGGGTCGTGATCCGTGGTCCAGCAAACCCTGGTCAGGCGTTCCCCACAGGTTCGCGCCCAGCGCATCCATGTTGACGCGAGGGTGAGGGTGTCCCCCGCTGCTCGTCGACCAAGGCGCAGGCAGCAAACATTCGGAGCCAACGCTCTCAGGGACAGTGCGCTGTGCAGGGGTAGACGGGGTATTTAGTACCTGCCTCTGCCCGTGCACGAGAGAGAAACAGAGGTTAGCGGTTGCACTGTTCAGACGAATCGAACCAGTACAATGGACATTGCGTCCAAGCTCCGCGCGTTGGAGACGAAGCTCCAGCAAGTCGACAGAATTGTCTCCGCGCTCCAGCTGTCAACTCCACACGCTGGAAGGAGGACCCGACGCAACAATCCCCGTCAGACCACCAAGCCAACGTCGGATCTGGATATGCTGAAGGACCTCCTCACGGGACTTCATGCTGAACTACAGCAAATACGGGAAGAGGTTTCGCGAACATCCGAGCAGCCTAGCCAAGAGACTTTGCCTGCCCATGCCGCATCGCCGAGCTCAGCGCTCTCTTCCCCGCCGCCGTCTGTCGTGCCGGACGAACACTCGGACCCACCCGTGGACCATCCGGCGCCCTCGCCGCGAGTGGTCGATCTGCCCACCCACCAGGAGCCTGTCCCCAGTCCACTTCCGGACGCCCCGGACGCCCCGGACGCCGGTGGACCCCGCGCAGACCTGGAGCCGCCCACGGCGGCTGACTCGGACTCTGCGGCACTATCGCCACTTTCCAATCTGGGCTCCGACGTGGAATGGGCTTTGCAGCATGCAGGGTCGCTCTTCGAAGCGCAGGGCGACTCGCCGACCGACCCGGCCCCGCCTGAGCCTGCACCGATTACGACTAGGCCTAAGTTCAGCCTGACGATTGAGGAGATGGGTGTCAATTTGGTGCCGAACATCGCCAAGATGGTCACCGACGAAGACTTTACGGGCAAGGTCCAGATTACAAACCTGCCTGAGATTGACTGGGCCAATTTGAAATCCAGCATTGGGCGGCCTAAGGATCGCGAGCATCTAGGAAACGTGTACACCAAAGGTCCCGATGGATCCGGATACGCGTTTCTGAAGCTATCACCGTCCACCAAGTTCGTCTTGCCGGACTTCTCTCAGATGCCACAGAAGCCATCGGAAGGCGAGACCACGGCGTTTCTCGACAACATCGCCAGAGACCCCCCCAAGGGATCCATACCATATTATGCCGGGCCGCCGCTGACGTCCAACATCAAATCGTTCCTCCACCCAGGGGACGCTCTTGCGTCCATGGAAGCCATTGCCGGCGGGAACTCGCCGTACACTTACATCGGCGCGAGATATTCCGGCACCGGCTGGCACGACGATGACGCTCTTCTCTGGTCATGCAACTACGTCAGCTTCGGTTGGAAGCTGTGGCTTGTCATTGCGGAACATCACAGGGCGAGGTTTGAAGCCTTCATCCGCCGACACTGGAAAGCAAACCGATGTGCGCAGTTCGTCCGCCATCTGTCACTCTTCATCGGCCCGTCAAGGCTTCGTGAGGAAGGTATTGACTTTGCTGTACACTGCGCAGGGCCCGGCGACATGGTCATCATCCGCCCCGGTCAGTATCACGCCGTCGTCAACTACTCTTCATGCTTTGCCACGGCAATCAATTTCTCGCTGCCCGGAGACCCCGCCATGCCGCCAGATCTCGCTGTCTGCAAGCAATGTGGGTTATACCCTCTGCACCTCCCGGACTTCCGCGTCGTCTCGCCCCCTCCCTTGGACCCCGTGCCAGGCGTGGAGACAGAACATGTCAGCATCGCGGCGAGGACAAAACTCGCGAGACGGCCGACGGCGCGGCCACAGGATTCGCAGCCGGCTAAGAAACCGAAGACTTCCCGGCCTCATCCAGAGTTAGACGAGATTATCAGCCACGTTTTAAAGATCGACAAACTCTGCCATGTCCCTCGTATCGACCCCAGAAATCCACCAAGCCCCGAAGTTTTGAAACTAGCCATGGCCATTGGCAGCCGCCCGGCGATTCAGCAATTCTGCGACCTCGTCCGCAGCAGACGAGAACCGAATAACACACGACTTTGCCTCTCCTATAGCTTGTACGCCCGCATCAAAGACCGGCTCGGGGTTATTTCTGTATCTCAACGGCGAACGGCGTTCGAGAAACTCCTAGTTCGCTTGAACCAATACCACCTTGCTTGCGAAATCAAGCAGGCCAGAGATGGCCGCATAAAAGCAGACGGTGCGGTTCTCGCCGAGATTGCCAAAAAAGCCGGCTGCTCAAAGGACACGCTAGCTTATCACCAGAAATTTGGCAACAGGTTGATGCGTCTTTGTGGTGACCGGCACCAGTTGCTGTGCCTAATCTTCTTGAACAGCAAGAATCCGTTTGAAATATCCCCAGACGCATTTAATGGGCTGGATAACGCCCAACTCAAGATGCTACACGACCTACTCGACCAGCCCTACTTGGCATCGATATGCTCGGCGGCAACGCTCTTCATTCGTTCGCTCGACAGTTCCGCGGAAGACGTAGACTTTCGCTGGGAACATAAGTCCCTAGTCACGGCGGATCTTCCAGAGGAAAAACTGCTCTCGCTCCTCCAAGCTATACCTTCAATCTCGGAAAATTTATACGACCCGACCAAACACCCACATTGGGCACCTCCACTGGGCTGGCCTGACGATTATCCCTGGCCGGTTGATCCAACCGCAATTCTTGATTCCAGCAGCAGGAAATGCGATTTATGTGATGATGCGGCCTGCAATTGCGTGCGTCGATTTGTCGAGGACCAGGGTCCGCGTTGCATGCCCCGCATAACGCATTACGGTACCCTGGGCCGCGGACTGCAGGCTGTCGCTACGGAACCCGGGCAAATAGCATATCGGAAAAACGAAATCATAGGGCTGCTATTTGGTGAGATCGTGCCCGCAGGGACATTCGACGATGGCCGCACGCTGGACTTTGTGAGACCAGACCTTCAAGAAGAACCCATCGTTTGCCAGCTTCGCTGTGCCGACGTGGGGAGCCTGTTTAGGCTGTTGAACCACTCTTGCCGTCCATGTGCTCATCTTGTTCAGATGAGGATGAGTGGAAAGTATGTCACTACTGTGCAGGCTGTTCGAGATATTTTCGATGGCGCACAAATCACTATTTCGTATGGCAAAAATTGGAAAGGGGATAATTGTCTTTGTGAAGTGTGTTGGTCTTGATGTTGGTTGCCGTGCACGGGCCATGACTGAAATCAATTTCAGTTGTGGCCCGTGCACGACCCGACTTTTCAGACTCAGCAAAGATATTTGATTGGTAGAAACATAGCTGTGTAGTATATAAGAATTAGGCTGGCTTCGAACGGCTTCACTCGTTACTACTGCGTTTCCCACGCCGATACGGTCTTGCCACCAGATTCTCAGTTCCCTTCTAATTGAAGTCGTTCCATATATCCAACTCACTTTACTTCTTGGCCCTGAACAGTGTAGGATAACATACTGTCTCACGACAGACATACACAGGATCAAGCCCTTGTCTTTCTGTGTGGTAAGGGTCCCCCAGTTCGCAACTGGCCAACTTATGTTAGAGGGTGTTCATTGTGGAGGTGCCCTGAGAGTTGTGCCTAGGTGGGGACTCAAACGCAAGAAGTCCTCCCAGCTCCCGGATCAATCAAAAGGTGGGGTCGAACGGAGAGTGGGGTTGGTTTGTGGGACTGACTGTGTGCTGAGCTCGGAAAATCAATTTCCCGACAAAATAACCGCCAATTTCGACAACAGTCCCCTGAAACCCGCAACTAACTTCCTTCCTCCACCAACTGGTCGATCACTTCCAATCCGCCATGACCGATCGATCAGAACAGATCAGACAAAGTCCTATTGGAAACAGCCTCGATGCTGTTCGCAGCACTTTTGAATCCATATGCAATGGTGCAAAGACTCCTTGTACTGTCGACACTATAGATCGACTCGGTGCAGAAGGTGCGATCGCCAGCTTGTGTTGCTTCACCTCTCTAATTTATATCTAGATCTTCGGAATCTAACTCTACCTCTCCTTTTTGCGTTGCAAAGCCACATACTTTCAAGATCCCTCCCTTCGAAATCGGGCTCCAAGAACTTCCAAAGCGACCTCCTCCGGCTTATTTCGGCCGCTGCCTCCGATGATTTCGAATTCGATCGCGTCAAACCCCTCCTGAAGTCGGCCCTCTCTAAAGTCGATGATTTCACCATCTGGGATCAAGCATACAGCGCCGTCTCCGAAACCACGCCACCCCCCCGAACGATAGCCTCCTCACTTCAACAAACACCCTGGCAACATAACACGAGCAGTTTCGCCAACTCGTCCGAACACCGTCGATATGTTGACGATATACTGAAAGAGGAGCTCGGCACTATGTACGTCGGGCTTCCCGGCTTTCGAGACGCATATTTTGGAGTTGTGGTCGGACTTGAGGCTGCGTCCAAGGAGTTCTTCAATCAATGCCTTAATGGCAGCAATCCTACCTTCCACGACGACGACGGCTGGGAGGGATGGCCCCAGGACGCAAACGAGAACAGCGTCCTGGAATGGCTCGCCACGTTCGTGAAGAAGCTAGTGGTATTCGCAGATACCCAGAAGTCGAATACGACACATCAACGAAAACTCCTAGCACAGCCCAACACACCAATGCGGGGTTCCACAGCAAATCGCAAACTGGATGTTGGGTTTGTCGACAAGGGCGAGACTGCCAAAGATTCTCAATACCACTGGAAGCAAATACTGGTACCTGGAGAACTTAAGAGCAACCCATCTGCCAACATAGCCTCTAAGGCCTGGCTTGACCTTGGAAGGTATGCAAGGGAAGTGCTCGCTGCACAGGACACCCGACGCTTTGTCCTGGGCTTCACGCTCTGTGGATCTTTCATGAGGGTGTGGTCCTTTGACCGGCTGGGAGCCATTGCCTCAGAGCAATTTGACATCAATAAAGACGGCCTGCAGTTTGTGATTACAGTACTTGGGTTTCTTTGGATGGACGAGGAAGCCCTAGGGTTTGATCCAACAGTCAAGCTATCGGACAACAAGCGCTTCATCAACATCATGCGGGATGGTTCCACGGAGCGGATTGTTATTGATGAGCTCCTAGGCCGGGCACGCTGTGTGGCTGGCCGGGCTGCGACTTGTTGGAAAGCCCACCCTGAGGGACATCCAGAGACGCCGCTTGTCATCAAGGACTCATGGCAGTATCCCGAACGTGATGAAGAGGGTGACCTCCTGCGGGAAGTGACGGACAAAGATGTTGTGAACGTGGCCCGGTATTATCACCATGAAACGGTCCAGGTTCACGAGACAAACGACGACATTTGGAATAATGTTCGACACGGCCTAAATGTCACAGCAGCAAGTAACTACCGGCCAGGACGACAGATGCAACCAAGCAACATGGCAAAAGATACCATGCGGAAGGGCCGCAGCAGCACCAGCAGGAAGCGTCTATCCAGCCAAACTGATTCCATCCTTCCCCCAAGCAAGCGATCCTGCTCCGCGTCTCCAACGAAGGCTACAAGCATACCACCAAATCGGGTTCATCGGCGGATTATTCTTCAGGATTATGGCAAGCCCATCTATGAGGCAAGCTCTCGATCAGCACTACTAGCTGCCCTAGTGGGCTGCATTGAAGGTCACGAGTCTTTGTATAAGGCAGGCATTCTCCACAGAGATATATCCATCAACAATCTCATGATCAACGAGGATTGTGGCAACCCATCATGGCCTGCGTTCTTGATTGACCTTGACCTGGCAATTTGGGAACCACGAGAGAGCGCTTCAGGTGCTAAGGGAAAGACCGGTACCAGGGCCTTCATGGCAATCGGGGCTCTGCTAGGTGAGCAGCATTCCTTCATGCACGACCTCGAGTCGTTCTTCTGGGTGCTCTTCTGGATATGCATCCATTACGACAAGAATGGCAAAGACATTGGGCCAACTGAGTTTGACTGTTGGAATTATGAGAGTGACACGAAGCTCATTCTATCAAAGGTTGGTACCATTGGCGACGAGAGTCTATTCCTTAAGATCACAGCCGATAATTTCACATCATACCATCAACCATTGATCACATGGGTCAATAAACTAAGGAAGCAGGTGTTTCCAAGCGATGAGAGGTGGAAGATGTTGGAGCCTAAGCTCTACTCCTCAATGAAGAACATCCTTCACGATGCACAGAAGGATCCAGAAGTGCTAGCAAGCACACAATGTTGTGTTGTATAGCTTTCCGTGAGCTCAGGACTACTGTATGTTAATGTATCACTAATAATTCACCTGCGTTGACTTCATTGCGCGAACTAATTGCACACAAACTGGCTGTGCGTGGGAACGAGCCCCTTTTTGGTAACAAGAAGCCTGCCGTTTGATGCAGTTGACCTGTACCTGTGGTAACTGCCAAGCGCGTCGTCAAGCTTGAAGTCATCACGACCACGGCAATTGCCCCAAAGGCTACAGTACAGTAGAATTTCCGACTTCTGATCTCCTGTGATAAGGTGCCTGTTAATCAACACTGGTCAGAGTGCAATACCCTGAGGTTCATGCCAGGAGTAGGTAAGTAGGTAAGCCTCCCAAAGGTCGTGATCCAAATGCTGGGTTCAGCAGTCCGGATTCCGCATTGCGCGCTCCCACTTGTCTTACTCGTGCCAACACGCGCAGCCGGAGATGGCTGTCGCGGTGATTCTGCGGAGCCAAGGAGCTAATAAGGTCAGAATATACGCAAAGAACGAGTGCTATTTTTGGCTGCTTTTGGGTCGGCATTGATTGCAGCTGGCGTCTGGCTGTGGCAGTTTCATTTTGAATATCGGTTGTGGAAAGGTCGTGCAGATAGCAAGGCAGTTGAACGTTGGTAAATGCAGAAGCTTTCGGCAACTGGTTGAACGCCAATGGAAAGGTTGCATATATCGTTCGAAACAAAACAATCGAGGATGCTTCTTATGATATGTCTATTGCAAAGAGCTTTTTGCAAGCGTGTTGTCATACGATTTCAACGGTTGAAGCCAAAACGGCGTGGGTCTCAGATGTGTATCGCAGGACGGAGCCTCAAGACGCATCTTTTGGGCGCTGCGTTCAGATCATGAGGCAATGAAACGGACATCGCGGTAGTATATTGTCGCTCATCTTCGTTGTCTATATTACATTTCTTACTGGGTGCCACCCTTCTCCGCCGGATGCTTTACCACTTCACCTCTTTTGTGTCACTCCTTGATCCTGCACATTCTTCAATATCCTCGTTTGGTAGGCTGGTAGACGTCAAACCACGGGTTCCGAACAGGTAAGCTAAAATTTCCCATGTAGTATACTCGACTAGGACAGGTTAGAGCAGGTCTTTCATAAAGGAGGTTAACGACCTACGCAGCCCAGTACTCAGTGGATATGGTGATATCTCGCCGCCAGTCTTGATGTGTTCCGTAGTCCGCTCGTAGAATGCCAGTTCGAGAAAGCTTTGAGGCTATGACTCCTAGAAAGCAGTCTTCACTATTGAGCGCGCTGCAAAGTTGCTCTGAGAGACCGTCGTAGAGGAGTTGGCCATCGGTGTAAATCTGATACACCACGTAGTGGCATATCTCTGGCATCTGGGCAACATCTCCTTCCACGAGGGCCGTACCTTCTGCAAGGTCTAAAAGGCTCCTCCTTTCAGAAACTTCAGCAGCCATGACTGCAGGAGGCAACGAACTAGACGCAGAGCCCGCTTCGTATCCGGGTTGTGTATCGTAAAGCCGCGGCACCGAACAAGGCCGAGCCTAATGTGAGTGGGAATGTTCCGGTCTCGACGAATCTAAAGCACTTATTTGGCCTGCTGGGGAACATAACGCCGTCAGACCGGTTTCTAGAGGTGGAGTTGCTTTCAATGTTTCAAGCTCACTGTCAACTTCAATCGCACAATGGGTTGGAGGCTCGGGCTGAGGCGAATCTTCAGGCTGATCTCCTCCGTCTTCATTAGGCTGGCCTGTTTGTATGATCTGCGGGCTTCTCTGGGGATCCTCAGCGATGCACTTTGAAGTCTGTAGATATCAGTGTTACTTAGTGTTGGATTCATAAAAAGAGGCTTCTTATTCCATACCACTTAGAGAAGCTCTCAAGGAAGGTTTGACATAGTGACGCAGTCAACCCAAGTCGCGTGCATTCAGCACAAGGCCAAGCCTTTCCGCAGCGGCTTTTGGCTTTCTTACAGTGACCGCATACCTGGTATCGTCAATCAATGCTTTGTAATATGTCGTATAAGCTTACAGTTATAGCTCGAGATTTGCGGGACAGCGCAGATGATTTGTGAGTTTCTCTATGGCTCCACAGCGTACTATACGTTCTGAAGGGTTCGAAGCAAGTTTCGCACTCGAACCGCCTGTTCTCAACGTGACTTTTTGTGTGTCTCCGGAGGAAGGTAAGCTTATCAAAGGATCTAGAACATTTCAGACACTGGTGAGGCCCAGGATGAGAAGATTCGTGACATTCGAGGTCTTTCAAGAGTTTAAAGTGTTTCCCACACTCTAAACACAACATAGGCCAAGCCCTAACGCGTTCGCTTTAGCTTTAGGCCGTCAGTAATACAAAAACATGCTTATATATGAGAGAGACCTACTGGCGGATGGCGTATTCATCATAGTGCTTGCCGTAACTCATCTCCTCAGGTTCTCGCAACGCGTATGGTGTGGGTTAGAGGAGCCATCCCAAAGTGCGCAATAGGGGGCTTATATAGTTGGGCGCGAACAGGGAACATGGCAACCCATGCTTATCAGCTGGTAGGCTTTTCCGAATCAGGATGGATCCAAGAAGGGCGACTGATAATCAAACTGGAGCAGCCCGCAAGCGCTTTAGTTAGGCCGAACGGCAGTGATTCACCATACCAAGATGATGAGCACCATTTCTCTTTGCTTTTGCTATTTAGAAGTGATAACCTCGGTCTCAAAGCGGCAAATTTTGCTGCAGTCTCAGAGTTGATTGATTATGGTGTTGGAAACTTCGTCTCAGTAGTGACTAATGCTAGCGACGGACCACCTTCAAGCCTACTCTTCCTTCAAAACTACTCTCCAAGATGTTCCTTCCAGTACCCCCAGTACTTTCCCTTAAGATCCAGGAGATCCGCGTGACTTCCTCACTCGACAATTGATCCTCTCTCGCCGAGCACAATGATTTCATCAGCGTTCCTGACTAAAGATAAACGGTGTCTAATAACATTAGGATCCAGCTTCTCCAAATAGTGCGGTAACTTACGCCACAATTATCATTATACTGTCTTTGAACCTTTCAAAGAAGCTTCGTTTGATGCGGCCTTCTGTGTTTGCATCTAGGGAACTGGTGGCTTCGTCAAGCAATACGATTCTGGGCTCTTTGAGAATCAGCCGAGCAATGGCTATCCGTTGGACTTGGCCACCTGAGAAGTTCCTGGTGAAGTCAGTTATTTGCAGTATATCCATCATCTGGTGTTACTCACTTCCCTGCAACCCCACATGGAGTATCATAACCTTGTTCACGTTGCATGATATCGTCGTGCACACATGCCTCCAAGCAAGCGGCATGTAAGTCTTCGGTTGTGGGCGTGCCCACCGAACGAGACCATCAACCGTCCACCCCACCTCTTCCCCCTGCCTTGCAGAGCTGAAGTCCAATTCTCGGTCTGTGGGAACCTTTGTGTGCAGCTGGAAGCTCATCCCACCACATAAGATCCAGGCCACTTATTTTCGTCGTTGAACCTGACAATAAGACGACATGGTTTTTTCGAGGCTCCGAGATAACCCGATTCATCCATTGGCTGCATTTTAGACGGATACAGCTGTCGCTTCCTCTCATCATGACCGGCCGAGTCTGGCCACCACACGTATTTCACAGCCGACGGGAACTTTCAGACGCAAGATGCAGGCGAGGTTCATACGTCTTCTTCTGATGAGATTTTTTGTCCAGCTTTATCTCAGTCTCCTGCCGATAGCATATCTGGGTGAGCATCTTGGCGGCAATCATCCTTGCTCAGGAATATCTAGAAGATGACACATTTGAAACGCGGTTTTGGATCAATCATACTGGAGTGTAAAGTGCGGCAAAGCTTTGAATTATACATGAGTCTTGTGGGTTCTTGAATGTCTTTTGAGATCGGACTCCCTGCGAAATCTAACTTCTAAGTGACAACAATCCGAGTGTGAACACTTATACGGCAGGTGATGCGTGTTTAAATGACGTCTTTGATCATGCCTTTGTAAGTTATTGATGTGGGCAGTTGACGAGAGCGATGACGTACCGAGCTTCGGTTGCGCTGGGTGTACTATTCATGCAAGGGAGATATGGACAGTAATAAACGACGTCAATCGTGGAAGGAGGAGACGCTACCGAGTCTGTTGATACGCTCTGGCTGACTTGCGTGTGTACGATAGCGTTATCCGTGTTCGGCTCGGCATGTTGGCCAGGCGTGTCTTCGGAGCGGAACCAAGTTGTTGTCGGTAGCGCCGCAGGTTGCGACGGAGTGGCATACAGTGTTGAACTTATCGATGCGCTTTTGGAAGTATGCTCGGGTATGAACGTTTCTTCGGTGCGGAACCAAGTTGCTGGAGGAACTGTCGAGAGTTGCGGTACTAGAACTACCGATGCACTCTGGACGATATGCGCATGTACGAAGCCGCACTCGACACTAAACTGAAAGTGCCGGTCAAGTTCGTCTTTAGAATGGAAGTTTGTCTCCATACATGCGCTATTAAAGCACTGAAATAGATAGGTGTCATGCGGGAGAGAGCTAATCTGGGGTCAACGGCTGTTATTAGTGGTCGGACAGGTTACTGACCTGAATCCGGAAAACGGTGTTTCGTCCTTGAGCTCAGAAACCTTCTCGTCTAAACACAGCGAGGCAAACTCGGCCGGCGCGTCCCTGTTTTTCTCAAAGAGCAGGCCAGCGGACAAGGTCATCTCGTTCCTCTTCAACACAGGAGACCCTCGCTTCGGACGAACTGCTAGCTGGGGCGGTTGAGACGGTTGGAGACTTTGAGGTTCATTGTCGTCGTCGAGCTTCGCCCTTGTCTTTGAACACCGGATTGCCTCGAGTCGCATCTGAAGCTCTTTATTGCTTGAAGGGACGGTCGGCCCCAAGCCAAAAAAACTAAGCAATTTGGCAGATAGAACTGACTCAGAGGTTGCTCTGTATTGATGGTACTCCTCAGTCAACGCTTGTTTATATATTGGACTAGGTAGTAAGCTGGACCAGACTCGAGCAATACTTTGAGTGGGTTAACGATAATAGAGAATTGAATCCCTCAACTAACTTACATCTGGATCCTTTGAACTCCCCACTTAGGCAGGGCCTGAACAACCGTTTGGATCTCACCAGCAACCGTGTTCTCAATTAGCGGCTGGATGTGTGTCGTCTCGAACCTTTCCCACGCGCTTGTTGGACAAGTTTCCCGTGGGAGAAACACGGGGTGGGAGGAAAGGGAATGGTTGGATTTTCCACTCGTGAAGTCATAGATAATATAGTCGACAAGACGAGCATGATGAATCGCAGTGCAGTTAAGGTTCTGTTCAGCACAGGTTTGGCACTGCAGAGGACGTGGAACGAAGGATTTTTGGGAAAGAGTTGCTGACATGTTGAATGGCAAGGCGATTGAAGATCTGGTCTTTGGGTGATGATGGATGGGAAGTGCATTTTGGGGCTAAATGCGACTGAAATATACCCGCAGGCCATAAACATGGCCAGATCTGGCTGCTGCGACTCCTTGACGTTGGGGCAAGCGGGGTATCGAGATGTGCATACTACCTCCACTTTCCTCTCCCGATCCAAGCTTTGCGGAGAGCGGTCGAAATCTCTTAGGCAGGGAGAAGCAGCCAGGTTACGGAAATCTTGCGCCTAATTGCCAGCCATGAGAGCGTCGACCCAGTTAGGGATCATTTGCAGGCCATTCTGGACTCGTTCACTCACCACGGCCCCAACGGACTGCACGCGTGTATCGTCAGTACTCCTGCATGGGCTACCATAGCCCAGAGCCATTTCCGACGCGATCACGAAATGATGTTTCCGTTGGAGTCGGCTCGGTGTATCATCGCACAGCTCATCACGGGTGTTGCGTCCTTGCACTCCGCAGGAATCGTCCATGGAGGTAAGAAGCAATTGCTTCGGAAATGCAAACTTTACTAATTCAATGGCCAGATTTGCATACCGGCAACATTCTTCTGTCACTCCCCCGAGACCGACTTATGGACCAGACCATTGAAGAGGTTTACAAGAGACACGGACGGCCGACGAAGATTCCTCTCCACCTGTATCAAGAAATGACACTTCGAAAACCCGCCATTCCAGCCAATGCGCCGCCATACATCGTCAAGAGCCTGGATCTCGGAGGAGCATGCGACACCATCAAGCCAGCCGATGCTAAGGTCTTCATCGGAGACTTCAGCGAATCATGGAAGCCATCTTCGCAGACAAAGCACACCCTCTCGACGCAATACCCGAGCCGAGCACCCGAATTCATGTGCGGAGAGAAGCTGAAGATTCCCATGGGACTACCGTCAGACATCTGGTCTTTGGGATGCCTGATTTATCGGCTTTTAGGACCCAGGAACATTCTGGAGTCTAGGGCACCCGATGATGATGCCGTCTTCGCGGGGATTGTTGGCATGCTTGGAAAGCCTCCGCAGGAGTGGTGGAACGCTTGGGACAATCGTGGGAAGTACTTCGACGGCTACGATGCCAAGGAGGTTGCCCAAGACATCTTAGATGGCAATGGAAAGCCCGACCAGAAGCGCGCGTCGTTACAGCGCCGTGTGCAGGTCTGGCTGCCCGAGGACGGACGTTCGAACATCTCGAGCGAAGAGCAACGAGACCTGCTAGCTCTTCTGAATCCGATCTTCCAATGGCGTTCTGAAGATAGACCCACGGCGAGTCAGCTGCTGTCTTCATCTTGGATGACGAAATGGGGCCTTCCAGCTGTCAAGGCCATGGAGCAAGCTTCTGTTCAGACGGTTAACAAAGATGCGGACAAAGGAGATCCAAAGGTCAGTAATGATCCAGACACCGAGAGTCAGAAGCTGGTACAAACAGAGGTTGTGGACAAAATGAAAGATGGAGAGAAGTCGAAGACGGGAAACAAGTTGCAGGAAGGAAACAAGCCGGAGACTGGAGGGAAGGAAGAGATTGGCGAGAAAATGAAGGCAGGCAAGGCGGACACTGTTGAGGCGAAGACAGACGAGACAAAGATTGGCAAGGCGAACACTGGCGGCACGAAGACACAGACGACGTCGACCGCAAAGGTTGTCCCAGTGAAGCAGATTGTCGGAAAGAAGTAGGACAGAGAGCAACATGCCGCCACTTGAACCATGGCACGTGTCAGAAGGAAGACAGATACAGTGGCTTGTATGGCAGAACCCCGCGAGCAAGATCCTTCAGTACAGAATGGGATGATTTTAGAAAAGAAATCTCAAAGCTGAATCGCAGAGTGCTCCTATACAAGACTTGAAGTCCCGAATCCTTCTCAAAAGGAAATTCCCACCTCTCTATTACCCCTTCAAACCAATCCAATTGAGCCCGTAGGTCTGGTGTTTTCAGCAGCTCTGGCCAAGAGGACAATCATAATCTTATCGCGAGCAACAGGAGCCCATGTCTTCTCCAGTCCCTCCCTCTTGACTGGCGTTGGGGCCTTCGCCCATGCCTTGAACGAGAAACACGATGTGCCTTCACCTTCATGGCGCACCAGCTTTATACACATGTTGGCAGAAGGAATCAAATCCCCATCAACCATTAGCTCCACGGCGGGAACACCCTCAACCGTCGCTGATACCTCAATCGAGCCACATATAGTCACATTCAAAGTCGATGAAGCCTGATCATCTTCGTCCGGCACGACTTCGACCTTTGAAACCGTCAACTCCGGCCGTGGTATGTTGAAATCAACATGCCGATTAAGTTGAATCACGTCGGTGTCGAGAGGGGGCGTATGAGGCGGCGGAACGCGGTGCTGAGTCCTCGTCTCAAATGCATTCGCCCACTTCAGCAACTTCACATCGTCGTATGCTCGACCAGCAAAGGTCAGGTTCATCGGGACATCTTTGTCTGCGAGTATCCCCATAGGTACAGACACCGTCGGAATGCCCAAGTGACGAATGGCTCTGTTGCCATTGCTGTAGTGAACACCGTTCCGCCAAGCCAGGTCAGCACCCTCGAAGCTTGAATCCGCGTTGGCAGGCCCAACATCGCCGGCCGCTGGGAAGACGACGAAATCGCAGCCCAGGCTTGTCAGCCAATCTTCCAGGAGCACCTTGCGCATAACCTCCAAAGCTTTGACGGCTACATCGAGTCCTTCGACGTCGTAGATGGTTCCTTTGCCGATGTAATCTACTAGATTGTTGTATAGGATGGCGTTCGGCTTGTCGAAGTGTCTCAACTCCGGCTCGGTTCTCAGTGAGTCGGGATAGATGTTGAAAGGGTCAACAGCGGATAAATCCGGAGTGTTCGGATCGTTGAAGCCCTTCAAGAAATCATTCCACGCGTGCGCAATGAGAGCACTTCGTTCCACGGCAACCCAATCTTTTGGTCTTCTTAGACAGCCCTCTGGAAGTAAGTCGTCGTTCTCATACGCCGTGACAACCGGAAAGTCGGGAACCATGACAACCTCGGCGCCAAGCGTCTCAAGATCCTTTCGTGCCTGTTTCCACAGTTCGATGACTGCCGGACTGGTTTCCACCTTCTTTGCTCCCTTGGGAGTAGGGCCACCGACATACATCTCCGGAACCGCAATCCTGAAGCCTGAAAGGGACTTAGAGGAAGCAATCTCCTTGAATGAAGTCGGCTTGTCTTGCCATGGGTCCGGGAGAGGAGCGAAGGTCTGCTCTTGCCAAAAGTCACCTGCTTTCACCAGGTCTTCCGCGGCAATAACATCAAGAAGAGCCAGCATGTCCTTCATGCTTCTCGTGTGGGGAACGACGACGTCGCAAGTTGGATATAGCGGCCAAGTCCCTCGCGCGGAGAGGAAGTTTCGGGATGGCGTATACGCTACGAGGGCATTGTTGGACGCAGGAGACCGACCGGAAGAGACCGTCTCGCCGCCGAGGCCAAATGAGGCAAACGACGCCGCTGTCGAAACACCAGATCCGTTCGATGAGCCCGATGCGAATCCTGCAGCTAGATATTCAGGGTTATATGGGTTTTCGGCTCTGCCCCATATGCCCCTCTGCATCCCGCCACAGGCAACAGCTGGCATGTTCGTACGTCCGACCAGTATCCCACCAGCTTCGCGGATTTTCGCAACAATAAAGGCGTCCTCGTTGGAGATGAGATCTTTGAAGGCAGGTGATCCTGCTGCCGCTACCATGCCTTTGACTTTGTAACTGTCTTTGACAGTATAAGGAATACCTTCGAGAGGTCGTACCGGGCCGCCGGAAGCACGTCTGTCGTCTGACCGTGCCGCTTCTTCGAATATGGCATTGTTCAGAATCGGTATTGAGTTGAGGGCGGTGTTTCGACAGTCATATGTGCTGATACGGCGCAGACATCGAGCGACCAGTTCAACGCTGGTGATGCAACCGCTGGAAAGTGCATGCTGTAAGTCTTCGATAGACGCTTCAACAAGATTCAATTCTGCCATAGTTGAAAACTTCGGGGAGCAGACCCTCAAGTTGCTTAGTATCGTGAAGCTGCTTTAAGTGACACTATTGTCAACTATTCCGGCTACTTGAGTGGTGTTGCGAACCAATCGTGCGTCCGATGTTCGGTTCCTTGTCACATCTGCGGGGGAACGGCATCTTCTGATAGCCTGATAACAACAAAACACCGGAGACTGAAGCCGGTTGGCATATCTTCGCCTATCCACTTCCCCGCTCGCCGGCAGATTCCCGATCGCTAGCAGATTTCCGAAAGCCCGACACTGGATTAAACTTGGCTCATCAAGAGCCATGGTGAATTTGCCGATCAGCATAATTGCGCTGAGATTTCATCGTTCACACTCTTAGCGATACATCTTCCATTGGTATCATAGTCTGCCAAGCGAAAGCCGCCAGGGCAGAGATCCATAGAATGGCGTTTTTGCTTCAGCTGAAATAGTGAATCAAGCAAGACATCGATTTGATGATTATTGGGACTATGACCCCGTATGATGATCTGTAACCAACCACATGATTTCTATGAACTTACAACTCTCTTCTACACTCAATGAGTAATTGTGACCTTCATTCAGGTAAAGAACCTGAACCTGGGCGACTTCTCTCCATCATGCAGTTCCGAAGTATCGACATCTTGTGCGCGAAGATTCACACCTTGCGCCTTATTTCTTCGGGGATTTTCCCACTTCATCCATCCACCCAGTATCAAAATACAAGTCATCGCAATGACGTTACTGCAGCAAGTCACAATGAGTGTCGGGATATACTTGGGCGCATACTCTGTTCGAAAGGTTGCGGCAGACATGATGCCAGCAAAGTTTCCCATACCAACCAGCAGACCAGTCGTCGCGGCGCGGCTATTCTCGTTGAGATTGTTGTTATTATGCCAGGACTGGATAAGACAAGAAGGTGTGTAACTGCCTGCAGCCATCAGAAACGTTGCGAAGTAGGCGACCCCTCGGTTGTTGAGAACATCGACAGCGATGAGAATAATCATCCCCACAAGCGAGATCGCCAACGAAGTGAATACGTGAAACGTCCGCTCGTGGAAGTAATCGGAGGACTCGGCGAATATCAGGAGAATGACGAATCCGACTGCGTTGGGTGCAACGGTCCAAAGGTTGGTTTTGATGACGCTGTACCCAAGTCGCTGCACGATCTGAGGCAGGAAGTTGGAAGTGGTGGCGAAGGCGACTGGGTAGGTGAAGCTGATCATGCACCAGAGCGCGAACTTCCAGTCTTTCCAGAAGGTGAAGCATTCTTTCCAGCTGAACTCCGACTCGACTTTGTTTGAGCCGTCGCGGAGGGTACGAGCCATGGCCGCGGCCTTCTCTCTTTCGGTAAGAAACCATGCAGTCGAGGGAGAAGCCGGCAGCCACCAGAATGCGATGACTCCGACGATGACAGTCAGGAGGCCCTCTATCAGCATCAGCCATTGCCAACCCTGGAGCTTCGTGCCCTGGATCTGGAAGACGCCGTATGAGATGAGCCCGCTGAAAGCCGCAGCCAAAAGGGCGCTGCCGAAAAAGATGGCAACTCGAAAGCCAAGCTCGGATCTTCGATAGAATAGCGTGAAGTAGAAAACCACGCCGGCGAAGAAGCCAGCCTCGCAGGCTCCCAACAAGAGCCGAAGAACCAGAAGACCAGCGAAGTTGGTCGTTGCGATCTGGACAGTTGCAATCCCGCCCCATACAACCATCAGAGTCGGCAACACCCATCTAGCCGAGAACTTTTTGGTGAGAAGATTGAGGGGAAGGTCAAGAGTGCCGAAAGGAATGTAGAACAAGAGAATCAGTAGGCTGTACTCGTTGCCCTTGAAGTTGAGATCCTGTTCGAGCCCATCGGTCTTTGCGTTGCCCAGGTTGGAGCGATCGACGGCGTTGAAGAAGTACATGAGCGAGAGAAATGGCAGCAGGAAATAATCCAACTTTCTTACTAATGCACTGTTAAGTTCTAATCATGTAACGAGGTCTGAACCACGTGAAATCATGACTTACCGTATGAACGCTCACCCTCCACATCAATGACTGCAGTATTCCCAACTGCATGGTCGGAAGCGGACTCGGGGTCGTTTGAAGAGCTCCTCTTCAGGTGATCTTCTGACTTTTCCATCGTGACTCTTCGCACATTTGCCACACTGTACGTGATCTATCATGAAGTGAACGAGAACCATGGAGTTGGCAAGGCTTTGTCTTTTTATATCAGAATATCCCGAAGATCATAGACATCCTTCAGATGCAGCTTGATAGGCCACCAATTCGCCTTACTAGAAGCACCAACTTCAAGAATGGGGTACCCTGTCTTGATTGAGTAGGTTTCACCGAATCTGGACCTTGCGGGGGTACGCTCGAAGAGGCTATCTGCCTTATCATGCAGCCATGATCCTGGGAGATCAGCAACGCCAAACATCATTGGTCCGGATGTTATCGCGACTACACTGTGGAAATTTTCTGCGAAGTCGGACTCTGGACGATTGTCATCTGCAACTCTCTGTTGGACGCAGTGCTGCGTCAGACACGTCCATGATTGTGCTCATCCACGTATCGTGTATCTGCTATTAGTCATTGATACCACAGACCCCTCGCCCAACTCCGCAAGGCATCCCGATATCAATGAGCAACGTGCCCTTCTGACCCAGTACCCCGAGTACCCCGGACTAAGCGACAACACCCGAGCGATGCGGAAATCCACCAAAAATTCCCGAGGACGGTCTTTTGGGGGCTGCCTGACGTGCAGAAGACGCAAGGTCAAGTGCGACGAGGCCCGCCCTGGTTGCAATCAGTGTTCTCGCTCCTCGCTGGCGTGCGGTGGTTATGAGGCCAAGATACGGTTTGTGCATTATGCGCCTGACGGGCGGAGGCCACCGAACGATGCCGAACAGAATGACCGCGGCCACAGTCGTCGGATACTATTTACCGGTAGGTGGAAATATTTGGGACTCATCTCAATTCACAACCCCTAGCCGAGCCTAAGCTCAGAACGCTTCCTGTGCCTATTATGCTGACAGCACGAACTGCATAGAATCCGAACAAGCTGCAATGTCTAAGAGAATGCAGGAAACCATTACTGAACGAGAAGTGGACGACCTTCTGAAGCAGCTGGGTACAGATTCATATCGGCTTGGCGAAGATACACCCACAGCCCCATTCTCTTTTTTCCGGACCAGTGGGCTCACAAATTCGTGTCAGACGGCTCCGTCTCCGGCGATTCCGCATGTCTCCACAACTCCGGGCCCGGAAGACTGCGCGGATTCATGTCCGGATTCCCGAACTGAGCCGCAGATTGTTGTAAACAGCGATGGCTATTTGGAAAATTGGCAAACATCAGGACACATGTTTCATGGTGACACCTTGGATTCATCCTTAGTTGATGCGGTCTCCATACTCTCGCCTCTCGTCGCGCAAGAGGCCATCTCATCCCCACGCTATCTTCATATGAGTGATGTCACGAACAACAACCTGCAAGTATCAGTATCCACTCATGCCCATTTCCTTTTGGATCACTACAAATCTCAGATGGGGAGGCTTTTCTCACCCCTCCGTGTCCGAAAGCCCCCGTGGAGTATACTGCATTTCCCGCGTGCTCTGTCGGCTCTCTCCGAGTTGAGCATATTCAAGAAGGCAACACATGCTCATACCTCCCTGTTTTACTCAATACTCGCAGTCAGTGCCTTCAATTGGTACAATGTGCAAGTCGACAAGAGTGGGAACACGACTTACTGGCGCCATGTCGGAGAAGTCTTCCATCACCAGGCGAAGAGGGAGCTTGAACAAACTTGCGAAACCGAGTTGATGGAGCGAAAGACATCAAAGTACAAAGATGCTCTCATGGCAATATTAACTATGGTCACCATATCTGTAAGTAAAACGGACACACGCAAGACTTCTGGCGGCTATAGAATACTGACTGGCCACGAAGGTTGTGACTGGACAGCAAGAAGAAGCGAGGTCTTTTCTCCTGAATGCAGAAATGCTGATTTGTCACCGTGGAATCTTGAAAGCGAACAAGTCCAGAAAGCTCAAACTTCTTCACTCCATTTACCTCTTCCTTCGCGTAATCGAGGAAAGCACTTACGTCTATCCGCCTGACAAACACCGAACCATCGCTCCATCTCAATCCCTAAATCTCATGCATTTCCCGTCTCTGAGAACCCATAATATGTGTCTTGGACGCGATCTAGATGACATTTGTGGTGTCAACTTCGAAGTCGGGCTCTTCAGCGGACAAGCTGCTGACCAAGAGAAAGACGAAAAAGTCTTCGGAGAAATATACGGATTTCCACAAAAGCTGCTCTCTTTCATATCGCAAGCAACGCACCTGGCGAATGAAATCGCCTTCCTGCGGTCTACTACTCCTGGAACTTCCATGACTTCGGAGCTCGAGGCCCATTCTAAGAGTCTGGAAGATGAGATATGCGCATGGAGCCACAACGGAAGTGTTGTCGAGAGCGATACTGAAGATCCTGCCTCGGTATTCGCAAATCGGGTCATTATGTCCCACTTTGTCGAGGCTATTCACTCGGCTGTGATCATCTTCTTCTATCGACGAGTCCGACAAACGAATCCTCTACTACTACAGACGCACGTCGAACAGACTATTTCCAGTCTCGAACTGTTCGAACGAGAGCAAAAGAACTTTTCGCTCGTCAACTGTGGGATTGTCTGGCCAGGGTTCATTGCAGGTGCTGAAGCTTTGGACAGCAATTGCCAAGCACGGTTACACCGGCTTTTGACAGACTGTGCCAGGACGAGTGGGATGAGGAATTTCGAATCTGCCGCTGAATTCTTGAAAGTTCTTTGGGAATCTCGCAGTCAGCAAGGGAACCGGCTAATGACTTGGATGGATCTAGTCAGACGCCAACAGACCGCCTTGATATTGACATAGCCATTGCTATTTCGTCTTATGTTGTACATAAGCCAGGCAATCAAAATACATGTGGCACAAAGATTTGCGTTTGGAAAATTCCAGATGTGGTCCATAATTTCATGGCTAGTTACGGAAGTCCCCGTTGCTCAAAGCATCTTCCACTTCGAAGTCCGGCTGGAACTCACGGTACAGACTATCAGGACTTGAAGTCATCCTGAAGGTATACTCTGCTACGTTATCCGCAATGATTCTCTTCGGGATGCCATTTGCAGCTGCAGCCTCCGCCAAGAGCTGAACCTGACAGCTCTTCTCCATAAGTGTGAACAGATATGCTGCCTCGTCAACCGTTTCTCCCACCGTAAGCAGCCCATGACTGGTCAGAGTCATCACCTTGCCCTCCGGTCCAAGCGCTTCTGCCAAACGCTTCCCTTCCTCCTCATCAAACACCACGCCACCAAAGTCTTCATAAACAGCTTGCGCCTTTCCGTAAAAGATGCAAGCATCTTGATTGATCATCTCCAAGGGCCTGCCAAAGGTCGACCAAGCCTTTCCGTACACGGTGTGGGCATGGCAAGCTGCGTTCACGTCAGGCCTCGCTTTATGGAGAGCACTGTGAATGAGAAAGCCAGCCGCGTTCGAGGGCAGACTCATGTTCCCGCCAATGGCGTTGCCGCTGTAGTCGACCAAGACCATATCGGAAGCCCGGATCAACTGCCACGGACGACCGAGTGGGTTGGTCCAGAAGGTGTGCAGGTTCTCGGGATCGCGGACTGAGATGTGACCGGCCATACCCTCGTTGAACCCCTTGCGAGCGAAGATGCGGAAGGTCGCGGCCATGTGCTCGAGGATGTGCGTCCGATGTTCGTGGAACGAGGGAAATGTTGGGATGCCGGGCAGAGGCGTGCCCTGCGAAAGTGCCTCGAGGGCAGTTTGTCCCTCCTTTCCATGTGGGTTCCAGCGCTTACTTTGCGCGAGAACTCCGCCATTTGTTGAAGAAATCATGTCGGTGTTGGAATGAGGGGCCATATTGAGGTCGGGAAACGCCGAAAAGAAGCGATTGCTGTCTAACAGAAAATAAAATTCAAGATTCTCGATTGAAAATTTTGGGGGTTGGGAGTTTTACTTTTGCTCTCTCCTGAGTCTTTTATCCAGTTATGAAAACGGTGATACTAGCCGAACGATTTCGGGATGAGTTTCCAAACCAAGCCGCTTGATTACTTGAGTCAAGATTGCTTACGAGATTGAAATTCGTGAGACGAAGCGGGACCCGGTCACCTACGGCCCCACCCAGCCGATATTCACGGCCCTCCGAGCCGAGATGTGGAGCGCCCCTCTCGGAGGCGGTTGTGTCTCCTAATCATTTTGCCGCAGCTTCCTCAAAGAAACGAAGGTTAGTTTTCATCGCACGCGCAGAAGGACTGTCTCGAAGAAGAAGGCGAGCTAAAGCTATGACCCCGATGATTACATGTAAAATTAGACAGGAGCACTGTTCCGTAGTACTAATAGGCGCCACCGGCGCACTAAGACGGGATCTTTTGAGTTGGTGCTCACACACGACGATCCCGCCGTTTAGAAACGGGGCTCTAGGAACGCTTCTTCGAATGCCGACAGCCACGGGGATTTCCAGAAATCGTGCCGCCTAACGCATAGACACTTTATCGACGGTACGCTCCCCGAAAGAGGAAACCATGAGCCCCTGGCCACAGACTTCGCCACGCCTTGTTTGGGATCTGACGAGCGCTAGGTCAACAAAGTTGGCATCAAGCACTTATGGCCCTGAATGAGGTAGCAGAAAGGATTCTGTCGAAGACTCTCATTGCATTAGGCCAGCAGGCGCTCACGCAAATGAGATCAGGATCTTCGAGGCACTGCTAGTCTTACGGGAGATTACGTTCATGGTTAGATCATGGAAGAAAGGGTCGCAACTTACCGAGAAAATAAGGAGAAGCCACCGAAATGATTAGTGCATATGGCCGACAATGTATAGAAACTCTGACTTCCCTCAACTTCCCAGGTCGAGCATGTCAATCACCCTGACTTGGCATCACGAAGTCAAGATGGCCTCAACGAGTACCTACCCGGGGTTTTACTCAAAACCAGAGGGTATATATTCTGGAGAGGGCTGGGCTGAACCAACCACAAAACCCTTCCTCGAAAGCACTACTACCGTCGAAGAGGTGAAGAGCGTTTTCGAACACGACGACGACACGCCAAGAAGACGGAGATTCCGAGGGTTTGGACACAAGGCCGGCCCCAAACCGGTAATACGAGGGACTGCAAAACGATTCTTTTTGAGATGGCTCGTACACGCTCCGGCCATTTCTGTTACCTGCGTCATTATCTGGATCAGCCACATGCAACTGTTCTGGTACCCCGAGCATGGAGTCGAGCCTTTCAGCACAATCCGAGTCAAACTCAGCGCCACCGTTATCAGCAACCTGCTTCAACTGGCTTCGAAGATACACGAGATCATGATTGTGGCGTCACTTGCCTCCATATCCGTGGCGATGTTCAAACGAAGGCTTGTGGGCAAGGGTGTCCGTCTTGGTTTCCTTACCGGCGGATATCGTGTCGGCGATTTGGAGTATCTTCTTAGCGGGGCGTTCTGGAAGCAAGGCAAGGACGTCAGGTTGAACATTTGGGAGGTCGGATTGGTGGGGTATCTCGTGTTCGCCACGATCATGTCCACCGTCGTCGGACCGGCCTCTGCGATTCTTCTTGTCCCGAGTCTGGGTTGGTTCGACCTAGATGGTGCTTTTCAGAACGTCAAGATGCCTCTCAGTTACGGTGCGCTACCTGAGGATGCGTGGCCCCGAAATCTTAACGGCTCATCACTTGATTCGACTCCAGAATGCAACACGACCGAAGCACTCTACACTTACTGGTGCCCCGTCGGCGGCTTCTCGGACATCTGGAATTGGGCGGAGGGCTTTCGATACGCCGGACTCACCAACAACCTCACTTTTCAGCATCCTTCCACCGAGCTTCGCCGACGTCTGTCACTCTCAGAGTATCCAGCCGACCGAAATGGGTCAGTACTAATGTTTACGACCCCGTCAAGCTCCATCATGACAACAATTGGTCTCTTTGCGAACTACATCGCCCGGAAACCTGTCCCAATTGGCACCGTCACAGATGCAACGAGATATCAACTTACGACAACGACGCCCTTACAGCAACCGTTCGTCCACGGCAAATGCGTGCTGTACGATCGCGACCAACTTCTCCAGGAAAACGGTCTTCCGTACTTTCCGGTTTCAGCTCTAAACTGCTACGGTGATGCGGGCTGTCTCCGAGTCCAGAAAGATAAACCGACTTTCAAGTCCAGGACATGGAACGACACAAGCACTCATCCAAGAATGACCTATAACCTCCACTACTACGACAAGAAGTCTCCCGGGGGAGCGATGCTCTGGGCTGGCACGATTCCGTACGTCGGCGACAGCACGAACACCAATCAAAAGCTTTGGGTATACACTTGCAGCTTCATGTCTCGCTGGGTCCCGGCGTCTTTCACCATTGACTCCGGTGATTCAAGTATGCTTCTGTCAAATTTCAGCTCACTGGAGGACATGAGCCAGGCCTTCGAGGATTCGACGCCCCAGCCAGATCGAGTGGTGCAGCCTGATCCCAGCTGGGTAAGGTTGATCGACCCAAGCTTCAACATGACCAGAATGATGCCAGGGACGCCTGAAAACGTGGCCGAGGTCTCGGAAACGTCACCGATCAAGTTAATTCTCAACCAGTTCCTGGACAGTCGCAGCAACAACGGGACAAAGGTCACGTATATAGACACGGTCGATGGTGATCAGAAAAGCACCGAGATATTCCTTACAAAGGTGTTCGGGGTGCTGCTGACCGATAGTCTGGCCCGGACGTCCTCGCACGAGAAGGCCGCATTGATCCTGGATGAGAGTCCAACCTCGATGAAATGGATCGACCTCAAGGAACAAAGCGGGTATCGATCTGGTATTCACACGGTCGAGGCCACCAACAACCAGACATTCCCATCGGTTTCATATCTGAACGACGACAAGGACCGTACGCCTCTCGACATGTCCGTCGAAGATGCCACGCAACAGTTCCGCAACATGGTACAAATTGATTTCGACACCCAGCGCTACGGGTACGGATCCGGCCAGTTCACAAAGACCCTGCAATTTGCCCTTATCATGATGTACATCTATCTTGGCATCGTGGGTATCTACGGCTTTACCATTTTCTCATCACACGCTGCTGAGCTATTTGGTCAGTTGCTGGGCCGCCGCAGGTTTCATTTAAGGAGTGTCGTGGCCTGGGGAGATCTGGCCGACCTGATGTTGCTGGCTTTGAGGTCGAACCCGCCCAACGACCCAGAATTAGACCACGTTGGCGCGGGCGTGAGAAAGACTCAAGGTGTATGGAACAAGGTTGTCAAGGTCCGCATAGACGAGGACAACAAAGTGCAGCTCGTATTACATGAACAAAGGGGCGTGGGGCCGCCGAAGAGAAATGTTTTGTATTCCTAGGGACTGAAACAGAAGTTCTGGATCGCAGATGCCGTACATAAAAGCTTCCAGTTAGCTGAAATGCTAAACATTCCAAGACTAGGCCTGGCCGTCAATTCTTCTGAGCCGAGTCGACTGATCACATCTAGTGAATTGAGCAAATGATATATACTAAAATGGCCAGGATCGACAGCTGAGATGGTCAATGAGTGCTCGATCTTGACTTTCTTTCAACGTCTCACGTCCAATTCCTGCAGGCCGGTCACCGATATTCGGACTCGGTCAGTCTCGAAAAGACCTTAACGGAACGAGTAACTTCATACTCACCTCGAGTCAAATATCCGCAGAGTACATACTTAAGCAACCAACAGGCTGGTCGAGTATGTTGAACATGATAGGTTTCTAGTAACGTATTCTGAACAGATTCTCAGTTTCTCGGCTAAAAGGTCTGGTTCATCACCCCCCCAAAGTCAGACGAAATGAGCATACCTCAATTTCCACTTCTGTGGCGCCGTAGGTATGTCTTCAGCGAATGCGATGACTGTCTCAATATTGCCGAGCAACAAGGCCTCGACCCAGCGGAGTATCAATGCATTCCCTGTATAAGTAACGCGTGGGATCGACTTTGTCTGATGCCGGGTTTCTTTGATCGCCAGAAAACGTACGTTGACGAAAGTCTAGACGTCGAAATGACCGACGCCCCGCCCCTCGAACAAGAGGATATTCGCCATCTCCTGTATCCGCATATCATGGCATGGTTGAACTCTGCATGTCCGTAAGTTGATCAGATAGCCGGCTCAACCCCACCTTTTCGGTCCTGGAACCGGGGTTGAGCTGAGATCCACGGCTTTGGACCCTCTTCTTCTGCTGGACGGACTGATTGCGGTCCAAGCCCTAATCAGTCAAGCTCCATATTTGCAACTTTCTGCGAACTCGTCAACAATCTGTTAGAACATTCTGACCATCTGGAAGGGTGGCCGAGTTGGTTATGGCGCCAGGTTAAGGTCAGCTTAACATCTGTTTCCTGGTGGGGCAACCCGCGCGAGTTCGAGTCTCGTCCCTTTCAAATTCATTTTTGCTTCCTGTTGTATGTAGTTGACGATGGGTTGGATTTGATCATGAGACCAACTCCATTTTTTCACCTAGATTACTGGGAAACGTAGAGAAGTACTAAACTTTGAGATAACTAAGCATATTTAGGATTTTAACAATCGGCGCCAAAGCAGACGCGTACATTCCTGGTCTTATAATTGTCTGACTGCAAGATAGTTTGAATTTGTTAGTTGTCATATGCAAAAGTTCGCTCACACCGGACTCGGTCAAAGTTAGAGTTGTCGGTGAGCCGCATATTCCCGCAGTGTTAGTCCATGTACATACGTCAGGTGTCCGGGCGTGGCAGTGCATCCTATCGGATCGCGTTAGTGCTGTGACACTTGGTCGAGTCAGGGGGATGAACGGGCGCTGTCATTGTCAAATAAACCCCTCACCGGGAGGCAGCCCGAGCTTGTGATGTTTGCGACATTTACATCTCCCCAGTATCGACTTTTTCAACATGTCCAATACGAACGATTGTTTCCCCATCTGAAGCGCCGCGAGCTAGTGAGGGCGTGCATCGGTCTGGGTTGGTGGAAGTGCTGCAGAAGGTTGCCCCCCCGAAACACCGAAAGCGCCATCAATAATACTCCGAAAATCATCAGCATTCCGATCCCGAAGCTTGACGTCAGATGGAACAAGCCGAAGGTCCCCGGACCCCGGATCTCATCGACTGGTCTCGACCATTATCACCATGGGGTGATGGAGATGCAGAGGCGCCTGGCGCCAGCGGCATCGACCCTGATTTAGAAGCAGAGAGGCATATTTCTGCGAGTGCTACAGGTAGCATTAGTACGGAAATACCGCCTTCTGTGTACTTCACGATTCATCGGTGAGGCTTTCTCGGCATTGTCCTGTATCGCACACCTTACTGATCTCATGTCTCGAAGAATCCGACGTCTCATTCTCGCAAGTATAGGTGAGATCACCTCGTTCACCCTGGACCTTTGAGTCGCCGCTGACTGTCAACATAGATGACCCGTACACGTTGGATCAACTCCGAGAGCCACGGATGAACTCACTCGTAGTGCGTCCACTGGTTGACCGCTTGTATGATCCCGATGACCCGACAATAGGTATGCCTCCGGTTCCTGATGTCGCTCACAACATGCAAGCTGACGCGCAAGAAGTTTACTGTCTGCTTGCAAATCGCATCCAGTTTCTGAGACAACACACAAGCACTGCTCACCAGACTGTGAACGTCTCTCGCGCAGCCCTTTGTGAGCTTGTTGCCAGTCGTGTGTTGCGTCGATACCATGAAGATCACCCGGGCCAGATTGGCCTTCTGATTCTGGCCCACATCCTGGTTGAGGGCTTCGATCCCTTTCAGGGTGCTCCCGAAGAGGTGGAAAGCGAATGCCGCCAGCTCCAGTGGCCGATTCAACGACGTGATGGTCATGAGAGAAAGCTTACGGCGCTCGAACTGGCGATTATTTCAGAAAGCAAAGTCTTCCTCAGCTCTTCGGCATGTCAACGGCTAGTCGATGCCGTTTACCAAGGTGTCGTAACGTATACGCCTCTCTCTTTCGTCGACATCTTACCGGATCATTACGAGTTCATTTCCGTGTCACTCTACGAGCCACATCGGGCACCGATACTCGACGAAAGGCGGATGATCGTTCCCTGGATCAGACGAGTGACGGAGTTTTGTCAGTTTCTCACCCTTGTGGCCTTATACATGATGACAATGGTGAACCGGAGCAGCCCAAGTCTGAGCGCATGGGAATGTTTCTTCGCCGTCTACACTGCTGGATGGACTCTTAATGAGTTTGCCGCAATCATCGAACATGGATGGGCGGTTCACTCACAGACTCTTTGGTCGTTTCTCGACATTACGTTCTGCTTCATCTTCAGCTGCTACGTCTTCGCCCGAATCTACGATGTTCTTGGGTACGGAGGGGTCATTGCGGATGGATACGGCGTACATATCCTGTGTGTCGCAGCTCCGGTACTGCTCACCAGGGTGGCCTTCACTATCATGCCTGACAATATCGTATTTATAGCGATGCATGCCATGATGAAGGACTTCACCCTCCTCACATTCATCGCGATCTGGTGTTTCGCAGGCTTCCTCCTTGCACTGCAATGGCTTATAGGTAGCAACGCTGCAACCTCAGGAGCCGGCGACAAGACACCTCTGACATGGTTCGAGACCTGCAAATGGCTGATCTGGACTTGGTTCGGACTCGACGGAACTGGCATCGATCGATCGTCTGATTTCCACCCAATTCTTGGCCCTGCTCTGATGATTGCCTTTGCATTTCTGGGCAACATACTCTTCTTGACTCTGCTGGTTGCACTGTTGAGTAACACATTCTCCAAGATTATCGCAGATGCACCGGCCGAGATTCAATTTCGACGCGCAGTCATCACTTTCGCAGGGGTGAAAAGCGACTCGATTTTCGCATACCCGCCGCCATTCAACCTATTAGCACTCGCAGTTCTGCTACCACTCAAATCTGCCTTGTCTTCTCGATCTTTCCACAGCCTCAACGTCACACTCATTCGCGCCCTCAATGCACCGGCATTGCTCCTCATCAGCGCACTAGAACGGCAGAGAATCGCTCACCCCCGACGAGCGCGCTCACAATCGGTCTTACATTGGAACTTTAGCGGCTTCAACCCTCACGGCGATATTCAAGCGGTCTTCAAAGCTGAACCTCCGCCGGCAGTCGAACGTGAGCTAGAGGATATGGACAACTTGAGCGACGTTGGTTTCGCTGAGAGCGAGCTGGGATCAAGAGTGGGATCATGGGACGTCAGCAGACGGCCGCGATCAAGACGCCGTCCGTACAGACGGAGGGGGCCGGGAAGAATGGGGTCGCCCATCAGTATCGTGTTTCCCTTGCCCAGTGTACAACGAGTTGGCACAAACGACTTTGAGCCAATGTCGGGTTCACCTGCTCGCCGTAGTCAGATGTAGCTCACCAAGTCTAAGTGAAACAGACCTCGAGATGAGAAGAACGAATTCTCATTGTCATCAAATAAGCTTTTGCGTGAATATTGTCAGTCTAAGTGATCGATTTCAGCGCCGTCGTTGCCTCCTCTAGGGCGACTCATGCTGAAGTTGATTTGTCAACGGAAGCGAAGTTCGCCGGCACAACCGAAACCCAGTCCAAATGGCGGCTCGACAACTCATTTCCATCACTTCTCTTTGCTTGAGATTAGTAACCCGTATGCGAGCTTTCACTGATTACTTTTCCGGATTTTCTTTTCACTATTTCACGAGTTGAGAACACAGCCTCCCGGAGGGTTAGTGTCCTATCTGTGGATTCACAGAGGTCTGAGCAACTCTGTTTGGAAACGTAGATCCTGGTTTATCGATATTGAGGGGGAGTTTCAGGAAGCTCCACAGGTTCCCGAACAGTCCGCCAAGAACTCAACTCAGTCCTCAATCAGGGGCAATGAGATGATCGATATAAACCAATCAATTTGCCTTTCGTGAAACCATCTGATCGCACCTCTCTCATAAATGATTCGGGGTCCGGCCACGCTTTCCGCGGGTGGGCAACGGGCGGCCTTTCTCATATTTTCCGAACACGTCTCAACTTCTATGTGGCCAGCCGAGGTGCAAGTTGAAGCGGTGTTGTTTCTTTTACGGCGTCGTGCATTGGTATGAGGTCGCCAAAAGAAAGAGCTGTAGCTTGCCATCCTGTGACCATTCAAGAAGCGATAACGTGGCGTTTCTTGATAGAATCCGTATTGGTGGCATATGCAGTTCGCGCAACCGAGGATCATCTCCACCAATGGTCGGAGTTCTAGAATTCAGCCGCCGTTGCGAAGCTTGACTCGCGATGCTTTCTCAGGTTTAGACTCGTTTACTCAGGCCAAGAGCCGCATGGTGGCACCTGTACAACCCGGACGATTCACGAGCGAGAAAAATGAATGGAAAAGACGCTTGTGTTTGCCATTATGGACAGAGACCATCATCGTCATTGGCGGAATGTGCTGTCCACCGCTCCGTCTTCAAAGACTTCGGTCCCCATGTACTCCGCATTTGAAGCCCTGTCCCTGCTCCCAAGTGCCGTAGCCCCAGCTCTGTAATTGAATACTACCCTATTGACAACATTCAGATGAACTCAACTGGATCCGATGCAAGGACATGCCCTCGTGAGCATCTCGCGGAGTGAAAAGTGCAGGACCGGATCGGCGGGATGGATTGACGCAGATTTGAAGCGTGGGCAATAAATACCCGGCCATTGGGGACCTGACTCCGTCTGATGTTGCGGTACCGAATCCAACCTCTCACTTTTACACTCGTTCAAAATGGTTGCGCTGCTACGTTGTCTGGCCTTAGCGTCTTTGGCCGCTGCTGTCCCTCTGGAAGTGGGTGTTAGTGTCGATGAGGCAGATGCTCGCAAATGTGGCGGCAAATTCGCAGAGACTCGCCCTCCCAGACACTCTCTGGTCGTTGATGGTTCTGGCAAAGAGCCCGATAGCTTTCCCACCATCAACAAGGCCATCGCGGCCTTGAAGAATACTACAGAAGAGCAAACCGTGTTCGTGTTCCCTGGCACGTACACCGAGCAGGTCTACATCCCCAACCATGCGGGCCCAATCACTATTCAGGGTTACACATGCGATACTCGCTCATACAAAGCCAACCAGGCCACTTTGACGGGCAACCTGTCTCGTCAAGTGGCCAACCTGACCAGCAACGACCAAACGGCCACCCTACGCATCTGGTCAGACAACATGAAGATCTACAACCTCAACATCGCCAACACCTTTGGACAAGCTGACAAAAACGGCCAAGCTCTCGCCGTCAGCGCGCAGAAGACGAACTTGGGCTTCTACGGCTGCAAGTTTACCGGATACCAAGACACCATCTACGCCAACGAAGGACGTCAAATCTACGCCAAATCCTACATCAACGGCGCGGTTGACTTCGTCTTCGGCCTCAGGGCCTCCGCGTGGTTTGAGACATGCGACATCGAGACGATAGGCACTGGTTACATCACCGCCAACGGCCGCGAGGCCGCCAACAACACCTCGTTCTACGTCTTCAACAATGCCAAGGTCAACGGTACCAGCGGCAAGGCATCCACCTTCTTGGGTCGCCCGTGGAGACAGTTCTCGAGAGTCGTCTTCCAGAACAGTGAGCTCGGCGATGTTGTGAAGCCGGCGGGTTGGTCGATCTGGGACAAGACGCAGAGCACCGATAATGTTTTCTACAAGGAGTTCAACAACAAGGGACCTGGAGCTGCCGGTCCAAGAGCCAACTTCAGCTCTGCGCTTGACAAACCTATCAGCCCGGTGACTGTATTGGGCAAGGGATTTGAGAAGGAGTGGTGGGTTGATCCGAGCTACTTGTAATTTCTCAGTTGAGACGAAAACGGAAAACATTGAACAAAAAACGTTAAGAGATGTATGTTGACCTCGTCAAGATGGTGAATATTGTTTGCTCAACGACCTGACGTCATACTACGGCTGATCTGCTTGAATGCTACACTGCGTTGCAATTTACCGACCTCATGGTTCCGGTTGAGATGTTGCCATTGCCAAAAACTCCACTTGTGATCCGGCTCGGTTCGGCCCCGCGCTTTCGGGTCGGCTGAGTGAGTCTACTCCTCATTTCAAGGTCAAAGAAACATTCTGTTTCTGATTATAATAAATGAGATATAAGTCCCGAAGTCAAAAGCTGGGTTCAATGTATGGTCTGGGTCATCCCGTGGCATGAAACACGAAACAGTCCCTTCGTTCACGGTTGCAGAGGCGGCGGCAACATGCGCATAGGTTTCTATTTTCCTTTGGCTTTCATGCCATTGGGAATCGTCTGCACCTCCTTCAACACATCGTACAACAACCCGATTCTACCAGGATGGCATTCGGATCCCAGCTGCGCTTTCGTTCCGGAGTGGAACAACACGCTTTTCTGCACAACCTCTACCTTCATGGCATTTCCTGCCAACCCCATATACGCCAGCAAGGACTTCGTCAACTGGCGGTTGGCCAGCAATGCTGTCAATAGGGTCTCTCAGTTCCCCATCATCCGAAGCGGAACTCAGGGCAACGGCGGAGGCATGTTCGCGAACACACTGCGCTATCACAATGGCACATTTTACCTCATCTCAACCTGGGCGAGTGAGGAACTGGGAGGGCCGAGGTTCGTCATGTTCACATCCAGAGATCCGTTCGACGACCTTGCCTGGTCAGATGCCATTTGGCCGCGGACGCCTGGGTACACCATTGACCCTGACATTTTCTTCGACGATGATGGCTCTGTGGTTGTCGCCTCGGCCGGCGCTCCAATCATCGCGGCCTATCTCGATCTTTCGACCGGAAATACGAGTGAACCATGGGAACTATGGGGAGGAACTGGAGGTGCAAGCGCCGAGGGCCCGCACTTGTACAAGAAAGATGGGTATTATTACCTCCTCATTGCTGAAGGCGGGACGCAACTCAACCACTCCGCGACCATCGCCCGATCCATGAGTCTTCGAGGTCCCTGGGAAGCAGCACCTGCGAACCCATTGGTGTCGAACAAGAACACCGACGAGTACTTCCAAACCGTTGGCCACGCAGATCTGTTCCAAGACTCAGAAGGAAACTGGTGGGGTGTTGCGTTGTCGACTCGTGGGGGACCACAGTTGTATAAAGACTTGATCTACCCAATGGGCAGAGAAACTGTCTTATTCCCAGTCTCTTGGCCTGAAGGGTCATGGCCTATCGCTGACCAGGTCAAGGGTCAGATGAGCGGCCCGCTCCCAGAGAAGTCCTCGATTTTTCGGGGTCTAGGGCCCTCCGTAGGCGAAGCGGACATCGTGGACTTTGAGCCAGGGTCCGCGCTACCTTCGCACTGGGTCCACTGGAGAGCCCCTTTCGATGCGAACGATTTCGCGGTCTCACCGAAGGGTTTCGAGAACACACTTCGACTCACGGCTTCTCGAGCGAATCTCACCACCGATGCCAAGTTCAACGCCTCAACCGAAGGCGTGACAGCCGTATTCCGACGGCAAGAGCATACAATCTTCAACTTCACAGCTGACATTCATCTCGGTTTCGGCAAGTCAGCCGAAGACGAGGTCGGCGTGTCCAACTTCGGCACGCCGAATCAGCATGTTGACGTTGGAGTGGTATACCTGGAAGCCGCGTCTGACAGTGGGCATGAGCTTAAGCCTTACTTTCGCCTTCGGGCTTACTCAGTAAACAACTCTTCGGTTCCGAATCCAAATTTGATGCCGGTTCCTTCAGAGTGGTTGGTTACAGAGGGTTGCGTAACTGCTGCGAACTGTGCAGCTGCGGTTGTTCGACTCCGAATTACTCCTATCAACGAGAGCCAATATCAAGTTTTCGCTTCTTCGGTCAGCCATGGTACTACGGAAATCAGTATCGGGACGTATAGCACGGCACTTCTCTCTGGGGACGGCGCCGGTGTTGGCGGAGTTCTTGGTGTATATGCAACTACGAACGGTGCCGGTGATCAGTTCTATGGCCATGTGAGTCGATGGCGATATATACCTATTGGCCAGAAGATTGACAGTAATACTATCATCCCATTGACATCGTAATCATTAACTTTATTGTATGAAAGATAAAAGAGCTACGCAGGGTGGACGCTGAATATACTCTATGAAATTGTCAAATCTGTAACTTCTGCTCTCGGTACAGTGATCTGCCGGGAAATTCATGGCAGCTAAGAAAAGAACAAAACTCATTTTATTTACATTGGATGCCAGACAAGGCTCCCAACGACTAGTTCATCAATGCCTATCATAATTCTATATCAGTGTACCTCATGTTGTTTCATCGTCGAGGAAGCGGGCAGAGTGCGAAATACAAGGTCAAGAAATAACAGGAGCATAGTCCCTGAATTGCCGAAATCTTAAACTGAAACGAAGTTGTAGATCTGTTATCATTCAAGTATTCACATGGAGATTTCATCGTTGAAATGATTGTAACAGTCGTCGGTGCTCTCTCAAGTTTCTCGGGGAGGGGTAAACGCCGAACCCCGGAAATGGTTGTGGCATTGATGCCGGTCCCCTTGCGCAGCCCCCCACCACGGAACAAGACATGTTTAAATATATAGAAGAGCCCCGAGATCTCTCTTCATTTCAGCGCGAGGACTTTTCGTCAACATCGCCAGTTTTCTCCCTTTTCGCGAAAGTTTCAGCTGTGATATTCCGAAGCCATGGCGGAAACAATAGAGTGGTTCGGTTTGTGATATTTCCCAGCCCGGACCTTCATCTTGTATATACTGACTATGTATCAGGCGCCACAACGTTCCGTTTACGAGCCAATGGGCTGGTAATCTTCCTTGATACGTGGCTCGACAAGCCCTCTATCCTACCAAAGTATCTGGACATTGATGAAGTTACGGAAGCAGACTACATCTTCATTTCGCATGCTCACTTCGACCAGTATGTCTGCAAGCTTTCCCGCTCATAACATGCCTTGTAAGACGTGTCTAATCAAATCTCGATAGCCTACCTGGTGCCGATCGGATCGCAAAGAAGACGGGCGCCATGGTGATTGCCAACGGCGAAGCCATCAACCTTCTGCGATCTGCAGGTGTTCATGAATCCCAGCTGCTCCCCGTGGCCGGTGGAGAAAGAATCCCGCTGTTCACTAAGGCCGACCGTGATGCTGCAACGGCTGGTGAGATTCCTCTCACCAACGGACCTCCCGGGGCACCGCCCAGACCACATCATTCTCGCGCCGTCATCTCCGCTCATGTATGGCCGTCTTTACATGCAATGATGCCGGGAAGTGGACACCACGACATCCCTGATGAGATCGACACTGGGACCGAATACACTGGAGAAGCGACGCCGTACGCCTGTACACTTGATGTCACGATGGGCATGAAGTACGGGCTTCTAAGACTGAAGGATATCGTGCCACCGGAGCACATGGATAAGGGGATGGTCTCATTTGCCGAATACATAGCCGATCGAGAGCGCCACGTATTCTCCCACTACGATGGCGGCCAGCTTGCTTTCAACTTCCTCATCGGTCCCGGGAAGACCCTCTTCTGGAACGGTCATCTGGGTGGTTACGAGGGGCTGATGAAGACAATTGAGCCGGCCCCTGACGTCGCCATACTTGCCATTGCAGGAAGAGCAAATCTCAACGGTCGACCTTACAACGGATCCGCAGCTTCGTTTGCGGTGGAGGAAATTAAGTGGCTGTCGCAACCGAAAAAGGTCATCTGGTGTCTCCACGACGAAGGGTACGTCTCCATGATTGGGATCAGAAAAGTGTTGATGTCACTGACCGGCTGGTGTTCAGCGCGATTAAGCCCTTCAGAGTAAACACCGCCGCTGCCACTGCCATGGTCCATGCAGAAACCTCGACAAAGGTGGATGACCTGTCCTTCGCGACTCCGGCACGACTATTCTAAGTCTTTAGACAAGGCGGTGGATATTGAGAACGTGTAGTCTGGTTAGTTTCGACAGGGGTTTCGACGAATGAAAGGTGGTTTTAGTCGAGTACGGAGAGGCTGTAAATACGAAAAATCAAGAAGAAACTTCAAGATTGGGCGCTTTACACGGCATCGGTCCGAATGATTCAGGTCATCGAAGTTCATTGAATCTTGCTGACAGTAGCTAAGGTCCACAAGAGATGCTTCGCGGCCCACCATCGTTCAACCATACGGATGGAATTGACCATTCACCGGCCTCCAATGCTTGCCGGGATGATGAATTTGGAAATCTCGGGCATCTCAGAGTAACCGACGGGTATCTAAAAATGACCGAAAGCCTCGAACCGTAGTAGTAGAGGGGCACGGTGGGGTATCATCCCGCGGTGGAGGCGGGGGGGCTTGCGGGGAGATGGGGGTTCATGGAACTCGGTCTCGCATCTGCGTCTTGCTCAGCTGTTCGTCTTATGCCGACTGTGAGTGCCGAAACCTTTGGATGACACGGAATCCTCTGAAGTCCGTTGTCGCCGACGGTGATGGTGATGAAGATGACCGAGCACTGTCTTCTATGAACAGATTTAAAATCCATCTCGTCACTCATAGCTATCGATATTGTTCTACAATGAAATTCATCGCAAAACTGACAATCACGCAATGGCTGCGCCTTTCAAAGTCATCATCGCGGGCGGAGGTCTTTCCGGTTGCTTGCTCGCCAATGGCTTGATGAACAACGGTGTCGACGTGGCAGTCTACGAGAGAGACTCGGCAGATGTCAAGAGAGAAGGATTCCAGATTCGACTGGGCGAAAGCGCGATGACTGGATTCCGAGCTTGTCTGAAGCCCTCCGAGATCGCAACCATACAATCGAAGTTCAGCCAGATGTCCACGACAGGACTTACAGCCCCGGCGATATGCAACACTAAGTTCCAGACCGTTCTCGACCTTGGACAGCTACCTTCCTACAGCGCTTCATGGGGAATCAATCGAGTTGTTCTTCGTGACATACTCGTCAACCCTCTGATCGAAAGAGGCTGCATCCACTTCGGCAAAGCATTTGAAGGTTATGAGATTGTTCGTCGGAGCGATGGCCAGGAAAGTGTCAAAGTCCACTTCGCAGACGGAACTACGGAGTCATGCGATGTGTTGATCGGGGCGGATGGTAGCGGGTCAAGAGTACGAAATATCTTATCATGGCAGCACACCTTTGACAGTTCATTGTTAACTAATATGATCGAACAGATCAACAAGCAAGTGGGAGCTCGTAACCTGGTACCTGTCGATAGTCACGTCATGATCCTCACGAAAGGACCCCTTCCTTCGAACTGGACTGAGAAGCTACCTCCGCGATTGCTCAAGAGTCCGATACTCGTTTTTGCGGGAGGAATTTCCATGTACTATGCATGTGAGTGTCGGCATAACTCAGTTACAGAAACAGCAGCTCACGATGGTGTCTAGTATTCCTTCCTGCTGCTGATGAAGCACCCGACGGCTCGAAAGACGGACAAAGATTCAACACCAAAGAGGCATCTTTCTACTGGGGGTTCCTCATTCCCAAAGATCGTGTTCCGACAGACAAGAAGTTTTCGGAGATGAAGGACCCGCTTGGGGTATGCCTTGAGGTAACCAAAGACTGGGCACCAGAGTAGTAAGCACGGCGACTCCAGCATCTTAACGTTGTTCAAGGCCATGATTCATAATTAACAAACTCTTAGCCGTACGATGTTGGAGACAGGATCAGAGGACAAGAACAGAGATCAGGTTACCGCTACACAGATCCGAGCGAGCAATAGACTCTCGAAGAGCTGGAGGAAGAACGTCAAGAAAACCACTGGCGACGAGGGGCATCCGCGGGTGTGGCTCATTGGTGATGCGGTGCATGCAATGCAACCAAATAGGTCCGTTGAGAGAAACATCCATGTTAGGGGTTGCGCAACATACTAATCTGATCCAACAGAGGCATGGGGGGCAACCAGGCATTCCATGACTGCGCCGATGCACTGCCCCGACTTCTCGAGCTGAAGGAGAAAGCACAATCTGGGTCGAAACCTTCGACAGAAGACGTCAGTGTCGCATGCAACCGTTATGAAAGCGCCATGATCGATCGGGCTTTCCCATGGGTTAGTAAGAGTGGAGGTACAAGTGTTCCCGTAAGTCGGTCTTCAGCATGGAGTTCAGTTTCCCCGCTAATCTTTGTTTCTCAGACAATCAATCTCGATGGTATTCTCGGGACAATACTGTGGGCCGTTGGCACTTTCTTGGTTTCTGGTTACGTCTTCATGGCCCAGCTTCTGAAATCTGGAGTAAGAAGCTCATAGATGACAAGAATCACATGAACTCGGGGAGAGTGGGCAAGGATTCTATCTATTGCTCTGCATGTAGAGCCTCAGTTTATAGCGTATGGTGCGTCAATATCATTCAGCTTCCAATTATCTCACCTTTCATGCAAACGGTACTGCCCTTCTCTACCAATATCTCATACTTCCTGTCGCCATCAATTGCCGCTGTGCGAATAGTGTACTCATCTCCGGCATATAACGGCGACATAGCCCTGTAGCCAACCTGTCGAACTTCCCTTCCGTCATGTCCGTAAACATCTCGCCAGTAATCTAGCATGTTGATCAGGTTCAGCGGTCCGTGAACCACGACTTCTGGATGACGTTCGATGTCCTTCGTCCACGGTTCGTTATAGTGAATCATATGTCCGTTAAAAGTCAGAGCAGAAAACCGGAAGAGACCGACAGGTGACCATCGCAAATGCCGAATCACGGTGCCATCCGCGCTTTTCTCGTCCGTGATGCTCGAAGGTCCGAATGCCGGTTTTCTTTCGGCGCGAGGCGGGGCGGTCTTTGCAGCTAACGAGACGTTGACTTCCGGGCGGAATATCCATGATCTGAGATTCCATCAGTTCGGGAGCACATCCAGTTCAGTTGAAGACAACACACCTTTGATCCTTAACGACAAGCCCGTCCCGTCCCCAGAACTCCTTCTCGACATCAACGAGAACCATCTCGTCCCCGCTCTTGCTCTTCTTCGGCGTTGCTCCCACAAGTCTCGTGCGCTCCTCGACTTCCTCGCCAACCTTCAGCGATGTACCCTCGATGAACTGCATCTTGCCGCCGGCCCACATCCTCCGTGTGAACGGGGCTGGCGCGTTGAATGTCTTGTCGGTGCCATCCATTCCCAGTTCACTTTCAACACCCACTGGCGTGAAATACACCAGGTGGTAACCCGGCGGAAGTGGTGTGCCTTGGGCAGGGGGTTTATCGGAAACGTCGACTCCGGGATGGAGGTGTTTGCGATTGAGCGTTAAGCTGAGGCGCTGCAGTTGATTTGAGTCGAAGAGCTGCTTGCGCGTGACATCTTTGCCGGCGAATGTCTCGAGTAGTTTGGATGCAGCATCAGCCGCGTTGGTGGTGAGACATCGTGCCTGGCCTCGAGCCGCATTGCGCAGTACTGATGGGCGTATTTGGTGAGCTAAGATGGCCATGATCACGGGAGATAGATGGCTTGATTTCTTGTGTCAAGACGCGAGTTGTAGCTTGGGATTCAGAAGTCCGCGAATCCCATTGGATTCTTCATGGATACTATGAAGGCCTGCGGAGATAAAGCCGAGTGCTGCATCTCATTCGCGGTCCATCTTCAGACTCGGCGAATGACGCTCGGCATGTTGACGCCGATAGACCATGCCACTTGGGGTATGGGTCGAGCACTGTGTGACGATCCCATGGCCTGTGGGGTAAGCAGGCTACTCGGCTATATGCTTTCGGCTTCTTGTTGCCGATGACATGTGGGATGAAGTAACCGAGCCCTTCGGCTCGAGAAGCCGAAGCCGGCGACTATGATGCAATGGTTTTCGGAATGCCCCATGAGAAAGGGGCATAATAAGCCGACTTGTGGACGAGTGCCCTACTGCTGGCTCATTGCACTGACCGTTGACGTAGTTTCATAGACACCGTTGAAGGAAGTTGAGTCCTTCAACTTGCATCGGGCCGTTGGCGTAGAGTTGAGGATCTAAGAACAAGCCGAGATCTCCAAGAGCATCTTCGCCCTCCCAATTCGTGCGCATCAGGTTGAAATATTGATCCTCGATGACACTGGTCCGGCTTTGGTCCGCGGAATCGTTAGCTAGACTTTGAGAAGTACCTCTCGTCGGATCAAGTGGGCTGATGCCCGATGCATGTGGTGATGTTTGATCCCCGTTCAATGGCGCGGATTCCGTGTTGTCGTTATTTAGTCTCTTCGCGATAGACTCATCGAGGTACTGGAGAAAGAGATCGAGGACGTTGTTGTTGATGCGCCAGTATTTCTGGATCTCTTTCAGCCCTAGCAAGCACATTTGAGCCCGGTGCTCGGCAAGTCTGCGTCCAATTCCATCGGCGGATCTGATGTCTATCGCGTGAATGCATAGCGCCGCAAATAAACTGGTGAGCCTAAAGAATCAATATATTTCATGATGCAAGTTCGCCGAATGAACTGACAAATGCATTTGGCCGTATTGCAAAGTCTTTTGCGCAAGCATGTCTTCTGTGATCCTACTAATGCGACAAGCTGCAGCAAGTGCTGCTTTCTTATCCTCTTCATCGCGATTCCGGAGCCAGCCGTTTCGATGAACGAGAATGCGCAAGTGGCTTGATAAGCTAGGTCAGTGATTTGATCGATCCAGAGACTCGATGAACTCACTTGTACGCAAGATGTATTAGATGAGTGAGGACCGATGGCTGGCCCTCCTCAGGCCCTCTGCGCATATCATCAGGCAGGCTTTGTTTCCACTGCTCAAGTTGCTGCTTCAAATCACGCACTTCAGCTGGTCCTGGAGGACCCCTACCCGGTGCAAAGTGCGTGTCCATGATTCTTCCAACTGTACGGATGGTTAATAACCATGCAAGGCACAGGCGGCTTCGATAACTTACGCAACTGGGCGATGTCTACCATCTTGATGACATAGTGGATGTGTTCGGCTTCTGTGGTACCAAAAGCAGTCTCTTGTTGCTCATCTGTATCGTGTTCCAAGTCTGCAGCGGTTAATGGTTCGATGTCACAGTCTTCATCGCGTATTCGGCAGGGTAGTCCAAGGGAGATTGCTGCCTGCCGTTCCCGCACCTTGTAAAGGTCAGTCAAGTTCTCGCAGAGAAAGGGAAACACGTACATAGATAGACCACCAAACTCTTCTTCTCATCTGGGCGAATTGAGAATCCCGAGTGGTGAACCGAGTTCTGTGAAAACTGTTAGCAGCATCGTGCAAGATTGTTACGTGATCCGAACGTACGATCGATGAAGTCCATGAGTTTGGGCCAGAGTCAGGACGCAACCAAGCCAGTACCTCACATCCCGCCAGTCTGTTGGACCGCCCCTCCAGAAACTGCACAGAAAGAGTGACTGGATGAGGGTAAACTCGTCCTTTTCCCAGTTGGAATGAAACAAGATCCTCGCTCGAGAATAAGTTACGCTCTTTGCTTCTGACCGGTCTTTGAATCCCATTGCGGTAATGGTCGCTTCATCGCAGTAAGTCGATCCGATAAACAGCATTGCCTGCAGCAGCAAGGGTGAGATGTCCATCATGACAAGTCGTCTCGCAATATCCGATCGGTTCAGAATCGGAAAGCACGGATGAAACCATGTGAAGTATGCGCGGAGAGCCGGCAGACAACTCTGCATGTCAGGGAACGTCAAGGCCCCTTCGTCTCTCAGGTATCGTTCTGTCGCGGAGCTGATGTGATCGGTATTAAATGGTGACGCGCCCAGACCTTGAGATTGCGGCGTCTGGGGAACTGGAAACGCCAAACGACCTTTCAAGCCGGCAGGTCCTGATGGGTTATCCAGACCTGGCTCAGCGGCCCCGGGTACAAGGGTGAGAAAGTTGGACTCCCCAAAGAACCGACTACTCCCTGTGCCGCTGGCTGAGTGTGACGACGCGGGCGTTTCGACATGAAATGGAGTCTGAGACGAGACCGAGTTGGAAAAGATTCGCGACGGCGAAGCGGTGCTCATGGAAGCAAGGGTTTCTGCCACGGCCGACGTGAGCGCCGACGGCGGAGCAGGTGTTGTGGGCTCTGGAGTCGCGGCCGCGGATGAAGCTGAGCCGACTTGTCTTTCTTTCTTGGATTTTCGAGGATATCTTCCATGGGTCAACATTGTCTCGGAATATACCATGGAAGAGGGACTCATTACTCACCGTCCTCTTCGTGAAGGAAGAATCTCGCATGCCGCGTTCGAGTTCTCACAGTTTGAGCATGGGAGGCGTTCTGTGACGTTGCAGCGGATGCGTCGAGAATTGCATTCTTTGCACGCCTGCTTCGCGCGCGGTCTCTTGAGTCCTTCCGGCGGCATGATGAGAAACTTTTTATCTGTTGCTATTCTGATTCGTTCCAGAACAATTTGATTACGATGCGCCGCTCATCATCATGATTCTTCAGATTCTATGCCTTCAATGTTAGACTGTGTTTCTGGGAATATGAGACCAGGATACGCGCTTCCAGGTTTAGTGCGAAACTCAGACTACAGTGTGGCTTAAATGGCACTGTTAACGCTAAGCTGGGGTTTTGAGGGAACTTCGGCTGTAGCATCCGACACTGATTGCACCTCATGAGCGTGATTGCAACAAGTGACTGAAAGCGCCCCGTGAGCATTGGGGTGAATTGTATACCTATGAACTGAACGAAAACGTGTCCCAGAAAGAGAGCTACAGCTGGGTTTCTACTGCCCATATCCGCAGGACTGTGGAAATTTGGAGCGACTGGGCTAGTCGAACAGTCACAGCGATTGACAGAAACCGACTCAAACTCTTAGGAATATCATTTGATGACTTGGTAGGCTAGAAACAGCGAAGTACGCGTGAATAAATTCAGTCGAAACTCAACTGTGCTAAGCGTCGAAGAAACTTATCACAACCGTCTAATTATCTTGGGCGTGTACCAACGTACTGGGTCGGAACCAGAAGCGATCCTGTCCCACCTCGTTTGATCGAACTCTTCAGTAATCCCTCGCTTCGCATGCTGTGCGGCAGCATCGGACCACACACGGGACACGCCCTCGTTTTCCTCGACCTCCCATGATGACCAGATCAAGATATTTGCCTTGCCGCCTATCGCAAGGTACTTAAAGATGAAACCTTCGTTATTCTGGGCACACGAAATCTGAAGCATTTGCAACATGGGCATGCTTAGTGCCGCCTCTCCTGCGGCCGTAAGCAAGCTGTCGACGTCAGGTTGTGCGAATGACCCCTTCAGACCAGTAGTTGTCAGTTCAAGAAACTTAAGCCGAGGCCAATACAGCTTCTGGTCCCCGTCGATTGAGGTTGAGTTCGGGTTTGAGTATCCTGCCATCCGAAAAAAGGATTCTGCGTCCATTCCGTGGAGCGCATAAAACACTTCCAGTTGGGGACTGGCTTTGATGCTTGCGAAGCAAAGACCCTCACGACCTGAACTGACATCGACCAATTTCGGCTCCTGCCACGGCTCTAGTAGGGCAACATGGGTCACCGAGGAAGGCAAATAATGAAGCAAAGCTGCGCCGCAATGACGACGCCCTCTTTGCATCGCCGCGTCATCGATGCCCGGAGTCCGACAAATGACATACTTCAGGCCACGCAGGCTATCAAGCAACTTCCTCATAGACCCCCGCGAGAATGACCTGACTGACACGCCGTAACCCCCAAAACGAAGCCGTCGAAAGATAGAAACTTGGGGCAGCGCTCCGACGTTGAGCTCAAGAGGAGTGCCCAATTCTCGTTTTTCGGCGCCGAGCTGCGAGAATGGCCTATCCCGGGGTCGAGCCGCGATGTACTGTCTGTGCAAAATCTGCCCATCGGGTGTCGAGTGCATGGTAGTACTAGGTGACGCTGCTTTTATTTCAAACTCGAGGTCATCGTTTGTCATCGAGTTTTCCCAAAAAGATAGGATTATAAACAATTTCCACATAGCTAGGGTGAAAATTCCATCGTTCGTTTGGATTGTTGCTTTGTCTTCAGCCTGGTCGCAGAACTCGCAAGAATATTCGGCCAAGTTGACTTCGAGACGCAGTTTCTTGAGGAGTTTTCTTCGATGGCCTTTGACCGTGCGATCCAGATCACAGAGGTCTTTCATGTTTTCGGAGCTTTGGACGGTCAACGAGTCAAAAGTCGTCTTCTCGAAGAACCGTTGCCATTCTGGACAGACTGAAGCCCAATCGGCTCTTTGATACTTTTCAATGTCATCTTGCGAATCGATGAAATCTAAGATCGTAAGGCGAATTTCGACTGGCAATGCCTCCCATTCGAGGGTGGCCTCGTGGTTGTCGTCATCCTCCATACTGCTGATAGTCATGCTGCCACAACGAACGACTGCTGCGTGTCAGCATCAAGAGCAGCCGATGGTTCGAAGAATGGTCTGCTTACCTGCTCAAAGTTTGGTGTTTCTGGCGTGCCCATGGGGAAGCATTGGCGTGCGAAGGAGGAGAAGCTTTTCGTGTCGATTGTGTGTACGGACACAGTTATGTACTGATAGTCGTGTGTGTTGCAGCTGCCAAACCCTCGATTATCAAGGTGCGTGTCACATCAGATCCGCAAAGTCTACCAACCCATCGTTGTTCTTTCGCCAAACTTATTTATGCTTGTGACCTAACGAGCCTTGCCTCTCAGGGTGGGATGAGGCGGACTAAAGACATAAAATGTATAACTAGTATGCATAGAAGTTCGTAGCCTCATCCTGTGTGGCCCTTATCTTCCGGTTCGTTCGAATCAATATAACCTTCATCAGCCATGCAGTTGCCACCACGCCCATTGAAAAGCCAATACTCGCAAGCATCGCCATCCGAAACAGCGGGCTATCGCTATCAGGCCAAAGGTAGGGCGTGTACACGAAAGAAAGGTTTCCCAGGGTATTAACCATGGCGATAGCGGCTGCCTTCTTCTCATCGGTCTGTCCAACCGTTGCGGTCGTCCATGCTACATTGATGTTGTTCACTCCATACGTTGCCCCGACGAACAGCACCATGGCGAAGTACCTTGCGCCGATGTTCATAGTGCTGGTTGCGACAGCGAAGCCGATGCTGGCGACAATCTTCGACATGGTGACGTGCCAAGTTCTTTCGTTAAAGTACCCTGAAGACCACGAAACAAGTACCGAGGTGACACCAGCGACCAGATAGGGTGGGCATGTGAGTACCAGTGTGATCGTCGTGCTGAAGCCGAGGGACTTCACGGCCGTGGGCATGTAATTCTTGAACCCGTTAGCCGATAAGTGAAGGTTTCCCATTAGTGCAAAAACCCAAGTTCGATAGTCTGTCGCTGCTTCCCAGAGTCCGGACCATGCACTGGTTGCCTGTCGCTTTTCTGTCGTGTCCCTCGCGACACGGTCATGAGCTAGCTGTCGTTGTTCGGGGGTCAACCATCGAGTTTGGAGAGGAGCGTTTGGAAGCATGAAGAAGGCAACAACTGCGACTCCCACTGCACATCGTGTTAGCGCTCATAATAACATGCCTTGGTCTGAGAGAGATCAAACAATCTGACGTACCAGTGACCACGCCTTGGATGAGAAATAACCACCTCCAGCCAGCAAGACCATGCTTGCCATCAAGACCAGCGAAAACACCCGCTGCGATCAATCCTGAGAAGGAGCTCGCAAGCAAGTTCCCGGTGTAAAACACGGCAAGTCTCGTCGCAGTTTCCTTCCGGGTGTAGAAGAGGCTAACCATGTAGCAAGCGCCGGAGTAGAAGGGGGCTTCCGTAATGCCCAGCACCAGTCTGAACACGTCCGTAGTTCACTGTTAGAATCGTATCTCGAACTTGTGCGCAAAGCTACCAAGCTGTATTGGGGTTGTGAGATCTTACCTGCAAGCAAGCATGCCGTGATAATCTTTGACCACACAGATCAGAGTAGAGACGATTGCCCATGCCATCATCCAACCGGACATGTACCAGGCCGGCTTGACACGAGTGACGAGCATGTTGGACGGGATCTGACCTGTGATATAGCTATAATATCATGAGCTTTATGAATGAATTTCTTTCTAGATTTTTCATACCCAACGAAAAAGATGCTGACACACGTATTGTACTGTGAGCCAACCATGTTGAGGTCCTTGTCGAGATTGTTGAGCTTCCCGTTGACGATCGCATTTCGGTCGAGGAAATTCTAACACTGATTAGGACATGTTCATGAGCTGATGGGAGACGAATGCTCACAAGAAAATACATCAGCCAAAGGATAGGCTGTTGTGGTTGACTGTTAGCAGAGCAGGTTCTATGTCGAGGGTCGGCAAGTGAAGGCCAAAATACCATGAGATACATATCCAGCTTCTTTACCAGTGCAATCTCCTTCGGGTCAACTTTGGCCACTGAGCCAAACTTGTCGGGCTGTTGTCCGGTATCTGTGGGCTTGGGGTCTTGCTGGTAGTCGACATGATCCACTACACAGGTCTCTTCATCTTTGACAGAGTCCAAGTGGAAGTGTTGTTGATTCACGGCCATACTTAGATCGCAGGAAGTTCGAAGATAACTGTCGGCTGAAGGTTGTAGCGAGAAATGAAGACTGAAATGGTTGACCTCAGAAGCTCGATACAAGTTGTAAGAATTCCCTGCTTTTATGTCGTGGAAGTGCTGATTGCCGAATGAACGCTTAAAGATGGAAACAACAGCATTTCCGACAAAAGCTATGAACGGATTTGCTCGAGTGAACCTCCTTCATTACATGAACCAATCACATATAACTCTATGGTCTTCTCGACAGTATGAGCCATGATGCAAGTAGGCAAATTTGCCTACTCAAAAAGACTGCCTGGGGTAGCAAAGACCTCGAAGTCCGGGGTGCATCTCTAGCATCTTGGCTTCCCCGTGGGGTATACGGGACCCATCGACGGCCCATGGCCATCAAATGCGTGATCGCGGGGTATGAGGTCTGGCGGTTGCGACGTAATTATTTCTCCCATCTGCAGCCGCCGAAAACGTGCCGTCTACAGCCGAAGGTCCGGAGCCACGGAGCTGCCCTGTCTCCACATTTCGGACAAGAATCCTCGTTTGAATAGGAATGGCAATTGAAGCCCGATGCACATCATCGACAGGCTTACCGGTTCTTATCCATCTCGGATATCTTCATCTTTGACCCAACTTGCAAGTCCGGAATCCCCATTCCGAGAGGCCTTCCTTGCAGTTTGTATAACGCCGGAAAACGGAGTTCTGATCGATAATCGAGCCTGTCTTGTTTCCGGAGTGGAAGGCGAAACACCCGAAGTGCCGCTGATTTATGTTTCATTGGATGAAAGAAACTGCCTCCAAGTCTCCTTCAACGTACATGATCAAAGCAATGCCATTGCTCACGAGCTTGTGCGCCATCTGTAGCCGCCTGATCCATGTTCTCAGGGAGTTTCCGCCAACCTATCATCATCGCATTTTCGCTAAACTCAGATAACTGACCTGGTTGATGGAAAATACATCTATCAGCATGAGCCGCCCGCCAAACGGCAACAGACGTCTCTAGCAACGGCGACATTCCATCTCCCCGATCGAAGGTCACTGCGGAAGCCGCGGGGTTCGCCCCGGCCCCGGAGCATGCATGCCCTTGCATGCGGCGGGGACGGAATTGCAACGGATACGTCCTGCCGATCGAGTGGGGGAGCCAACTACATAAATTGGGGCCAGGGAGCTTCAGGGTTAACCTCCCACACGACACAGACTGGACGGTGAAGATACCGTCAAAGTCAGCAACTCTTCGACAATGACGACGCAAACGACGACCGAAGCGTCGAAGCTGACAGTGTCGGAGCTGGATCGCCCAATCTACACCATCGATGAGCTCATCAGAAGACGCGCGCTTGAGCTCGGTGATACTCCGCTAATCGGGTACCCCAAGGAGGGTCTCCTTGATTTCGAAGAGCACAGCGCTCGCGCACTTGATCAATATGTTGATGCCGCCGTGCAAAAGCTTTTGGAGCTGGGGTTGACTTCGGTGGTAAGCTATTATCTTAACGTCTCATCTAACCTACCAATACTGACATACCTAGGACTCAACATTAGAGGAGTCTCCCGTCGTGGGCATCCTGGCGCAATCCGGCCTTCATGTAATCATCACGATCATGGCCCTTAGCCGCCTGGGCTATGCAGCATTTCTGATCTCAACGCGACTGGCCAGCCCGGCCATCACCCGTCTTTGCGAGTTGGCCAATTGCACCGCAATGCTAACAACTCCCAACTTCCACACAGTCTTATCGGAAGTCCAGCAGCAGCGCCATCTCGATGTTCTCCCCTTGCTGGAACACTCAGACTACTACGGGAAAGATGCCCCCAAATTCACGCGCGCGTATGACCAGGAGAGAGAGAACAAGAAGATCGCCGCCATCATCCACTCCTCCGGCTCAACGGGCCTTCCAAAGCCTATCTACCTGACACACCGCAGCTGCATCGGCGCTTTCGCAACGAACATGGGCTTGCGCGCATTTATTTGCTCGCCTCTGTTTCATAGCCATGGGTTCTATGAGATATTCAGGTCGATATACTCCAGACTGCCGATCTACTTGGGCAACTACAATATCCCTTTGACGAGTCAGAATCTGATCAAGATGCTCGACTATGTCAAGCCTGACATCTTTCACGTTGTTCCTTACGTGGTGAAGCTTCTCGCTGAGACCGAAGAGGGAATCCAGGCCCTTGCCAACGTCAAACTTGTCCTCTTCGGCGGCAGTAGTTGTCCGGATGAGCTTGGAGACCGGTTGGTGAGCAAGGGTGTATACCTTGTCGGAAACTACGGATGGTAGGTCTTCAGACTCGTGCAGATACTTCATCAACGCTTACTAACACACCTGTTATAGCACCGAGATCGGCCGCGTCATGAACTCAGTGCGTCCAGCAGGCGACAAGGCATGGAACTACATGCGCCCACTCCCCGTCGCAAAGCCCTACGTCTTCATGGACGAGATCTCCCCCCGCATCTTCGAATGCGTCTGCCTCGATGGGTATCCCGCCAAGAGCACTTCAAACTCAGACGACCCCCCGAATTCCTTCCGCACCAGAGACCTCTTCAAACGTCACCCCACGGAGCCGGACTGGTGGAAGTACATCAGCAGACTCGACGACAGGTTCACCCTCATCAACGGCGAAAAGGTCCTTCCCATCCCGATAGAAGGACGCATTCGGCAGGAGCAAATCGTCAAGGAAGCCATCGTGTTCGGAGAGCAGCGGGACTACCCCGGCGTGCTCATCGTCAAAGCTGACGGCGCTGCTCACATCCCGGACGAGCAGTTCATCGAGGAGATCTGGCCTGCCGTCGAGGCTGCCAACGCGCAGGCGGAATCATTCTCGCGGATCCCCAGGGAGCTCGTTGTCATTCTCCCACATGATGCCGAGTATCCCAAGACGGACAAGGGAACTTTTATCCGGGTGCCGTTCTACCAGAAGTTCGACAAGGAGATCCAGGCCGCATACGACCGTTACGAGAACGAAAACGAGGTTGGAGGCTCGCTTGCTTTAGAGGGCGAGGAGCTCGAGAACTGGCTTCTGCAGCAGCTCAATGAGAAGTCCGAGAATGCGCTCTCGTCAGTTGATGCGGACTTCTTCGCTTCGGGTATCGACAGTCTCCTCTGCATCCAGATGTGGAGTCTGATGAAGAGGAAACTTGATCTCGGCGGACGACAAGGTCAGCTTGGCCAGAACGTGCTTTACGAAACTGGCAATATCAAAGAACTCGCTCGTCATTTGGAAGGACTCAGAAGCGGTAGGGAAGATGCTGCCAAGGATGAGTTCCAGAAGATGGAGGATCTGATTGCCAAGTATTCCTCATTCAAGACTCATGCTGCTGGATCCGCCCCCAAGCCTGAGAAAGACCTGATTGTGAGTTTTACAACTGAACCTCCCTTTGACTTTCATGACGGCTGCTTACTATTTTCAAGCTCGTAACCGGTGTTACTGGCGGTCTGGGCGCCCATATCCTCGCTCAGCTAGCTACCTTCCCTCACGTCTCCCAAGTCTGGGCGGCTGTTCGCGCGTCCGACGACGAAGCCGCCGCCGCTCGCGTGGATACATCCCTCTCCTCAAGAGGCATCAACCTGACCCAAGAACAGCGCGCGAAGGTCATCCCGTTGTCAATAGACCTTGGTCGCCCGGACTTTGGTCTAGGCGCCTCCCGCTTATCAGAGTTGAAGTCCAAGTTGACCCTGGTAATCCACAGTGCATGGGCCGTCAATTTCAACATCCCAGTCCAGAGCTTCGAGGACCAGCACATCAAAGCCGTCCACAATCTCATCCAACTCTGCCAGTCCGTCGAGACACCCAACTCGGCACGCTTCTTCTTCTGTTCCTCCGTGTCTTCGGCGGGTGGGACACCAAGACCTGGTACGGTGGCCGAGGGTCCTGTGCCGACGCCGCGAAACGCTCAAGGTACGGGCTACGCGCGGTCCAAGTACGTGTCTGAGCATATAACTCGGAACGCGAACAAGAGCATCGGCGCTCCGGCTCGTGTCCTGAGAATTGGACAGCTGGTTGGAGATAGCAAGGTCGGGGAGTGGAACACTACCGAGGGAATACCGCTGATGATTCAGACGGCGGTGACGCTAGGTGCTTTACCCAAGCTTGACGAGGTGAGATGTCCTGGATGTCTTCGCTGGATTGCAGTCACTGACTAATTTCTAGGAAATGACTTGGCTGCCCGTCGATCTTGGCGCGACCATCATCATCGAGATGACCAACGCCGACCGGGGCAAACCGGCGCAACAAGTCAGTGAGCGGGATTCTGACCCAGACCTCGTGTATCACGTTCTCAATCCGACTCGGTTCCACTGGGCTAAGCAAATGCTTCCCTCCTTATCTGAGGCCGGCCTCAAGTTCGAGGCCCTTCCGACTGACCAGTGGATGGAGAGACTGCGAAAGTCGGAGCGAGACCCGAAGAAGAACCCACCCATCAAGCTTCTGGACTGGTTCGAGAGCAAGTATGGCCATGGGGCCGGTGCTGCCGGCAAGGGAGTCTTGGAGTACTTGACTGAAGAGAGTAAGAAAGATAGCTCCACAATGAGGAACTTACCAGATGTGACGGACGTAGCGTTTGTGCGATTAATGGTGGACAAGTTGAAGGTACGATGGGAAGCTGGTAATTAATCGAGCGAGTGTTGCAGAGCTTAGATTCTTCGAGCTAGAGCTAGAGCATCTTACATGGCCGGAATACCTCTAGAGTATAAATCAGTTGGAATCGTTACATCAGCAAACTTGTCTTCTGTTCAATATTTGTAACTGAATATCCACCGTTCACCTGGAAGTTGAGAAGTGAGCAATATTTTGTTGATGAAAACCGCATCGAGAAATCTGTAATTCGATGCTAGTAATGGTATATACCAGAGCAGCAGCAGAGCTGCCCTGTAGCAAGAATCTCGAAGAGAACGGCCCGAAGTCGATGCCGATAAGCCCCAACCCTCCTTCATCATGATCGTCCGACCGAGCCCAAAGTCGTGAAAAGAATGTCTAAAGAGGCTCGCCTGCTTCTAGACCTAAATGCAAGCCGTGCAGGTATCCATGTCCATGTCCCAAGTGATGTGAATCAATCCGCAACCGATAGCGCCAAACAACAAATATGTGAAAATCGAGTTTTGTTCGCTTTTTACAACATGGCGGCACCCAGGATGGCGGCGCCGATCATGCCGAAGCCCATTTCCGGGCGACCCGCGGCAGCGGGAGTGGCAGTGGCCGAAGCGGCGGCGCCGCTCGCCGTGGAGAGGGCTCCGCCGACGAGGTTCGATGCGGATGCGATGGCCGAGGCGTCGGGGTTGGCGGCGACGTTGGCGCAGATCTGGGGGGCGATCTTTGCGGCGGCTGTGAAGAATCAGAATCAGCAAATTTGGAACAACAGGCATATCAGTAGGAAGGGAGGTGGGTAGACGTACTGCCAATCTCATCAGTAGAGCATCCCGCCGTCAGGACGCAGGGCGTCAGGGTCGAGATGAGCTTTTCCTGGCTGTTGCAGAGGCAAGTGAAGTCTGTGGCAGAACACCCGATTTCGCTGGCCGCGGTGCTAAGGCAGCCGACTGCGCATGTCGGGAGTTGGCTGACGAGGCCGGCGAGACCGGTCGAGCCGGAGGCTGCTGCGGAGGTAGTGGCCGATTGAGCGGCGACGAGGCCGGAGAGGAAGCCGAGGGCGATGGTGAACTTCATGTTGATGGTTTTACGGCTGGAAACTCGATTGTTCGGTGGATGAGATCTGAGATCGGCAATCGAGGAGATCTTGGCTTGGTAGGTGTTCGATCAACAATGTCGTGTTCTTGTCGAAGTTGGGATTTGCGATGTTGATGAGGGATGGCACGATGCGAAAGTGAGATGAAGACGCAATTCTAGACCGGGAAAGCAAGCAGGGTAAAAAGTGGTGCTTGCGGGTATCAATCTTGTAGTGAAATCGAGCGAGACTGAGAAAGAACCGACTGAGAGGAAGGGCAGTAGCAGTGGATAATAAACCAGAAACGAGAAGCTGCTGCTGGTAATCTCGCGACCAAGAACAATCTGCAGGGAAAGCTGCGCCCAGACAATACGAGACGCGGTCGCACCACCAAGAGATTCCAGGGGGGGCAAACAAGCCAAGGATCTAGAAGTTGGCAAATACGACGGGCTGTCTGAGTTGTTGCTGGCGCTGTAAGATCACCGACTGGAGCTCCGGTTTTTCTCATGGTTGACACTGCCTCGATGCCGCGCGGTTTACTCTTGGCATCCTTGACGGTAGCTGGGGATATCATGGGCCAATCTGCGTGGATTATTTAGCATTATTGGGGCCGCGATGGTGATGGTCAGTTACAAGTTGAGGACATTACAATGCGGCGGGAACTAGAGTATTCAGCCACAGCGGCTGGCCGTTAAGTAACGAGTTGATGTCAAGTGTTGAGTCAGTAGAAGAAGTAGACGATGAGCACCAAGTTACGGATCAACAGTTCGTTTGAAGTCAACGTTGGTTGTTGCATGACGCGCTGTTCGGATGAATCTCTGTGCAATAGACGACCCGAACAACATGTCGTCTCAACGATTCTAGACTCTCAATCGAACATTCACCACTCGGAAGCTGTGGAAAACGGCCCCCGTTTGAATTGCACATCTTCTCCTATCTTGCGTCGATGTCATGTTCTTATTTTAGCGTCTTGGACCCCTGACGTGGCCCCCGCTGAGCCGCCCTTGGCTAGGCCGGTGTGGGATGGCCATGATTCCCCAATCTCCAGTCTCTCCTCGTCTTGTCTCTCATCTGTGACAGTGGGCGTCGTTTGGCCATTGCATTGCCTAGACCTTCAAGACGATAATCGTCAAGGAGCCGTGACCAAGTCCAGCTGAGTACCAAGCTTCGACGCGTCGAGATCTGCTGCGTAGTCCACCGTCCGAGCGAATTTTGGCGAGGAAGCTCGCCCCCTGATGTTCAGGGGTTCCGTGGCTGATTGTGTCAGATTCCTCGCGGGCCGATGTTTCCGTCCCGACTGTAGGGTTTATTCTGTTTGAAATGAGTGCCGAAGAGTTCCAATAAGCTTGACTTTGACAGCTACCGGCAGCATGAAAGATGGGGGTCGTCTGAATCGCTTAGCCGTTTGTCTGAAGCTGAAGCCAAGCCTATTTGAAATCTAGAGGGCTGAGCATCAGACTCGACAGCGGAAAATTGATCAATCCATCGCCGAAGATGGCTGCCTAGGCTGAGCAGCCGCAGAAGTCATTTCGCCAAAACTTTTACCATGGTCGTGTGTGCGGTGAGCTCAGGTGAGGCTAACAAGGGACTGGTGAAGATACGCGCATCCTGCGGGCTGATTCACCATTGTCTGATGTCGGAAATGCATGCCGAACCAAGCTCCAGCTCAAATGAGTTAGTGAGCCTTTTCCAACGGGTGCAACGTGCAACTGAGAAAGCATGGAAGTAATTGAGGTCCAAGGTGTAAGAATATTTTGCTATCGCGGCAAAGTCGAGTTCCACAATACATTACAATTCCTGGGCGAGAAAATATTCGAAATGCATTGCAGAATAAATATCGGCAACGATATCACCATAGCTGGTCGGCGAAAATGAAGCCTAGCCGACGGGCAAATCCCGCGATTCCCGAGCTCTCCGGCGTCCGTGTCCGCTAAGCGCCCCACATCGGCGGAACCTCCGCGTCTTAGACGGTGCCGATGACTGTCAGCCGGCCGGGAAGCAGAACGGCGAACACTCAAATTCACCCGATATCATCAGTTCTACAGCATATAAAACAAGTTCGCTATACTTCACATTTCTTCAACATCGCTGACGAAAATCAGATTTCAGAGTTCTTGACTTCGAATATATTGCATCACAACGATGGCCACATCAGACTTATCAGCGAGCGGCGCGCAGCCAAGCCCGGAGCTTGTATGGGAACAAATCCCCCTTGTTATCTCCAACGTCAACATCTCAATCTCAACATTTCGACGCCGAGGTTCTCTGGATCCAATCCTCTTCCTCCACGGCTTCGGCAGCACCAAAGAAGACTACACCGACATCAACCTCCATCCCTCCTTGTCCCAGTACCCAATCATCGCCTATGATGCACCGGGAAGTGGTTCCTCCACGATCTCAGACTACTCCGTCATCTCGATGCCCTTCCTTGTGACCGTTGCCGAAACCATCCTCAAGGCCTGCGGCGTAACGAAATATCACCTCGTCGGACACTCCATGGGCGGCCTGACCGCTCTACTTCTTGCCCAGCGCAACCTTGGATCCGTCTTGAGCTTCACGAACATCAAGGGAAACCTCGCGCCTGAGGACTGCTTTCTCAGCAGGCAGATTCTCGACTTTCCAGCCGAAGATCCGGAGGTATTCGTCGAAGAATTCATCGAGCGGACCCGCCGGTCTCCGTTCTTCGGCAACGGGATCTACGCAGCCGCTTTCAGGGCCAAGGTCAGAACAGAGGCTATTAGGCCCACATTCGAGAGTATGGTGGAGTATTCGGATCATGGCGGCTTGCTGGATATTTTCGAGGGCTTGGCCTGCCCTAGGATGTTCATGTTCGGGGTCCAACACGCTACGCTGTCATACCTTCCTAGGATCTCCGAGGCTGGTGTCGAGTTGGCCGAGATCCCCAGAAGTGGCCATTTCGCGATGTACACAAACCCGATAGCAATGTGGGAGCGCATCGAGAGCTTTCTAGCTCGGACTCAGGGCCTTCGCGAGGTGTAGAATATTTTATTTCATTGAGTCAAGCACTTTAAGTTCATCAATTCACATAGATATAGCCCAAAAGAAAGGATAGATTAGGAATATACAGCCGCCGCATCTTTCTCATTTGAAATCTCAACCGGCTGTTGCTGAAGTCTGCTCACAAAGTGTATCGGTATGCTGGGTGCCGATGACCCAAGAGATGGACACTGTCTCCAACAAGTCGGTGATCACGATCTCCTCGCTCCCTCTTTATGTTCTCCCATCGGCAGTAAAACATCTGCGCGCAAACGGTAATGAAGCATAAGATGAGAGATCCTAAGCAGACGGAATGACCCAGGACATAATCAGGTCTGTTTCACAGTTAATAAGACGAAATGGGCATGGACGACAGCGGAAACTTACGCGTTCTTTTGGAGGTAGATGAATGTGGCGGGAAAGGCAGCCATATTTGCCAAACCGATAAGCAGTCCCACGCCGGTTGCGCGGACATAGTGAGGAGCCAAGTTGTTCGAAAGCCATCCCTGATACTGTCAGCGAGTCATCCCAGAGAAGGCAGAAACAACACGACAAACCATAATCATTGCTGAGCCCGGATATACGCCTGTTGCGATGAGAAACGTCCCTCCGTATCGCACACCATTCGACTTCGAGGCCAGGATCATGATGTATCCGCACAGAGCAACTAGATTTCCGACAGCCATGATCGGCCCTCGAGCTTTGATTCTATCCGACAGAGATGCGGTTAAAAGCACGACGACGAAGGCGGCCATGTTCGGCGGCACGGTGAGCAGCTGAGCGTGAGTGGTGTTGCGATATCCGAGACCTTGAATGATTGACGGTAAGAACAGTGAAAAGCTCTGGGATGAAAGCCGTCAGCGTTGTTGAGGGTAAAATGAGACGTTATTACCAGCCGGTCTTACATAAAGAGGAATCAGCAAGAAGATCCAAGCCAGAGCGCAGAAATATGTTTGCGGTGCGAGCACTGCCATCCTGACCCAATGCCAGCTGAAGCGCTCGTCGTTGACATCCTCAACTTCAGTGGCACCGTGGGAGTCTTCTTTAAGACGTCTCATGGCCTGGATACGCTCGTCCGGGGATAGAAACCTCGCGTCGGCGGGCGTGCTGGGCATGAAGAAGAAACAAGTGATTCCGAAGACGGTCGTGATGGCCCCCTCAACTGCGGTGCGTCAGCGTCTCACTCAAAAGCTCTGAGAAACAATTCTCACTGAAGAATATCCACGGCCACCGGTTGTATCCCCCATACCGGATGCTAGCCAGACCAGTTGCCAAGAGGCCACCGAAGGCTCCACTGAGAGGTGCTGCGCAGTAGAAGAGACCGATTCTTCTGAGCATCTGATGACGCCGATAGAACATCGCAAGATAGACCACTATTCCACCAAGAAGTCCTCCCTCGAATAAACCGAGGAGCAGACGGCAGACAACCAGACCAGCGAAGGACTTGGTGAAGCCCAGAAAGGTACTGACAATCCCCCAGCAGGTTATCAACGTAGGGAGATATATCCCCGCGCGAACCTTTTTGACGATCCAATTGCTGGGAACGTCAACGAGAATGTATGGGATGTAGAAGACCAGAAGAGCGATGTTGAACTTTGTGCCAGTGGACATGTTGAGGTCTTCCGTGAGACCGTCGATCTTGGCGTTGCCAATGTTACTTCTATCGATGAAGGCGAATAACCTATTAGGTGAGACACGTCAATCTATGTAATCTCATTGTGAGAGAAGGATATTAGATTACCATATTCCGAAGAGCCAGGGAACTATGTGGATATCGAAATTCCGATCGAGCTTCTTGCTCAAAGTAGGATCGATCTCATAATGCTGCTGGGTCCGCCGGATACTTTCGACATGGCCATCCGATGGCTTCTCAATGGTGAATTCGTCGTTTGTGTCGACTTTTGCCTCGTGGGGTGTTTGTTCCGCCGTCATTCTGATGGCTGTCAAGTTCTTTGGAAGGGCAGTCTTGGAGCACTTTGAAGATAAGGGAGAGCTGCTTTAGGCCGTAAACTTCGTCGGCAAGATCGCTGAAAAATGAAAACAGACCCTCAGCGAGATTCTTACAATCCACGAAACTGAAGATGATAGACAATTCCGGAACGATTTGCACATGATACCTTATATACATCTTCAGGCCACCATTTGCTTATCTTACTCCTCAAAACAAGGGCCAGACACGACCCTGGACTGTCACCACGGGAATAGCTCCCCGCATCCATTATCCGTTCAATCACCCGCTCGTCATCACCCCATGGGGATCAAATGCGGGGAAGGCATGGATGCTGCGACGGATACTTTCCAATAGCCATTTTGACATTCGAGAACCCGAAAGGACTTCTGCACGTAGCAGCAGGGAGATAGTCGCCTTACATCGGTTATCTGTTGATTCCTTTAGAAACCTTACCACGTAGGACGGTAAGTTTGATGAAATCAACAATTGTAGTGTCTTCAAGCAAAGACTTAGAATCCTGAGTTTCTCTGTGTATTCTGTTACAGAAAATTATGGCTCAACCCCCAACTCCCTGAAGATGGCTTCGTTATGCTCCCCTAGTTCGGGTACTTTGTCCATCCTTGAACCATCTACACTCTCAAATCCTGGCGGAATTAGAGCTGGGACCTTACCACTCGGCGTCTCGATATCAGTCCATCGGCCTCTTGCCTTGAGTTGTGGATGTTCCCAAACTCCCTGCATATCATTCACCTTGGCATTCGCAATCGCCGCCTGATCCAGCTTCTGTAAGACCTCCTCGGCAGAGAAATTTGCGAAGACGCCGCAGATGATCTTCTTCAACTCGTCGCGGTTCTTCGTCCTGAGAGTGTTGCTCACGAACCTCGGATCTTTTGCCAATGCCTCATTGCCAAGGACACCTCGGCACAAGTTCACCCATTCCCTCTCATTCTGTACGCCAAACATGACTGTGCCCCCGCCGCCGGTCTCAAATGGGCCGTAAGGGTAGATGGATGCGTGAGACGCGCCTGAACGAGATAGCCCTGGAGCTCCGTTGTAGGTGTAGTAAAGAGGGAAGTTCATCCACTCAACCATGCTCTCCAGCATAGAGATATCTATCCTTGAGCCCTTGCCCGTCTTACCACGTTTCAATATGGCTGCGAGAATGTTGGAGTACGCATAACTTCCGGCCGAGATGTCCGCAATAGAGATTCCTGCTTTAGCCGGTTCAGGACCGTTACCAGTGACCGACAGGAAGCCTGCTTCGCTCTGAACCAGGAGATCGTATGCCTTCTTGTCTCGGTACGGCCCGTCTGATCCGTAGCCAGAAATATCGCAGACAATTAGGGAGGGGTGAGATTCTTTCAGAGTAGAGTAGCCCAGACCAAGTCTCTCTGTTGCGCCGGGTGCTAGATTCTGCACCAGGACATCCGACTTGGCCAGAAGCTTCTTGAGAACCTCGAAATGTTTTGGATTCTTCAGGTCCAGTGCAAGACTCTCCTTTGACCGGTTGGCCCATACAAAGTGGGACGCCATGCCATTGACACGGGTGTCGTATGCCCGGGCAAAGTCGCCAATGCCGGGACGCTCGATTTTGATCACTCGGGCGCCCATGTCTGCGAGTTGACGGGTGCAAAAGGGCGCGGCGATGGCATGTTCGAGACTGACGACAGTGATACCTTCCAGTGGCAAAGGATCTTTCCTCAACTGTGATGGTGGCGTGGTTGCCATGCTTCTTCGCGAGACGCTGAATCTTGGCGGTCGTGAGACTGAATATGCCAAACTTGGCGCACATCGCTGTGATGTTGCAGGGATTCCTCGTGTACTTCTAAAGGAACAGGCTGTGAAAGCCAAGGAATGAAGGGGACTCAGGGTAACCCTTCTTGCAGCCATTATGACGACTAACAGAAGTATTGTGGACTTTTCCAGAGGACCGCTGAAGTGAAAGAGGAGTCTCAACTCGATTTGTCAATCAAAAAGGCCTGTAAAGGTAACTACGATAAGATATCGAGTATACTGTATTGATTTTAACTGTTCCATGTATGCAGGTGACGTTGATGACCTATCCTAAGCGCGCCGTCTCGACCTCGGCCCCGGCAGAATGACGGCGCAAATGCCCCGCGCCAGTTGCTTAGCTTTGAGTCGGCTACTTCACCAACGATTCGGCTTTATGCAAGCCGGCGTAATCGCCGTACGCCGATCCCTTGCTCTGGTGTCGTCACTTTAGGGGCAATGACCCGGGAATAATAGTCGCCTTCGGATTCATTTGCCGAATACTCAGTTGCACTGGGATGTCTTCAAAGAGTACAAGTCGGCTTTTACAGTCAGTCAAAAGCTGTCGAGTTGGAATCTGAGATCTTCTCAGTATTCAGCGCGTCAAGTGGTCTTTGCTGCCTCCGTTTCTTTTACCATGTCTCAATCTAGCATGCGGAATCTGTGGCGTGTTGCCCGACCGTCTATCAAGACCGCGGGCTGCTTGCGCCCAACAACAACGCTCCCGAGAGCTAGTCAAGCAGCGTTCTCAACGTCACCATCCCGAAGAATAATGGAGACAACCGGCTTCACTGAAAACCAGTTGACAGTCAGAGAAGCAGTCAATCAAGTCTGCGCCCAGTTTCCCAACACTTACTGGCAAGAACGAGATCAAACCGAGAAGGACCCGAAGGAATTCCATGCCGCCCTCGCCAAAGATGGCTGGCTCGGTATCGCCCTGCCGGAATCGCTCGGCGGCTCCGGCCTGGGAATCTCGGAGGCAACCATGATGATGCAGACCATCACCGAGTCCGGCGCGGGAATGGCCGGCGCCCAGTCCATCCACGCCAACGTTTACGCGACACAACCTCTCGCCAAGTTCGGAACCCAGGAGCAACTCGAAAGCACGATACCCAACATCATTTCAGGAAAGTGGCGTGCGTGTTTCGGTGTCACGGAGCCCAACGCCGGCCTCGATACTTTGCGCCTTTCTACCACGGCGAAGAAGCAATCCGATGGCTCGTATCTCGTTACGGGTCAGAAGATTTGGATCACATGCGCCCAAGTCGCCTCCAAAATGATTCTCCTCGCTCGGACAAAAGCGCTTGAGGACTGCAAAAAGCCGAGCGAGGGGCTGTCGCTCTTCTGCATCGACCTCGACCGATCCCAGCCAGGTCTCGACATGCGCAAGATTAAGAAGATGGGCGGCCGCGCGGTGGATGCAAATGAGGTTTTCTTCGACAACTACGCCATTGCTGCCTCCAGTTTGATCGGCCAGGAAGGTCAGGGGTTCAAGATTATCCTCCACGGCATGAACGCCGAGCGCTGTCTACTTGCTGGTGAGGCCTTGGGTTTGGGCTATGCTGCAATTGCCAGAGCATCCGAATATGCCCGCGATCGCGTCGTCTTTCAAAGGCCAATTGGTCAGAACCAGGCTATTGCGCACCCTCTTGCCGATGCTTACATGAGACTGGAGGCTGCGAAATTGGCAACTTACCACGCTGCAAGGTTGTATGATGCCAGCAAAGAGGATTCGACCATTCGTCAAGATGCCATCGGAGTCGCATGCAACAGCGCCAAGTACATGGCTGCTGAGGCCGCCTTCACGGCTTGCGAGAGAGCCGTGCTCACGCATGGAGGGATGGGATATGCTGCAGAGTATGACGTGGAGCGGTATTTCAGGGAATGTCTCGTTCCGCGTATCGCTCCTGTCAGCAGAGAGATGATTCTGAATTACATTGGGGAGAAAGTGCTTCAGTTACCCCGAAGCTATTAGACATCTTGCCAATAAATTGACAATATCCAACCGAATAGCAAGTGTCGCGGAAGACGCGACTGTTATTGTGTACTTTTTCAAGGATGCATATCAGAGGGGAATGGTACATGTATCTAGACTTACAGTAAGGGGCTTTGGTCTTCCGACACTCAGATTCTCACACACATTTTGTGATGGCAGAGCTGTAGATCGGTCATCTTACACCGGGCTCCATGCATGATGATGATCCACTTACCGCGGGGAATAATCACCGAAAGCTTATTCAAAAGTTCTTCCTCGTGGACCACATCGTTTTATATCTTGAATCATGCAAGCAAGGCCAAGTCTTCAGGTTGTCTGCGGCATGAAATGACTTCGCTCCGGGACTGCTCCTGGCGCAAAAAGCTATCATCCATATTCCCATGCGTTGAAGTAATGCTAACGTGCCAAAACATGTGCATGAAAATAATAATTCAAGATGCATGGTCACACTGTCTTTGAGAAAAGATATGGCTGAGCATGAGCGGTTGTTATACTCCTCAGCATGACTTCGTAGTTTCACTGTGTCCCTCGTGTGATCATCCTCTCATTTAAGTTCTTACTTAATTTCACTGTCATCTTGAAACTAGGAGCCTTTGGTTACATCTACCTCTTCAACCCTAGCTCATTGCAAAGCTGTGATCACGGGGCTACTAATCCACCAAATGTTGTAACTCAGCCCGCAATAGACCTCGCAACTAATGAATCCTGAAGGATTGTGCAGGAACCACTTTGACTCAGGGAAACAAACTAGGAGGGGCCTGAGGTAGATCATTTGTGGGCATCGCAGCGGTGCAGTTTGAACTCGGCCTCTTGTTTCCCGAGCGGCCGCCGTTGCATGTCCGTCGATGAAAGGTTCTGCCTAGAAGAGGACTTTTGGCACAGAAGCCTCTTTACCGGTCAAGATCTGGTTTTGCGGGTGTAGTCAAATGAGGCTTCAATCATTGAGATCGACAGGGCAGTTCAGGGTTTCGAATCCCTTCGGCAGTGACCCTGACTGCCGGCGTAAGCACGGGAGACGCTCAGCCCGATGGATCAATATGCGGACACCGAACACCAGTCTGTAATAACCAATAAATCATCACAGATGATTTGAATTCGGACGATTTCGGCGGTGAGCGAGTAGGTATCCTTCAGCGGCCGCTCGCGCGCCTACTTCAGCCCCAGAATTGCTCCAGAATTGGTTCCACAGCGGCCGCCGGCTTGGCACGGTAGATCTCTCCCGGTTATCGCATCCTGGTTCCGGCAAACAAGGGGTACGTTTTCCATCGCGGGTTGTGGGATCAAATTGCATTGACCACATGCCAGAAATGTCCGTACATCAAGTTGAATATGGAGTCAATGGAAAAGTGAGAAAGTCCCTTCAGACGCAGAGGGGATGTATTATTATGAGGGCCTCATGCTCCAGCATTAACGCGGACAAGCTTTGATGTAGAGCACAAAGTGAGAACTTCACGTCTTACATTCCAGTCAAATAAGGTTGAAAGAATCAATACAATATATTAGGAGTACATTAAACTTGAAGTAAACCATCCGTCCTGTTCTCCTAGAAGCCCATACGACCCAAAGCTCAAGCCCTTTCGCGGGTAGGGCTGAAAGGGTTGAACCAACAAAATCCGAACATCTTCTACCACCTAAGTGTAAACGATGATGGCACCAACTTTCTGGTTGGACGGGACGGTGAAACATCCGTCACCTTCGCCCATGTAGATCTGAGTAGCGCAATCGTTGGTGCTGAACAGTCGCCACTTGAAGGTGCGGCCGTCGTCGGGGAACAAGAAGCGCACCGAGGCAGAACTGGGCGCGTTGGGGTCCGAGAGGCCCATGAACTTGGAGCAGACCGCGAGTGTCGATTCATGGCCAGTAAGGGAAACGCCGTTGCCGTTGCCGCAGCCGTTCGGGTACCACTCAGCGAGGTACAGCGAGTTGGGAGGGATCTCAGAGGCTTGACGAGTTGAGATTTGCTTGCCAGCGTCGGAGGAGTTGTGGAAGACTGGCGATGCTGAGACAGCGAGCGCCGAAGAGAGGACGGCGACGAGGTTCTTGACTGAGACCATTTTATAGGATTTTCTCCTGAAGTAAAGTGGTTTAAAGAGTGAATTTGGTGAAAACGAAGTTTTCTTCCAAGGGGACTGATGGTATCGTAGTGAAGGACTTTGGAGACTTGAGAGACTTGTGTGACTTGGAGTGTTCTGATCAATCAACAGGCCGTCCTGACCCTTTGGCTATAACCTTTCCAACTTGCACGGTTGCCTGATGAGTTCAGAGTTCACGGTCATGGTTTCTCTACACAATCAATCAACTCAACGAAGATCTCTATGAAGATCAACGTCGGAACAAGGATCCAGAAAGGACTTTGGGAAACTGTGGACATCGTGAAGGCACCAGCCTCAGGCTGAGTTCCCGAGTGTGGGGTTTAGGTGGCCGAAGCTGTAGCCTGATGCAACATTGGCTGGAATTGTGGTTCGCGATCGACAACAGCCTCAGTATCCCAGATTCAAACAGTGGGGTTGCCGATGGATAACACAAGAGGGCCTTTTCAAGATTCAATCAGTCAACTCCTTTCTTAATCCAGAAACTGGGTAGATTTGTAGGCTGCGATCAACAGGAACTGTCAGACTGATCCCAGCCCTGGTGGAGGCCGAGATATCAGAAGGCTCTTGAACCTTGCTTTGAAGGAAGCCTGAATAACAGCACGGACGTGGAGTCCAAAGAAAGCACTGTCGATAGTTGAGCAAGTGGACTTTGGCGTTGATCAACAACTCCAGGCTTCAGGAATTGTCAACGGAAACTCCTATAAAGACGTCCTCTGATAACTCATGTTTACCAAACTCTCATCATCATCCTCAACACACTCTCACAGCTCTCACACCACATCTCTCATCAACTCAACTTCTCGCAACTACAACTTCCACCATGAAGCAGTCATTTGTTCTTCCCGCGGCCTTGGCTGCTATCCTCCCTTTCGCCACAGCCGCGGATGTCTCTTGGTGCAAGTCTGAAGGCTGCGACGATTGCCCCTCCTCTATCACTAGCAGTGGCCCCGGATACCCTGAGTGTGTCGTCTATGACACCAAGACCGTCTTCGGCGGCCAGGGTTTCAAGGAGGGCACCGGCAAGGTGAAGCATCTCGTCTGGGGTAACTTTGCCGACCCTTGCGGCGGCCAACCCGGCAGCTACATGGTTCGCTCCCCGGCCAGTCTGGCTACGACGGGCTGCGGTGATCTCATCTACCATACCGAGAACGCCGAGTGCTCTACGCAGCTGCGCATGGAAGACACTTTCAGTAAGTTATCCCGACAGCTTTCTTGCTGTAGTATGGCATTTGCTAATAATCATATGAAGTGGTCCAATTCTGCTGTGGTTCTGGCGACTGCAATGCCGCTGGAGTTCCCTGGGGCAAGCGTGATGGCAGCTCCGGCTGGCAAAGCGGTGTTCTCAAGTTCGCCAACGGCACCATCATCGAGCCCCTTGCAATTGGCTCACCCCCGAAGGACAACACTTTGAAGGCCACCGAGTCGCGCCACGAAGCCCGCTGCAGCGGCTTCAAGAAGGACTCCTACGCCGCCAACGGCGAACCCTACCTTACCACCTTCGACACCCAGATCGTGTCTGGATCCGTCCCTGCCGAGGAGGAGGACCGCACCATCACCATCACCTACGACCAGTCCGTCTCTCGCTCCACTACCTTCTCTGCCTCGCTCGGCGACCCCTGGGGTATCGTCTCTGTCTCTGTTGGTTTCGAGTTCAGCGACTCAAACAGCAAGGGCTTCCAAACCGAGTTGACGGTCTACGCTGGAGAGACTGGCCGCGTTGGATTCACTCCTGTGTACCACTGCACCAAGGGAACTCTGGAGACCTGCAAGGGCGAGCGTACGTCTGAGGGCGAGACCTGCACGCCTTGGATCTTGAACGGCGTTGTTCAGGGTGACTACCGCGTCATCCAGACATAAGTTGAAGGCAACATGATTAGAGGTAGTTGAGGAATGGCTGTTAATTTATTCCTGGATTGACGGGCATCTTTGATACAGCCGCGGTTGCAATCTTTTCTTCTTAGTAATATCTTTAGATGTATACTTTTTTTCATACGAATCATATTCCAAAAATTCTATACTTAAACGTCTGTACTTCTCCCTGAGATGTGTCGCCAGTGTGAATGAAAAGTGATATGTAAGTTCTTCCTGAAGTCAGTGTTATTGAGTCTGCTGCAGTTTCATATTACCTTTTAGAATATGTGAAAACTTCAGCTAAGCGAGAAAGTAGATAAGAGTTTGACTTTACAAAAACCTACATGTCTCAGGGTTAACTTCATCGGCTATGACCGGCAATAAGAAGCGACTATTCTTCGCTGGTTCTGAGAACTCACTCTACCTACCTTATTCAAAGGTTCAATTCTTAACTTACAATATCAAAACAAAGTCTCATGGCAAGTATGCACGCGGATGAGCACCAACATCTCTCCAAAATCAAATCGGTACATCTGCCTGAGTACTCTCCCTTCAGCATCTCATTTGTCTTCTTGAATCTGCTTGTTGGAGTTGAACTGTCATTGACTCAAATCTGCCGGGTGGGATGATGGTATTTTCTCCACCAAAGCCCCTGGAATCAATCTGGGGCAGAATTTCGCCCGCCGACCTGATGCAAGCACGGTCAAACCCTGCCAAGGCCCCATTCCCCTCAATAAGCTTCATACGCATCTAACCACATCGAGGAACTTCAGCACACCCTAAGTAATTAAGCTCACACCGTTATCCGTCGTTCTACCAATCTCATCGCTTCAAAGAGTTGACGATCCGCGCCATGGGGTTTATCCCACCAATCCGGGCCATGCTCGGAACGACTCCGACAGGCCCATCATTTACATCGCACGAGAGACTTGGCATTCAACAGCAACAGCGCGTATGAGTGCCAAGAAAAGTCCAATCACGACTGACCTTGTGGTGGACTTTCTGCCTCCGAGTGGGACGACAACAATCTCAATTGTCGCTGTGAACGATGTTGAGATGGACAAGGAATGGTGGTTGCAACGCGCCAAGACTTGATAACGGAGTCCACCAACCAGGAGAACATGGCCTTCTCGAAGAGTACTTAAGAGATTGAAGCCAAGCCACTTCTGAGCTCCCGCCGTTGGTTGCTCATCACAGCTGGCCTTTTGTTTCAATTCCATTCGTTTTCAACCATCACAATGAAGGTCACTTCTGCAACAGTTATTTCCGCGCTGGCCGCGACGGCTTCAGCTCACGGCTTCGTGCAGCAAATCTTCCTCGGAGAGAACATCGTCGATACTTGGAACCCGTACAAGGACCCTTCCAAGAAGGTCAACAAGATCACTCGCAAGTTCAAGGATAATGGTCCCGTGACCGATGGACTCTTCGAGGTATTCTTTAGTGTTCACATTCTATCATCTTTGGTTTACTGACTCCCGACTTAACCAGACCGACGCCATCACCTGCAACATTGGCAGTGACAAGAACAACGTGCCGTCCACCGAGACCGCCAGCGTTGCCGCGGGCAGCACTGTCAAGTTCATGTGGACTGAGTGGAAGAGCGACCACCCCGGCCCGAGTAAGCACCGGCTCCCATACGATTCGAACCTCAATCAGGGAATACTCACGCGTTGGCAGTCATGACCTACCTGGCCAGTTGCGGTGGCAAGTGCAGCGAGTTCGACGGCAGCAAGGGCAACGTCTGGGTCAAGATTGACCAGTCCGGCTACGACGCCAAGGAGGCTATTCCGTGGGCCAGCAAAAGGCTTCCCGAGAACAACAGCACCTACACCGTCAAGCTTCCTTCCAAGATTACCCCCGGAGAATACATTCTCAGGTCAGTTCGGAGATAAGTGTGATTTCGACGTATGATGTGCTGACCTGCGTCAACAGACACGAGATTCTCGGCCTGCAGCGCACCAACAAGGACGGCAAGCTGGCCCAGTTCTATCCGGGATGCCATCAAATCACCGTCACCGGCAGCGGAACCACCAAGCTTCCCGAGGGCATTGCTCTCCCTGGTGCCTACAAAGCCGACGATACCAAGTCGGTAAGTCACCAGAATTCATACACACCAACGCGAGCGACAATATGCTGACAGCTTGTTAGATCTTCCTGGACTACCGCAAGGTCACGGAGTACACCCCTCCCGGTGGTCCTGTCTGGGGAGACGATGGCTGGGCCCAGTAAAGCCTATGGATTCGCCATGTTAATCGCATACCTTCAATTGTTCTGTACATAGTTGACGTATTGTCGTCCAGTAAATAACCCATTGCAGCCCACATGCAAGATTTTGAAGCCCAGGCTCTGCGCACAATCTGATGTTGCTATTAAACACAATTACAGTATTACATCACGTACTTGAATGAAAGCTCGTACCAAACCCTGCTACTGCTCTTCGTGTATTTATGTGGCTTCTGCGTTACTATATAGAAGAATATGGTTCGGAGATATGGAAAGACAAAATGAGCTGTTTCCGACGGATCGCACCAATGAAAGGAGAAGAGAGTCATGTTGAATCTTAGCATAAGACCCATCAAGCCCCCAGAATGAATCGTAGCGGTTCTGTTTGCTCTTTACTGCGCCGCCCAGTATTGATCAAGGGCGTCGTACACATCGTCCACCTTGCTGTAGGGATCAGTGGAGGCCATGAATTTCACCGCCTCTTCAATAGCCGAATCGGAAAAGGGGCCAGCTCGAGTTCGCAAATCCGCCATCTCGTATGGCTTCGCTCTCCAGCGCTCTTCCATAGGATCAATGAACTTAGTCTCGTTGTAGCCCCAGTCGGGAAGGGTGGTGACATTGAATGCCGCCATCATGTCGCTGTCTTCGTGGATGAGGTTGTGGCAGTGGAACATGTAGACTCCGTCCCAGGGAGCGTAATGAGCCTCGACGAGAACTGATTCGCCACGGCCCAGCCAAACCACATCCTTCAGACCTTCGGCCTCGTACGGCATGACGCCACGATCTCCGGCGCGTGCAATGACCTTGAAGTCGACGAGGTGAACGTGAATGGGGTGCGACCAGCCACCGGAGCTGTTCTCAAGTTCCCAAATCTCCACAGTACCTCTAGGAACGTTGGCCAGCATCCGGTTCTCGGTATCTGCAAAGCCGACACCGTTGATGCGCCATTCGCCGTTGGTGCGGTGGAATCTGAAGTGATGGTCGATGACGTTGCCAGTGGACGTTGGAAAAGGCACAGAACGGAGGGTCTCGGGGACGTTTGAAGTGTCAGGCGATGTGGTCGTCGTACCGACGATGAATTTCATGACCTTGTCCGTGTTCAAGTAATCGTCTTCGACACCAACTCCACCGGCCTTAGGAAAGTTGCGAATCTCAAGTTGTTGACCGGCATACTTGGAGAAGTCGATGACAATCTCGTATCTCTCAGCACCAGACACATACTAGAAGTTCGTCAGTTTCAATTGAACAAGGAGAGGCACGTATATTTGTCTGAACTTACGAGATCGGAGACCTGCACCGGCTTGGTCAAAAGACCGCCATCTGCTGCAATGACCTGGAATGGCAACTTTGCATTCGGCGCGTTGGAGTTGACGAGGTAAAGAGCGAAGGCCCTCGAGACTGATGCATCCAACAGGCGGAACCGGTATTTGCGAGGCTCGACGTTGAGAAAGGGCCACGGCTGACCATTGACGTGGATGACGTCTCCCCAAAGACTGTCTTTCTCTCCAACGGTTGAGAACAAAGTTCCGTCCTCATTATATTGCTTGGAAGTAAGAATCAGGGGGATATCGTAAACGCCGTAGCCAGAGGGCAAGTTCAACGCGTTCTCCGCCTCGTCAATGATAAGATAGGCGCCAGCTTGGCCCATGTAGGCGTTCTCGGCAGTCTGTTGTTGAGAGTCGGCAGTTGTTGGGCAGATTGCAGTGATCTTTTATAACTTACGATATGCATGGCATGGTCGTGGTACCAGAGCAACCTAGCAGACTGCTGGTTCGGGTAGTAGTAGTCCTTGTACTCTCCAGGGTTCGTGATGTCCTCAGCCCAGCCATCAAAAGCCGCCCGAGAGTATGATCCATGAAGATGGACTGAGTTACCGAGGGCAGCGTTGTTGATGAATCGCACAACAGACTCAGTTCCGCGAGGAATAATGAGCGTTGGGCCAGGGGACATGCCATCATATCCAACCAGAGTGGCAGGTCGGAGATTGGGGTAGACAGCGTGGGTGAAGGGCTTGATTTCCAGCTCATAGTACCAGATCTCTTTCTCAGTGACGGGGCTGATGACCTTCCTGTTGTGATGTTAGACATACAGCTTCAAATGTTTAGGCGACTAGGTTTACCTTGTAGGCTCCTTCACCGGCGGGATAGGCAAAGCAACTCTGTAGATCAGAGCGTACTCCGGGCTTTCCCAGTCTTTCTGGAGCTTGAACATGTCTTCAGGATTGTCTTCAACAATTTGTGAAAGAGCAACAGCTTCTTCCTCGGGGATTTGCGAAACATGAGTTTCGCCGAAGGAAGAGTTCTGCGCATTCACAGAGCTGATGTGAACGGCCGCCTGAAGAGCGGCAATTGCCAACTGAAACCGCATCGTTCAAGGAGTGTGACGCTTTTTCAAGAATGAAGCTTTTAAAAGTATGCCCGCAAAGACCGAGACTAGAGAATGGTGGTTGTGAGGCCGTTGATGCCGATGAAGGGTGCTGATTAGAGCTGAGAGTTGGAAACGCAAGAAGCCTTATATCAGTGAGCCAAGTACAGCATATCGGCCAGTGAGCGGAAAAGCGAAGCTGAGTTATCGATATTGACGGAAAAGTACTCCACCTGATTTCAATCACAGCAAAGTCACATTCCATCCTCAATATCATCATCCGGCTGAAAGCACCGCAGAGTTCCCGACATCCCCGAACACCTGGAGGCCATCCCGCGCTTTACTCGCTCGCGTTTCTCAGTTAGGAAACCAATGGCCGCTGTGATCTCTGCACGTTCTTGCAGATATTGCACACAGGCATTCGGATGCCCCTTTCAGGCCTTCGTTGTGAACCGCTGTTGCTGTCGTGATGGAGTCATTTTGGCCACCTGAGAATCCGCCATCACTCTGCAGCGTAACATCAACGATCCGCATGTCATGGCAGTCTGATATCATTGAATTCCACGCAATACCAGCGATTTGCTATCTGTTTTGGGTGCCTTGGGGAGCTATACATGTATAACAGGAGGGACTGTATCACTGGGATGGGGACGAGGGTGTATCTTGGCGAGCGGCCTGCTACGGCACGGTAGCATGGACTAGTAATGGTTGACGAGATGATGTCTTCAGGAAAGTGGAACATTCAAGGCATGTTACCGAAGAGTCAAGCAAGACTCACGGCTCCATTCTCGCTGCTTTTACTTGGCTGATTCTCGCTGTCGAGATGTACATTATGCTACGGTACACGGCTTGGAAGCACGCAGTCAAACTTTCGGGGTCAGATATCTTTGACATCAGACCAGTTATCTTCTTGAATACTTTCAGGCTTCTAGTTGTAAGTCTTGTCATTGGCTTCGACTGAGGGGGTTGGACATGCGAGTCAATCATCAGTTATTGGACTGTAAAATCGAACAATGAATGAGTCGCACGACCTTCCAATCACTATCACATAGTCGTTTCAACGTTCAAGAACATAGACACAACACTTCGGTCTGTCAAAAGACTTTTACTACACCTGTATTCATCGACAGAAAATACCGCGGTTGAAGTCGGGTTCGTACTCGTCACGAGTTCACCGTACAAGGGCTTTTGCCTCCTGCCAAGATGGAGGCCTGCCGCTGACAAACCTACACCATCCCGTGGGAATGTCTCCATAAGCACCTTAAAGAGACGATGAACCATCAATCTAGCCAATCAATAGTGTAGTGTCCGGGGATGGAGGCGGCCCGGATGGCATCCTGCTAGCTACCCTCCCTCAACACCGGCGGTGAAAGGGGTTCGAGGATGGTCGTTAGCGTGTGGATGTTTGTAGCCGCTTCCGCGGCTATCCACGCGAATCTAAATCCCGCAATCCTCGCCGCTGCAAGAGTCATTAGTGCTGTTCTAGGTGCAAGGATCTCGGTGCTCCTTTCTAACGTCGAATCGCATGGTGCCCTGCACGGTTCAGGGGGCATCCAGGAAAGACAGTTCTGATGAAATCTGGATCGAGCCCAGATGGCCCGGCCCTCTGCCCTTAGTTAAGGTTCCGTCAGATCAGAGTTCTGTCAGCGTTCATAGTTGGCTTGAATTCTCCGAATGAAGAGCTTCTTTACTTCGACAAAAAGCTGGCAATAATCGCATCTACAAGTAGAGGCATTACCCAAATGCAACCACTTGGCTGCGTCCGAATCTCTGTCACAACAGATAAGAAATCTTGGTATTGTTCAAACACGTGCTTGAATAGCAGCACAGGCTGGGCGCGTGAAAACTTGCCTCCTGACTGCCAAGCACGTCCATTCAGGTGAAGATTGGGTCATGTCATGCATCTTCGTTGTAACAAGACCACGCCTCTTGCGGGCCGTGCCCTCACTCAATCCCTAGCGAGAGGGAACAAAACCCCTTATGGCATGAGGAACCGAACTCTATATCTTCATGGGCTTACGACGAGGCCTTCAGAAAGGAAGGTGGTAGAGCAAGCCGCCATTTCGCCACAATTCAGCGGTAGTTCTTGGCGGGAAGGGGACAACGGTCCCATGCTTGCCCACTCGAAGGATGCGGGGAGGCTCCAGATGGAGGGTCAACGCGGGGAGTTTTCCATATTGTTTGCGTTTTGCACCCACAACGGGATGGTGGACACGGAGAAGCCCATTCTGGCCCGCTTGGCTCCAATACTTCTGTCAAAACGTGCATTGGAGGAATATCGCGTAAGTCTCAGTCATGATCGAAATGAGTCGTGATTAGTCGTGATTAAACAAGTATAGAAATCACGTAGTAAAGAGTCGTTGACGAAAGGAGATGACGAAGAGGGATCCCTTCATGGTAGTAGTTGCCAAGATGTGACGTTCTGACCGACGGCAGGTTTTAACTAGCGACAGATCCTACTTATCGGCAAAACCTGCGGCTGAACATGTGAACAGGAATTACAGGGTGAAAATCGTCTACGGCAAGGATCGCAGAAGCCTAGGCTTGATACGAATATTGTCTTGTAAATAGAGGCGACTGCTTTCTCATCTGATCAATTACAACAGTTCTAACTCGGATGCCTTGGCCGAGTAGCAGATATGTGCACAAGTGTTCAAGTTGCAAACTTGAGCCAAATATGGCTGAGACACGTGTGGCTGCGCATAGATAATACAAGTTTTGCCTGGCACGCGAAGGTTTAGGCGACTAAATGAGACCAACAGATCCCTGCCTCAACCAATGAGGTATTATCCATTTGTCTCCCAAGATGCTCTTGGAACAAGGGTCATCAGGAGCCTCCTTTTTCACGAGCCTCTTCCTGCAAAGGGCAGCAATGACCAGCAGTCTAAGGTGAGCCAGGAGGCTAGGTTGCATCCCCCAGGCAATGCGACCCCCGCTGCAGGGGTTCTTGAATCAAGATCCTAGGCAGGCAGGTTTTGACGACTCGGCTCCCCCTTCTCCCGAGAACGAACCCGGCATAAGTCGCCAATTATAGACAGCGCGCGGCGCGGAGTTGGTCCCGGTGACAACTTCATGCGGCAGCGTTGTGATGAGTGGGGGCCTTTCTAGGGATTCTCGCGATACACGTACTGTTTACTCCGACAATGTGAGGGCAGAGTTCCGTTCTTGAAATCCATCCCGTCAAGAACAGGCTTCATCGGAAAATGGCTCACCCAGGTTGGTATTAATCCCTGCTTGGCAGAGGGGTTACGCGATAAAGAGACAGTTAACATGGGTTTCGCAAGAGGGTGTCTACAATCGCCCCAACCCGTTCAGAGACAAATGGACCGGGTACGAAGAGCGCATTGGTCAAGTGCTCCGATATCGAGTCCTGATGCTCTTCACCGGTCTCGGGAGAAGTCCAAGGCGTTCTCCACACCGGTATTTACTCCGGGCCTTCCGGGCTCAGAACGCCGATATGCATCGTCACGTTGCAGGGTCTCATCAAGCGCCTGGCTGATTAGCTACGAGAAACTCTTTTCCGTTCCGTTGAAAGCCAAGACGGTTCATCGAGCATGGCAACTGCGCGCAATAGTTTCCCTTGGCAATGGTCAGTCACGCAGAAGCGAGATCATTGTCTAGCTTCAGTGGCATTCGAGATACCTTTTGGGCGAATCTCATTAGTAACAATCATGTAAATTCGGACTTGAGGTCAAGAAGGGAATGCGTAGTTGATTTGAGCGGATAGAACATTGACTGACCATAAATGAGTCGAAGAGCCCGTAGTCTGTAAACGAGCCTCAGCATCTCCATCTTCATCTTCCATCAACTCCTTAGTTTCTTGGTTACCGGATTGCAATGCGCTACTTCCAGTTGTTCGTCGCCCTTTGGGCTCTTCTTCTGACTTCTGTGTGGTCCCAAGAGTCGCCGATCTGGGTTCAAGGTGGCTTGGAAGATGCCACTGTCACAGATGCTACCTTCAACTCCGGTGGATCCATCGTGGTCAACGGTTTTACGATGAACGTTCCCAAGAATCTCCTTGTGCAGTTCCCTGCTGCCTGGGTTCCTTGGAAGGAGTTTGTCGCTAACAAAGCTGACTTTGCTGGCTACGAAACTTTGGTGAGTGCAACCAAGAATTTGAAATCTCAACTGGAAATATCAAGCTGACTTTCAACTCTTTATAAAGGTCATTGGAAACAGTATCAACGGAGAACCCCGCGTTGCGCAAGTTCAGCTATACGAATTCTTTGAGGGCCTCAGCAGCGGTTGGGTTGAGTCAGTTGACTTCGCAGATGGAAGTCTCAAAATTCAGAATGGGCCAACCCTTAGAATCTCTGACCCGAACGCTGTCTTCTCCAAGGGCTTCACCGGTGCACCTCTCATGACCGCTGATGACCAGAGTCCCAGTATCACTTCCTTCTCTGGATTCCCAATGTGTATCCCCAGGAATGATACTGACCCGCTTTGCCCTCTCACCAACCGTCCATTCACTGGTCCTGGCGTTTTGTAAGTTATTTGAAATCGTCCTCGTACAAAACACTTGACTGACTTTCATAGCACTGCCCCTGATCCTCTTGTCATGGCGCCTTTCCAGGCTGGTGACTTCATCACGTTTTCCGGTTTCCGCCATGGAAGCGAGGTGATTGCTTTCAGCATTGTAGCACAGAATGTGCAAATCAACACTCTTGGTGACATTGTCTATGTCCGGATGGAACTGGGTCTTCTTGGAATTGACAACCCCAACCCCAACGCTGAAATCGCGGAGTCACGGGTATGTTGACCGACGAACTTCTCATATCTTACCCCACTAACACAACATGTCCTTCAGTTCATCGGTTTCGTTTCGAACAACCGTGCAACGGTCTCGCTCTACGCCATGGATGTCGATCCCTGCACAGGCACCACGTCTGACCGGATCATCGCCTCCATGGGCCTCCGCGGGGGCCGCAATGCACAGAACAAGTTTGAGTACCGCAACAACATTCTCTTCAGGTACACTCGGGAGTACCGAGTCACTGCTGAGATCGACGGCGTTAGCAAGACTCGAGTCACCAAGAACGGGATCACAGCCGGCACATACGTGCAACCTGTCAACGTCTGGGTCCCCGGCGAGCAGGACGTCCCGGGAGTTCCTCCGGTGTCTTACGATTTCTCTCAGATGGAGTTCTTGACCAAGGGCGTTGGCGCCGATGATGCAGGCAACGTTTGGGGCCCCCTGGAGCCATTCCCCCAGACCGGCGTCTTCATCGAACCTCCTGTGTGTGCCGCTCCTCCCGCGGCCCTTGCTGTCCGGAGCCCGAAGATGCAGAAGCGGGGTCAGATCGGCCGTTGGTACGGCCGAGCTCGTGCCGATGCCATTTCTCAGGCCGAGAACGTCGACACTACGGAACCGGTCATCGTTGTTGCTCCTGAGGAAGCTGCAGCAATTGCTGAGAAGAAGAAGGAAGAATCTGATGAATCGGCCTGAATGGTTGTTTTACAGGGGTCAGCAGTTGAAGTGCGCTCAGCTATTAATTGCTGTTGAGAATCTTCCGGTTCCTTATGTGGCTTATTCTGGTATGATTTGTGCTCAACATCTCAAACTTGTCTGCCAGTCGACTTTCATTTGTACATTCTATTCCCAACATAACTCTTTGCACAAATCTCAATTCAAATATTTTATTTGCGTCTGATGCAATGATGCGACGTGGGGAAAAGAACGTGAAACACAGTTGAGCGACCCTGCCAGCCTCCGTGGAACATGCCGCGGGCCGCGGGCTCCCTACAAAGACGATCGCTTCCCTGTGGGACTTGAAGAACGAAACAGATTTCTTGTGCTCAACTTGAACACTTTCGACCTCGTCAGAACAGTGCCCTCGAAAGTTCATGGGACAGAATTCGTAGAGCGCCTTTGAGCAATGGCACATGTATATGTGCACTTAGGGAGGTGTGTTGACAGTGATAGTGGCCGAGCCGCTGCTGAAATATCCCTCGGTAGCCACAATCATGTAGTTGTGAGTTCCAAGGTTCAAGCCGACCTGAGCCCAAGCTGCAAAGTGGTTGCCAGTTGTCACCGTACCTCCGGTTCGCTTCTGGGTTCGCTGAGGAAGTCGGTCAGTTCAGACATCTCACATTGTTCTGGATCAGTCACAACTCACAACGGACCAGTACTGCTGGAAGGTTTTGGTTCCTTCGATGCTGGGCTGCTGAACACGTGTGCTGACGTAGATGTCGTAGGTGCCGCCGTCACTCGTGACAGATCCCTTCTTCGTAGCACCCGAGCTGGGATTGTATGTACCGAAGTTCTCCACGATGTAGTACTCGATCAATGGGTTTTGAGTCCAGCCGTAAACTGCAAGATACTGCACGTGCAAATGGTCAGATGGCGTCTCAATTAAATTGAATTTCCTTTCTGGATTTCTCTTTTTATTGAACTTACGCTGTTTCCGTTGGGATTGTAGGTGCCGGAGTATTGAATCGTTCTGTAGAGAATTTGTCAGTCAAGGCATTTCAAGAGAGTTGAGCCTTGAGTCTTACTTGGCGCCTCCAGGATTCCAGCCCTTTCCACCGACGAAGTTGCCACCACCGCCGCCCCAGTTCACGCTGTAAGAACCACCAGCACCATTAGTGTAAGTGACTTGAGAGCCGCCATCAGTCCACCAGGAGTAGTAATAGCCGTTGTGGTAGCCGGTTGAGCTGGGAGTTGACTGGCGCTTGACAAGTTCGTTGCCGTTGGTGGGGCTAGCAATGACACCCGCAACAGCCGCAATGGCGATGAACAAGTTCGAGAAAGAGACCATGGTAACAATGCAGGTTCGTGAGACTTAAGTTGAATCTGAAGATAGTTCACAATCTCAAGCGGCGATTGAATCACGGCTTTATATCCACAGTATTCACGACTTCAGGACCACGCGCTCTCTGTCCGGCTCAACTTCATGTTCCGATCGCGATATTCTCACGAAATTGCGTAAAGGGGCAACTGTTTCTGGCTAAATTCACATTTTACAAGTCGCATCTTGATTAACGCGCATCGACGGGCTCCAAGCCGGCTGTTTTCCTTGGTTCCCTAGCTCCGAGGTTTGGTCCGGGTAAATTCAAAGACTACATCACTCGGCAGACAGAATCTGGGGTAAAGAGAGCTTTATCCCCATTGGCAAATTCTACTGATGATCTGCATTCTGTCCCGCCCTTGCAGCGGTAAAATTGAAAAGTGCCGTTTAACCAGATGTTCTACTTCCGGTATCCAGCATGGCAAAGCTTGGCTCAGCGCAACTGGTCCTGCTTTGCACATGTGAAGTCATAGTAAATGAAGGTGAGTTCGTGATGAAGATCGATCGCCAGCAAAGTCAAGAAATCTTTTCGTTTTCTATAACGTAAGAAATAAATTTCCCATGACGGAACTACGATGTCTGCTTTTCTGGCTAGAGGTTTTCGCGGAATACGAATCCGCTCTTACTGTGCCTGACGTTATCTTTTCCACGAGGTTCCACGAGGTGGCTCCCCGATGTGGTCAGACATTAATTGTAATAACATGACTTGTTGAAGTCTTTGGCAACGAGCTAAAGTGTCACGGACATTTTTTGTCGACTGACCAGCACACTGATAGTCGCAGTCGATCTTTCATGCAGTGTTGGCATCCACGTAGCTGAAGAGATTGCCTTACATGCCCCTGCCGATGGACTGGGTGCTGTAAGCAGTAATGATATTCCTGTTCCTCAATTTGCTATTGAGCAATTTTGTTATTATCCATGCCAACCTTGACAACCAGGAGATGGAAATGCTCATTCCACGGATAATCGTGCCGTGGTTTTACAACATCGGTCAGGTTCATTGAAGTCATGAGATGAAAGTAGATGAACCTTTCACGTGGAGCTCCTAGCACGCAGTGAAATGAACTTTGCTAACAATAGAAGAAGCAGAGTCACGGACATTCCCAGATACATACTTTCAGATGATCTTCAGATCGTGAGCCAAGCCCGAAGTTCTTACCAGATCATGGCACAGATGGCAACTCATCTGGCCTAGTCCGACGTTGGGCGGCGATCTCTTACTGTCCCACGGCAAAACTTGCCGCGAACTTGATACAGGCGCCGGCGAGACTATCATTCCGGGCAGGGATGTCTACGGTCCACTGATGACGGCGATCAGAAAGCTGTCGGGGCACATGTGCCCTGGAGTGACAGCACAACCTGCGATGTCAGCGTGGTGATGGTGTCCATTCATATGACTCGAGAATGGTCGAAGCTTCATCTCAAAAGGTGCTCACGGGGCTTTGATGCGCCGATATGAGGGCATTAGTGACGTCTCAGTAAGTCAGCTTTGGACGATCTGCTTCAGTAGAGACATGAAGGATGAGATGAGAAAATTCGCTACCAGGAAAGGAAGGCGGTTGGATGTGTATGATTCGTTTATCGAGGCAGGCGTTTCTGATATTTTTATCCTGGTTCCCCTTAAACAAGAGTCCCAAGGTTACCCGAGTCATTCCGTGACAAATTGGTAAAGATCGTGGGAAACTCGGCGGCCGGCGGCACCGATGGCTGCAATACGATGACTGATCTAGGCCTGCCATGGGTCGGAGAATAACAATGATTAGCGCATGGCATCTGGGGGAGCCCATTTTTCTGTTCATTCTTGGCGAAAACAAGTCTCCAGTCCAGTCCAGACCTACAACATCGCGTGTTTGAGAGAGACTCGGGTTCTCATCCCTGCCTGGCCAAAAACAAGCATCAAGTTATTCTAATAAGGGTACGAGCAAGCTTAAAAGGCGGTTCCATCATTCATCCCTGTGGAGTTCTTCTTGTCAAGAGACAAATCATGCGAGGCAAAAGTCAGAAATGTGCGGAGGCTGGTGCGGCTTGAGCGTCCGGGACCCCGGAAAAGTGTGCCCATCCACGGCCCAATTGAACAGTGTGTTGCATTAACTTTAAAGCTTGAAACGGCGCTGCGGACAGTTTTTGTGGCAAGATTGGTCAAGGTAATCCGACATAACCGAGCTTCGCGTGTGCCGTAGATCCGGGGCCATCCCGGTCTGCGGCACAATAAGCCTCGTTTGAGCTAATGATGTGACGGGATGATCAGGCATCTGAACAGGTGCCTGTTGCAGGATGAGGCTCCAGGGCTGTCATCTCGAGTCAAAAAACTCATCCTTAGTAGAGTTTCTGGTATTGACCAGTGCTGAGGCTCAGGTGACGCCGCCATCCGGAGTTTCAGGGTGTGACAGCAGTGACCGTGAGGTCGAGATGATATAAAGACTCAATGAGTTATTCGTCTTCTCAGGTCTTGTCTGTTCCCACTTTGAGCGTCTATTCGGATTACTCCTTGACCTACTAACTATTACTTTCTTTCCGTGCTGCGCGCGGCTCCTTTTGATCGAGCGAACTTTCATTAAGACCTGGAGTCACTCTCTCACTATTGTCTACTCGTGTAACATCCACACACATCAGTCATCATGAAGTTCTCCAGCGCCGCTCTGCTTGCTCTTGGCCTTCTGGCCGGCAACGTCGTTTCTGGTATGTTCTCGGATCCCTATTTCTCCGCAGTTTGTTTCTGTGGCTAACAACTCAAAACAGCCCCCACCCTCCAAACCAGCGACGTCGCCCTTCCGATCGAAGTCCGAGCCGAAGACTTCGCGGCAAACGATGCCGCCCACCTCGAGGCCCGAGCAAGGAAGAAGAAGGGCAACGCTCAGGTCAATGCTGCGGCCGCCAAGGGCAAGGGTGCCGCCGGCAAGGGAAAGGCCAACGCCAACGCCGCCGCCGCTGCGAAGAAGAAGAAGAACAACAACGGCGGAGCTGCTGCCGCTGCCAAGAAGAAGAACAACAACAACGCCGCTGCGAAGAAGAACAACAACAACAACGCGGCGAAGAAGAACAATAACAACAACGCTGCTAAGAAGAACAACAACAATAACAACGCCAAGAAGAACAACAACAACAACAACAACAACAACAATGCCAACGCAGGAAAGGGCAAGGGCAAGTCTCAAGCGGAATTCAACGGTCTGGCATGCACTGATGGCAAGGGTGCTGGTTCTTGCAACGCCAATGGACAATGCGCCGTCAACGGAAAGACCACGGCAATTGCTGGCCAGTGCGGCGTCGCGGCCAAGAAGGCCAACAAGCGTTTCGTCTCAGATTTCGCTCATGTTATCTAGATGAAGAGATCTTCTTTTTCTTGTTCCTTCTTTGGTTGTGTGGAGTCTCGGGGCTTGGGTGAATAGCGTACTTAGTTGATGACCTCATGAATAAGGGCTGGTGGCCTTGGAGTAACGCCGTTTCAAAATTTCCATAATGACAATGAAATATCAGTACATGTAAGATTGGTATGAAATGTCAGGAGTTATCATCTCATGTCGTCAAGCGTAAGTTTATCAAACCTCATAGTTTGGGCTTAAGCGATTCCAGTTTCATGCTAAATCTATGAATACGATCGAAAGCCAAACCTATGCCTGGTAATATGCAATTCTATCGTCCATATGTAACTACATTCACTACTATGTGTCATAAGAAATATGATCACAATACAAATAATAAAGAAGTTGCCTCCGCAGTTCTAATGCTTGCGCTATCTTCTGCGGTGCCATCACAACTCCTGAAATCTGGATCTTCGACTATCCGTAAAGACTCCCGCACGAAGCTTTTCGCGAGGCCAATTCTCGTCTGGTGCCAAGAGATCAAGAATGTAGGAAGTGACCGACAACAAGAGCAATCGTGGTGGGCGTGCTGCAAGTTGACGCCTCCTGAATCAACCAACTCCTGCCAGAATGCAACATCCCGCTGGTCGGCGATCTCCCGGATTTCCTGTGAGCCCTCAGCGTTCTTGAGTGCCACTGGTAGATCACGAGCCACGTCGTCTCTCCTGGTTGCGATAACTGAACCAATAATGAGTAACCAGTCTAACTCGGTACCTTTGAAGCCTCCCTCAATCAGAATGAGTGCGGCTCCAACGTGCCAATTTCTGGCAGCGGCTATCATGGGTTTGAGATGTGTTACTGCCTCACCAGGATTCGATGCGCTGCAGAGGCTCCCGACGCTCCTAACATCAGGCCCATATGGACTAGCACCTTGGCTGAGCAGAGAACGCAGCTCATTCTCGTCTCCTCGCTCTGCTGCAATTTCGATCGAGAATTTGGCGGCGTCGGGTGTCGAATCGTTGTTCGAATTGGGCAAACCCCAGAACTTATCCCATTGACGGAAGTAATCACCTCGCATGTTGGGGTGAATCAAATCCACGATGAGGCCGAAGATCTCCGCGTGGCCGTGGAAGAGAGCTTCTTCCACGGCTATATCGAAAACATCAATTTGAGGCCTCGGGTGTTCCCAAATCCGTAGCGGAGGTCTGATGTCATCCACTGGTAACGGGCCGTTCAGAAGGAGCTTTGCTGCTTCTGGCTGGTTATTGCAAACGGCCTCCATGATCAAAGGGAAATATTCTGATCGCGTCATTTGGCGACGGCCCCCGGACTCCATAAGGACCAAGAACGTTTCCAGATCTTGGTACTTGAGTGCAAGCTGGCAAAAGAATGGGTCGTAGTATTTCTTCCCCTTTTTACGCTTTCCTTGTGGTGTCTGGGTTGACTTGTCCCGTGACATATCAACCTCGTATTTCATGAGAAGAGCTGAGAGATTCTGGTTTCCACTCCGGATGGCGGCTTCCAAAAGTGACCCAAAAAGTGGTTTCCTCGTGAATGACTTTGAATTTCCTTTAGCAAGAGGGTCGTCGTGAATAGTTGGTCTAAAAGTGGATAACAACTTTGGTCCGAGTTTCAAAATCATGGACAGAATAGCGCCTTCGACATCCGGTTTCTTGAGGTATATCTTTGCAGTGAGGACAAGGCTTTCGAGCGACTCCTTGGTGATGATGGTTTTGGAAGCGAAGAGGAGAGACTGGATGTGAGGTTGAAAGATTGTCCAAATTCCGCATTCATCTATTAAAGATGATGGGCCAGGCTGCTGGTAGCGGACCGCATGGTGGCAGAGACCGCAAAGGTATGTGATTCTCTCAGCACCATCTGGATTCACGCCATCCTCTCTCATGATAATGTTGACGACTGAGTTGACGACAGAGGAAAAGCTTGAATTCCAGGGAATGTGACGCCATGGTTGTATCATGATGTAACGAGCCAAGAAGCTGATTGCGTTTTCTTCAGATGAGATTCTGCAGTTGTTGGAGACTGAGGACACCTTGCTGTATGCTCTTTGACGGAGAAGTGTGACTTCGTGGTTCTTGCGCATCTTTCGCAACAGCTTCGTACTGGATATGGCTCGCATCACTTCAGTTTCAAAAAGCTCTGTTTGTTGTTAGCGCTTTGAAACTTGTCATCTGAACAGAGTCGTAAGTTTCTTACTGCAAACTTGGATGAGCCGAACCGCGTCTCTAAGATTGGTGAGGCTTTGGTCATCGTATTTGACCGACGTGTTGATTATTTGACGGAAGCATTCGATCGGAAGACCAAGTAGTCCACTCGGCGTCTCTGGAGTCATGGTCGGGTCTGAAGTGGCGCTCTGCTTCATAGACATGAAGGAGCGAAAATTATAGGAAATTCGGAACAGATGCTGACGAGAAGCCGACGAAAGATGAGATGTTCAAGTTTTCTAAGAACCAATATTATGAAGAAAGTATTGACCTGATTATTTGATTCTGATTTCATTTATACTCGAAAGAAGCGATCACCCACAGCGTCGACTCATTCCACAGCCAATCGGCGACGAGAGTTGGCTGGTTCGTTCAATCCCTGCACTGAGGCCAAATTTCTCGCGGCGCAGCATCAAGACCCGCAAAGCTGCTGGACCTTATCGCAGATGCCAGATTTATATGCACAACATGTGGTTTCTTACTGCGTTGGCTTTGAATCGCTGAGATGCGCCAGCATACCCTCATTCCGTGAGGTCCAGACGTTGCCAACATTTGGAAGCGCTCGCAAAGTGTCGAGATTGTGGTTGCCGGTTTCAATCACCACACCAGAAAAGATTGCGTGGTCGAATCGCTTCACGATCTTGGTCCTCTCGTCCGTCGTCAGTTTTCCAATCAATTCCTCCCTGTCTTCGGCCTGAGAGGCAATCGTCAGCTCATGGAACATTCTCAGAGTCCACGCACGCGGTCGGTCAAGCGCACCTTGCTGCTGCCGAATTCAACGATGAACTTCTCGCCCATGATGGCCGCCGCAAAAGCTATGAGCTGAACGACAAATATCACTCGCATTGATTGAGGCTGATATGAACCCGTTTTCGAGGCGACTAACGGGTGGTGTTGAGGTGAGGTTGCGTGTCTTTTTTTTCCAGAGCGGCAAGCGATTACGTAGTGAGATCACCCCGTGGTACCATCCCCGAGAATTGACACCTTCCTAACTAGGATCGGCACTAGAACACCTCAACGAACACTTGAGTATCGCAGAGAGTGTTTTCAATCAGTAAATCATGAAAAAATGTTCTAGGGCCGTGAAATATGGCGCTTTGGCTCTCATTTGAGGGTTCGGATGGCCTTCGAATGACTCAATGCACGACATCTGTCATTGAGGCTGCAAGGACGAACTCATGAGAACAGCCAAACCTTCGTCATGGCTACCATCCCTGCCATGTGGATGCTTTCATAAAGTTCGTCTTGTCAGGCTGGGCGGTTGCCGGATATCATCAGATTAGGATGGTTGTCAAAATTGACAGCGGACGGCGCGAAACTTAAAGTGAGACCACGAGTCAAGATGATTATTACACTGTGGATGAGAGTGAGGAAATGAAAGATCCCGAATTCGATGGCTTTAATTGATCTGAAGCGAGGGGCATCCTGACAAGTAAACAGCCCGAAAGATTCATGCGGTAAGACCATCAACTGTCACTGTCCTCGTCCGGGTCGCTACGAGTATGTCAGTTTGAAGCTTTTCAACACAAGTTACGAATAATAGGTCAACGAATTTACAACATATCAATCGCGAGGCCTTCATTGCAAATGTCAAAACTTGCCATCCTAGCCTTCGGTTTTGTGGCTCTTAGTGACTAATTCCGAGCGTTGCGGAGTTTCGCAGGCCGACGGGAGCGCCACGTCATTGGGCAAAATCACTCAAAAGGCGCGAAAGACATTCACGCACAGGGACTTTTCGCCGGAGAAAGACTCTTTTCAACCGTGCATCGCGAACAGTCCAGAGCGCATCCAGTCAGATTGGTAAGCTCTGAGTATATATCGCTTCTCATTTCACTATTTCACTATCACGGAGATTGCTCACAGCCTGGAAACCCTCAGTCTCAACCCTTTGCCGACCGCAATTCGCCCACAATGTTCTACACCGAGGAGCAACTCGACCAATACTTCAACCACATCAACTACCCGCGGGAGCAACATGCGAAGGATCCGCTGCAACTTCTCACGGAAATACAGGCGCATCAACTCGCGAGGGTTCCTTTCGAGAGTTTAACGCTTCACTACTCGAAACACAGAATCATTTCTCTGGATCTCCAAGACCTCTTCCGCAAAGTTGTCGTCGAGGGTCATGGAGGATATTGCATGGAGATGAACGCCTTCCTGGGTGCAGTCCTGAAGAGCATGGGTTTCACCGTTCTCAGCGTCGGTGGGAGGATAAAGGGCGACGAACGATTTGGCGGATGGTAGGCTGTACACCGAGAACTTGTTCGATGATGATGACTCACACATAGCAGGTCGCATATGCTCAACCTCATCACTATTGACGGCCAGCGATACATGGTAGACGTTGGCTTCGGTAAGGGAGCAGCCATGATTCCGGTGCCCTTGAAGAAAGACGGTGGTCACGAATTCACCACCATTGCGCCTCTGAGAGGCAAGTTGGTCTATGAGAAGCTGGATCAGCACACCGACCCCGATCAGCGCATGTGGGTGTACTATTCCACAGACAGTGCCGACGGCCCGCTCAAGCAGCGCAACTGCTTCACCGAGTTGGAGTTCTTCCCCGAGGACTTTGAGGTGATGAATCTCTCCACCATGAGCAAGCCGACGAGCTACTTTGTCAAGACCGTTCTGGCTATGAGAACGATTCTCGACCCCGAGACCAGGAAAGCTATCGGAACTATTGTGTTGCACAAGGACGAGGTGAAGCGGAAGATCGGTGACCAACTTGAGCTTCTTGAGACTCTCAAGACCGAGGCAGAGAGAGTGGCGGCTTTAGAAAAGTACTTCTACATCAAGCTGAGGCCTGAAGAGCAGAAGGCCATCAAGGGACTACCAACAGAGCTGCTGGGAAATTGAAAGGTTCAATGTTACGATCTAGACCAGAAACCATAAAGCACTGACAGCATGGTAGGGCGCTTATTATAGACAATTATACCACAACATGTTGCAAAAGTCGGCAGGTCGCAGTGGTATCTACTTCATCTCAGCAGTCTCTGCGTGCGAGCCCTCAATGTTCTTCTCATGCAACCTGTTCTCAAGGTCGCGCGCATGATGCCGCCGACTTGTCTTGCCTGCAACAAACCAATCATTGCTGCTGAAAAGCTCGTTCATTTCTTCCAAAGGTCGGCCCTTCGTCTCGGGGAGAAGCGCCCAGAAGAAGATGGCGTTGGAGATGTTGCATACGATGAACAGAAAGTAAAACTTGTACCCGACAGATTCCATAGCCTCCGGGGTAACTTGGCCCTGCGTAATGGTTAGAAGCTGCTCGAGAACAAGAGCGAAGTGCTTTTCACTTACAATCATAGTGTTGAAGGCGAATGACACCATGGTAGTAATGCTGACACCCTTGGCGCGTGTTCGCGTGTCGAATACCTCGGCGCAAATGATCCACGACAACGGCCCGCATGTCGAACTGAAGCTGAAGTTATACAGCCAAGTGACGACAATGAAGCCCCACTGTGCGCTGAGGTTGGTGGACTCGCCAGGAGGAAACTTGGCCAGGAGAATTGCGGCAATGATAAAGGTCAGGGAGTTGAAGACGTTGCCGCCGATAAGAGGCCAACGACGGCCAAGTCTGTCAACTAATAGCATGGCACATATCTGAGCCAGAATGGCTAGTCCATTGCTGATTCCTTGATATTTCAACGTATCGTCGGTAGCGATTCCAATTTGCTCAAAGATACGAGGAGAGTAGTACTGAGGATTTCGTTAGGAGTGTGTTTGTTCTAGAGGTGGGTTTAGGCAGACCTGGATGGCGGAAACGCCAGTCATCTGAACTGATGCTTGAACGGCGCAGCAGAGAAACAAACGCCGGAAGGAACTCTTGGATCGGAAAAGCTCCATGTAGGACTTCGCTTCGTTGTGGTGCTCGTGAGAGATAGCAGCCTTGATTTGCTCATATTCGGCCCGAACGAAAGGGTCGTCGACATTGTGGTTGGAATGCAGTCGTGCAAGCGTCTTCAACATGTCTTCGTCTCTTCCCTTATCACCGAGCCATCTATATTCACAGTTAGCTGGTTTCTACTAGAGCAGAGAATGGGCTACTTGCCTGGGGCTTTCAGGGAACAGGAAGGTCAAAGCAGCTAGAAGAATGGCAGGAACGTTTTGTATAGCCAGAGGTACACGCCACTGAGCACTTGTCGTAGTGAGATTGACGAAGCAACCCCATCCAACCCAGGTCGCAACAAACGCTCCAATTCCGATCATGAGTTGCTGCAAAGCAGTGACAGTCCCACGGATGCTTGGGTGGGCCAGCTCAGCCTGGTAAAGAGGCACGATCATGCATAGAGCTCCAACACCGATTCCAGAGATGAACCGGCCCGTCCACATCATATGGATATCCCGGGCTCCTGTCTGAAGACCTCCCCCGAGCAAGAAGAACAGAGCTCCAGTGACGATGGTACCTCGTCGGCCGATGCGGTCACCAAGAGGGCCGGCGGCTCCGGCACCGAAGAAGGCCCCAGCTGTGAACATGGACACAACCAGTCCTTCGGTAGAAGTGTTCGGATCAAATGCATCTTTGAAAGTGTTTGATGCTACAACTGCGGCGATAACACCAAGGTCATAACCGAAAAGAAAGGCGCCGAGGGATGCAAAGACTCCCACGAGCCACTGGTAAACTTTTGGAGAAAGAAGTGCCATTTTGGACGAAGAATCCGCCGACGTCTGAAACGAGAGAGCTCAAATCGATACCCGCCTCTTGATATCGAACGCCGTCAATAACTCGCATCTCCTCTTATACGGCTGCCGATCCGGGGAAACATGGCCAGCATGTCGCTGTGGGGCAGTGCTCCGTCTCCGCAATTTCGGTCGCTTCGGTGAGCCGACAGCCCGGGGACGCTTCTGGTTCGCGCGGCTCTGAGTACGGGTCTTGGTACCCTGCTTGGCTCGCAATAGTGACGCAAACGGCCAAGAGCTGGCGGATTCGCGTCTTGGACGAAACCTTGCAGTACCTAGACCACCTGACAAATCAGACCACGGTGAATTGGAAGAGATGGAGGCTTGGGGAGGCTTCAGATGGGTTCAGTGCGCGACTTGACGTCGATACTTTCCTCATGGGATCTCTCGGCCGGGATGTCACCCGATCTCACGGCCCCTGTCTGCGCGACGCGGTGGATCGGGCGTTGAATGAAAGGCATCTGGCAACAGCAGCGCCAATCCGGATGAAGTATATTGCCAAGAACCTGAAAGTTTGCTGAGTTGTCGGGCTCATGTCGGCTCTCTGGAACAAGAACCGAGACTATTTTGTAACTCGTAGGCAGCAATGCAGCTAGACAGATGTTGAATACGAACCGTGTTAGCCGGCCGTCACCGGCGTCATGCCGGCCGACGCTTCTCCGGGATCCACTTTATCGGCCTTCTAGTCCGGCCCAAGATTTCGGTTCCTCTGCATAAGCAGGCCGGGAAAAACATGGCAGCCTGTTAAAGAAAAACGTGACCTCGTGTCACCAAATGCCCCGCACGCGTTGGGAATTGTTTCGGAAGTCCAAAACGCGTCCAGCGGTACTATGTAACAGTTGCATGTCACGCGTAAACAAGCCAACCGACACGCCGGCAATCTTGCCATTGACATACTTCGCATCCTTCGTTTTATTCTAAGTTTATCCATTTACAATGGCCTCTACTGAGCCTGAGACTGCTCCGGTCGACGAACGGTCAGCACGCAAAAGGAGAAAGATCCGGAAGGGTACTACCAGCTGTTGGGAATGTAGGACGTTCCATTTCCTCGATTATCAAGATTTTGGTCATGTTCTAACAGCACGTACGTAGGCAAAAGACGTAAAGTTCGATGCCAATTCGCGTCCCAGTCCCACGAAATCTGCGAAGGCTGTCAACGCCGCGGCACGGCTTGCCTGACCCAAGACTACGACAATGTGGGCAACGACGAGATCACTGTCGATAAACATAAGGACACGGAGGAGAAGCTCAAAAGAGCGGAAGAGTTGCTCGAGGTGTTTACGAAAGTTGCATCTCGCTTGACCCCAGCAGTAGAGCATCAGTCATTAGAGTCGCGGGCCGCGTCACCGCCTGGAATCCAGGGAGAAAGTCACGGACGACAGCACCATCTGTCTAATTCAGTATCTCCAAGTGCTGCTTCTTCAACTAGGATTCAAGTGTTCGACAGCCTTCTGGTAGGCTTCTTCCACTCCTCACTTCCACAGCCTACCTGACAAAACGAGTAGGTCGACGAAGGCGTCTGCCTACCTGACGATGCCGTTCACGGCGTCTCAGCAACGACTTCATACCGGCACATCGACCTAGGCCAGCAGCTTTACGCTACTTTACCTCCTCAAAGCGATGCAGAATTGATCATATCCTCAGGAAACACGGCCGCGTTCCTGCAGTTCTTCACCCTTCCCTACCGGACTCTCTTCAGTGGCAACTTGCGGTCAGCTTCTTCACTTTCTACATTTCCTAGTCCAGCAAGTCACCCGGTTCTTCTGGCAAGAACTCTGTTGTACCTCGCAAACGGTCTTCAGAATCTACACCCGTCTACGTCCAAAGCTCGTCAACTACGGCTCGGTCGCCCAGCAACTGAGTTAATGAAGGAATATCTTGAAGCCGCTTCCCTGGTCACGAGCAATGATCAGCTCCTTAATTCTCTAGAGGGTCTCGAGTGTCTCCTGCTCGAGGCAGCCTATCACACCAATGCCGGGGACCTCCGTCGCGCCTGGCTTGTTATCAAACGAGCCGTTGCCCACGCACAACTCATAGGACTCCACCGTGGTCACCCCGCGAATCCCGTTGTTCTCGATCCAGAGACGCAAACATCGCCTTCCATCATGTGGCACAGAATCGTCAGCGAGGATAGGTACCTGGCTCTCATGCTAGGCTTGCCTCCTGACACATCTGCTCGAGCTGTGCCTGCGAACATGTCCCTGGCCGCCGGGGAGTGCCCAAGCGAGTATCTCGAACGAATACACGCCCAAGCAATGGGGCTCATCGCAGCCAGAAATGTCGAAGACGACGCTTCTGGCGACATTCTCGCCACGCAAGAGATTGATCAGATGCTACAGCAAGCTGCGCGTAGCATGCCTGACAACTGGTGGCTCCTACCGACGGCAAAGAGGCGAAGCGAATCCAGCAACATCGGGAACGTCGAGAGCCTTGAGAATGTTCTCCGAATACTCCTCCAGATCACCCACTTCAACCTCTTGGTATTATTGCATCTTCCGCAAATGCTGCGTCGCGTGAGCGTACACTCTCAGAGCTATAGCAAAGACGCCTGCGTGAACGCAAGCCGGGAACTCCTCGGCCGCTACGTCAAGTTCCGATGCATGAACCAGATCTCCTTCTGTTGTACCGGCATTGACTTCGCTGCGTTCACTGCCTGTTTGGCTCTACTTTTGGCTCATCTCGAACGGACGTGTCGAGGGTCTGATGTGGCAGACTTCCTCGGCCACCAACGGCTGAGCGATCGTGCCACGATCGAGGAGGTGGTTGACCTGATGTTGGAAGTCAATGGTTCCAGCTGCGATGAGCTGTTAGCCCAGACTGCTTTCATCTTGAGGTCCTTTCTGGACATTGAGGGTGATGCTGCCGCCGATGTAACCGCATCTGCTGGGCAAACAGTGAACAGTGAGGGATACGAAAGCCAACTTGGCAAGCGTTGCTTGCGGCTGAATATTCCCTTCTTTGGGGCTCTTGTTATCACGCATCGTGGTATTCATCAAGATTCTGCAAACTTATCAGCGGTAAACTCTACTTCGAGAACGGATTGTCACCGTATTGTACACGATCCGCAGACTCAGCGAGACCAATCCTGGGACACAACATTCAATACCTTCCCGCATAACATCCTTTCATCTGAACAGATCTCTCAGCTCACAGCTTACGATACTAATCTGAGAGATGAAGCTGAAGATCTGGCGCTTCAAACTGATCATGGTACTCTTTTCAATCAATTACCATGCGTAGGAGATGGAATCATCGAGGGAACAACCAGCGGAATGTCCTGGGGGGTTGACGAGTTCACTGTCAGGTTTTGAACCATTCTATGTCTTTCATTGAGTCCATCGATACTTGACATAGAGAGTAACTGCTCTCGCTGAGAGGTACTCATAGGCTTTCAGACTTGAATAATCACGATCTTGTCGCATTCATGAACTCACAATGCACCAGCTCATGGTTAGGAGGATAACTCTTAGCCCATCCGAGTAACTCTAGTCTTCAGAAAGGGACACTTCCTGACTTTGTTCACCTATCCAGATTGCTGACTCCCGCTAATGTAAGTCGTGTTTGCCGTCTTCCATAGTTCTTCAAAAATCAGCGAAATGCAGAAGGTACGACAAGTTAATTAAGCAAGAGTCAACAGGTAATAATTATTCATCGAGACTGCGAGTAACTCCTTCAACGTATCTTGAGCCTCAGCGACATACTTCAAGTTCATTTAGACAATACGTATCAGATACTTTGATAAATTGCGTTCTTTGCGTCTCAGTCCATCATCGTGCGTTGAATACCATCCGCGTCAGAAGACCCGATTCAGTCAGCCAGTCCCGAGACACTTCACCAACTTCTCGCACCGCCGGCATCTTGGCTTCCAACTGCATTCTCGGTCTAATCAACTGCAAAGCATAAAAGAAAGATTTCAACAGCCTCCAGGCTACAACTTACTCTCTCCAACAAAACCCGAAGTAGAGACCGAGAACGAGAACAGCCAGCCCTGTAAACTCAGCCTTCGCGCCCCAAAGTCGTAAATATCGGGTTCAGTCCATTGATTGGCGCCTTGCATTGATGCTTGAATTAAGCCCATGCCTGGATGCACGCCCCAGATGATCCGATCAGGACACTTTAAACAGGCCAAGCAGCTGCATCCCACAAAGGCGGGCAAACCATACCATGACTCGACCCCGCGTCCGCCCGCCTCCTCTTTCCCTTTTCTCAAACGCGAAGAAATGCCCCCAAGAAATGATCTTCACGTCACGTCGCAGCAGGTCTCGTCTCAAATAACCGCCAAGGCCGTACGCACACGTATGATCTGCGCCCGACAGCTCGCTGGCTCGCCAACTCCTGCCTCCTCCCACCCCCGCCCTCGTGTCGCACTAACGTATGCTTATAATAGTCTAAACCGCACTCACCCTTGATCCCGTCCCGATTGAAGGCCCTCGTTGGAACCTTCAGCGTATGGTTCGCGCAAGTCCTCGGCGCAATCTGCCGTGTCCTTCTGATACTGAGCCTAATGCTTACCGACGATATGAAGATCTTGATAACCGTCTAGTCATGGTGGCTGACGGGTGAGACGAGAAGCCGAGTGTCGACTCAGAAGCTTCACGCATAGGCCGTCCCCGGGTAGCCTCGTCGTGTTAATTTGTCAAAGACTCCAGCAGTGGCAAAATCCAAGGCCGAGGAGCCGGTTAGAGTAGGGCGCGCGCGCGCGATGATCAAGCTCTCGTCCCATGGCTGTAGCCTCAATTTGGTTACGGGCACCATGGGGATCCCTTCCCTCGCGCCCTTGGCCTCGAGCTACCGAGGAAGTGTCAGTGATCAAGGTCAGCGTTAAGGTTAATCCCTATTTTTCGGAGAGACTAATCTGAACTGCCGAACTTGGAAAGACTTTGGAGAAACCGAATCACGTCGTCAAAAGCCGTTGTGGGATTAGACGAAATTACTTCATGATTATGAGATATTCATAAGTTGTTTGTTAAGCCATTAACTGAGGTATTAAGACAGCTTAATCGAATCTGACGGGTGTCACGGGAAACCGAATCTTTGAGCTTCCGATTGCATGGCGGCCACATGAACCGCCGTATAGTTCGCCTCGCTAGCTCGAAAGGATGATTCCAACGATAGCGGTGCCGACAGCAGCGACCTCTTGATCGTGGTTTCCGTCGACCAGGGCCATGCCCCCTTGGACGGGGAACTCAGACACTTTAGAGTTACAAGGTTGACATTCACGTTATTCTGGTTTCAGCAATTCAAGCATATCTCGAGCCAGGCTATCCCTTGACCCGGGGAACGTTATCAATCAGAATCACTCTCGCACTTGTCCAACAGCACTGTGACCTGCCAAGAGAGTCTTTTAGCATCGAGGACCATGTGCCTCCTGGTCCCAGGCACGCCGTAATGCCGTTGATAAGACGGGCACGGGGAGGCTGAAGTCAAGACCGGCGCTTGGCACATCATGTGGCCTCTCGATGTCCGAGTGAAAGTCCCGGTCGCTCGGATCAAGCGTGGAATCATCATCAGTCCAACGGTCATCCAAAGACGTTCTGGAAAATCGAGCACACAATTCACCAGACCCGGTTGGACCTGCACGGCCGCCGCGGGCGAGCGAACACCTTCTTCCTGAACAGAGTCGCGCGCCCACGCGGAGACTCCGTTAAACTCGGAACCTTCCAAGGACAAGCGCGACTGCGATATCAATGACGAAGACCACCTTAAGCTCTAGACTAACTCTAGACCAACCTTGACGGGAACCTAATCCCGTATAGCCTTTCGTAATTACGAACCGAACCGAACTCTTTTGCGTGCGTGTGTTTCCGTGCGTTCGATTGCGTGTTTCTCCAGACGGAAACTCTCATCGAAACAAGGTATTGGTGTTCGCGCAACTCAAGACCTGTTTAAGGCCTGATCATTTTTTCCTTGCTCAGTAGCCCAAAAGCCTAATGAACCACCAGCCGTGACAACCGCAAGGTTAACCTCAAAAACTCTCTCAGCCTCCATCTTCGGCTCGCTCGCACCGAATAGCCCCCTCCGTCGACCTCGAGGTGGGAAACCTGTGCCGAGCAACGGTCGTCTCAGAAGACTCAATTCCCGTCCCATCTGATGACGCAAAAAAAGGCAAAACCCATCAACCACCTTAATTCGTTTTAGCTTTTCTTCCCAAGTCGGGTTCTGCACTGGTCTTTTCTTTACAAGGCGCACTCCCCCCTCCATCCCACACTCCCGGTTGGTTCCCCCTGCAGCCAACGACCTGCGACGCAAAGCTGCACACACCAGCAGGAGACACGACGTCCGCACGCGAACTGTCTCGTCTATACATGCCCTCTATATTTAGCCTCTCGCCCTGGGTCCTTTGAGGATTTCCGGCTTCGCGAATTCATGCCGTTTGGGCAACTTGCGCGGCACTCTAAAAGATCACCCGCATCGACATGGGATGCCATCCCAGCATTTTGGGTTTTTCAGAACACCAGAACAGAACAGACCAGACCTACCTACTCCTTTGTACCCATCACCATGGTCGCAAGGGGTGTGGACGTAGATTGGGGGCCGCGCGGAACGAAGAACCTTACCAAGCGTGAAAGAAGGAGAGTGTCTCCACGCCGTGGACTTCACGGTGTCACGAAAACTCCGAGGGACAGATTGAATTAGATGCGTTTGGCGCCGAGCATCTCGGCCCCAAAGAGCGATAGGGACTGAAGATCTCCTGCCCCCCTCCCTCCCCTGCGTCTGCAGTCCATCCAGTCCCCTTGAACCAACCGACGGGTTGTACATAGTAGAAACTAGCGCAATGAGAGTACTGCCAGCCGGGACTGGACATTGGAGACGCGCGTAACAAAGTGACGAGTCCGGCGCCGTCCTGGGGCCATCATCGAGCCACCTGAGGCCCCACCCCCACCGGCCCGTAACCAGAGCCCGGCGCCGGGCTCCGCACCGACCGAGAATGCGTGCTGCCTCCGCCAACCGCTGGACTAAGGGGATATCGAAGGGCACGCATTGGTTCGCCCTTGGGACATGTCACATCTTGGCACACATAAATCGCTTACGACCGCCTGGTGAGAGTGGATGAGATTGAGGAAAAAAGTACCCATGTGCCCACTAAATCGGATTTTCCGGTGCTCCAGCTCAGCTGGCTACCGCTTGCTATGTCTGATCTCAAACCACCCCTATGTAGCCAAGACATCGTCCCCCCCAGAGATCACGGCTCAAGTGGGCGAGAAATCTCTAATTTGGAAATAGTCGCATCGGAGGTTGTTTATTTTCCCCTGCTAGAGGCCTGCTAGAGGCCTGCTAGAGGAGGATTTTAATGTTCGCTTCCACGTGGTTTAAACCATTCCTGGATAGGAGTTGAGTGAGGCTGTGCAAAACGCGCAGCTATCTCCCCGTCGTTTCCTCGCGTCGCCGTCCGCTTCATTTCGGTTGTTGCTTCTAGCTATTCGCATCTCCGAATCTCACATTCTCCGTACAGCGGACATGGCGTCGAAACGGACATCTGTAAAGACCATCTTCTTGCCCCGACATCACTCGATAGTGTGTGGGAAATGGGACCACGTCGGAAGCAGGACCCGACCTGGACCACACAGGGGGGCAAGCAGACTCGAAACGAACTGCGATCCCATCAACCGGGCCACCAAGCCTTTTCGACGACCCTCGGCTCAACTTTCCCTCTGGGCCTCTTTGGCTTTCTGATCCATGCTGTCAAGATCTCACGCTTCTTTAGCGGAGCACGCACCGCACCGCAAACCGCAGACCTCTTGAACACGTCCACTGTCACATCTCACCAGGGCCCAGGGAACGACGGAAACACTTAGATTGCCATGTCGACGCCCTCTTGGACCTGTAATCAACGGGCCCTGCCATGGCTTGCGTGTCCCAGGCTGGCGTCCCGCCGGGGATGCGACTCGTCAGCCTGTGCGCGCGCCTGTGAAGCTGCTGCTTCATTCAACCACTCCTCCTCCCATACCGTTTACCGAAAGGAAGCGGTACAAGGGCCGGTTGGCTGTGGGATTTTTTTCGGGGGCCGTGACGGAGGAGAGCAGCTCTTTACGGCTTCGACCGCTCGCCTTTTCTTCGCTTCCAGTGCTCGTTGCGGCTCCCAATCTCCACAGTATTTCCTTATGCAGTAAGAAATAC